AGTTTAGTGGAAACTGTATAGACGCAGCGGTCACAGTGACATCGTTTTCATGAGTCCCCGAATGGCCCCTGCTCCAGATCCGCGGCTCTCGGAGGACACACTGAATTAAATGTGAGGGCTGTGTGTGTATGTGTGCGTGTGTGTGTGTGCAGGCCTGTCACAATACATTTGTAACAGAGAATATTACAGTAAATCATAAACGTGAAGACCACTTTGAGTCACTGATACAATAATCCTTAATCCCTAACCGTATACCAGTACCGATATTTGTACTGGTATCAAATATCGTCTCCGATACTGAAATTTACTGGATTGAGTATAGGTCCCATGATATCGGTTAAGACTAGGGCTGTAACGATATCCAAATCTGTCGGTACGATATTTATTGTGATATTTTGAAGAAGCTGATATAATTGTAGATACAACACTTTTTTTGCTTTTAAAATACCCTGACAAGATTTTGGAGTGAATTATTTCCGTCATAATCTTAAGAATTCAAGTAAAAAAACATATTTCATCATGTTGTCGGCACTGAAATGAATCCTGGGATATGTAGTTCCAATGTTTATAATATGTTGCTTCTTCAAAACCATGCATTTAAGCAAAGAAACTTGTGATTCGATATATTGTGAGACTTTTGATGATACGATATCACGATATTTTGGTTACTGTTACATCCCTAGTTAAGACTAAATGTAATAAGACTACTTACATTCTGATTTTTGCCTAGAACTTCTCATGTTTGACCTTTATTCAAGCTCTTTTGTAGTGATTTGAAGGATACATAACAGTCGCTTAAGGCTATTGGATCCATTTTATAACAAGTTCATTTTTTTTTGTAAAGGAAATACATGCCATTTTCCTTCTCTACACTGGTATCTGTAAACATTGGGCATCGGTAGATACTTAAAAGTCCAAGTATCAATATTGGCATCAAAACTGGAAAAGCTGGATCGGCGTGTCCCTAAAGTGGGGCTGTGCAATTTATTTCTAATTTTATCCAAATCAGAATCCAATAGTTTCATCAGTTTCATCTCTTTAAAAACGAAAAAGTGAATCCACAATTGCAGTAAGACGAATACAAGGAGAAAGGTTGTGTTTATTGTTGCCATTTTACCCAGCCCTGAAGCAAATATTGGAACGAAGCTGTAAATGAAACACTACAATGGCATCTATTTTGAGTCACTGGTATAATTTGACTCTCTACTGCTCAAAAGTGGCTGTATGACTAGTTCCCCACAAGGGCAAATAAGGTCCATAGAACTAAAATCACGCCCAGAAAAACTATGGTACATCTACCGAACGCTTATAGAGTTAATTATTATGTACGTCTAACTGCCTGTGTTCTTAAAAGTTGTCTTTATGTCACAAGGTCTTGGAAATAAACCCAGTTGTTATCTTAACCATTCACCTCCAACCTACTGACCTGAAATCAACAAGAGACTCTGAAATCACACTAGACAACAAAAAAAAAGCAATAAAGAAAACGCCAAAGTACAACAAATCAGCTCTTTAGATCATTGGTCCTTGAAATTTTCAGTATTGTTAGAGAAAATATCTGGATTTCCATGTGCCACCCAATCTAAACCAGAACTAAAACAAGATTATATTAGGCAAGGCAAGACAATTCGTACACAAGGTAATTCAAAGTGCTTTATAGATTAAAAAATACATAAAAATCATAATAAAGACAAATCAAAACATAAATAATCATCATAAGAGAGACATTAATTACATAGGTCAAAATTTAGGTCAAAATTAAGACTAGAACTTGGGTAAAATTGGACTAAACCATAACCAAATTAGTTCTAAAATAAATCTCTTTAAATTAAACATATACTAGACCTATGATAACTTGCATTAGTTTAGCAGTTTTTTGTTTTTTTTAGCTAAACATAACAATCTGACATTTCCAGCTTCATCTTTTTCAGTTTCGATACAGAATTTCATTCTTTGGCTTTAAGTATCTGCCCATATCAACCAATACTATGGCAGATATTGAAAATATACGGTACCTAATTTCGTTTAAACGTAAAAGCGTACAAAAAAGATTATCCAAATAACTATAAAACAACTTGTCCAAAAAAATAATACAGCACGGTGTTTTAGGCCAACAGTAAGTAAATTGTTTCACCGGTTTATAGACCAAAATGTGATATCAACTGAACCTAAAAATGAGTCCATTAGTATTTTTATTTCTTGTGTCTTATAAATATTAAGTACTCTAATATTTGCCTTTTTACAGGCCATCCATAAGTAAACCATTAACCCCAATACTGTGTGCCTTGACACTAAAGGCCACATCTGAACTTTCTTTCCTCGCTTCCTTCTCCTTGATTCCTCTCCTCGATCCTCCATTTTTCAGCTGTCAATCAAAAGTGTCATATTAGGTGGTGTCCCGAAGAAAACCACGGCTCCAGGCAGACAGCAGGAGGCAAACGTCGGATAAAAAAATCAAACTTTATTGGTCACGGTGAGAAGTTTATATCCTCTCTCCCCCCTGTGTCTCCTCTGCGCGTGGGACTTCCTCACCCGCTTCCTGCAGAATCGATGAGAGGAATCAAGGAGAAGGAAGCGAGGAAACGAGAACCGAGACGTGGCCCAACTGACCGAAAACACTCTCCTCATTGTAGTGAGCCTGAGCAGGTGGTATAGAGACCTGCTGCTGCCCGTCAGTGGAGCGCCGGTCTATAGGGCACGCTGCATAGCTGTGGCTTTGAAGCAGGCGTGAAAAACTTTAAGTACTTCAGCAGTTGCCCCGTACCATGAGATGAATACATGTTATAAGTATGAGTAAGTAGCAAAAACATGTTCATGCAAGCGGTGTAGTTTGCCAGCAGACAGCAAAACTACCTGGGGCAATAGTTTAATGATGAGGAGGCGCTAAGCCTATAGAGATGCAAGAGGAAGTTTCTACATTTGACCCAGAGATGTAATGTGGATTATTGAGCGTTGCCACAGGTTATAATAATAGTTTATGGCTATTATGATTATTATAAAAGGTCAACTAGTCATTATATTTGGAGTTTTGCAAACAACTTACTTCCTTTAACAAGATAAATGTAAAAAAACCTTAAAAGCTAACTTAAAAGGGCTCATATTACGCTAATTTCTGATATTTGTTGTAATATTATAACGTTTCCTCATCAAAAAAACATACCTGGAGTTGCGTTTGGTTTAATTCACACATGTCTAAAGCTCACAATTTTGTCAATTTTGCGTAATGTAGGGCCTATAGATACCGTAATAAAAAACAAAACAGTAATTCAGTCTCTTCCAATGTAAGGCTTGTGTTGGTCTCTTTGTATAGACCAGATAACAAATGATGATTTCAGTGATAGATTAGCCATGATTATTCTGATTACTTACTCGAGGCAAAGAATTACTTAACCTTTTGTCCCTCTTCCCCGTTTACATTTCTACTGTATGCGTGACAAAAAACACAGAGATGTTTGTTAGGCGTTTTAGAGGCAGCCAGTGTAAATAATAGTTTAGTTAGAATTAGCCCTTAGTCACAATACTAAAATAGAATGTGATTTTCAACGTGAAATCATAGCGCGGTCTTTTAAATTACCACGTGGCCTTATATCTGTGTAATCCCTTTGACATTTAGGTAGATCCCATAGTGGTCCGTGGGCTTATACTAGTCTATGTGCTCTTATACTTGTTGTGGTACAGCTCAAGATCATTCTAAAGCTTCGGGAAAGGTTAATTTCTGTTCTGTGAATGTGACTTTTTTCGTATCGATACTTGCTCAAATGAGTATCTAGTTTTAGTATGAGTATTTAGTATTAGTATTAGTAGTAGTATTATCAATATTTGTGACAAGCCTAGTTACAATCAACCACATTTTTATCAGCATATTTGACTTGCATTTAAGTCACACCACCCCCCTGTCTCAAGTCCCTCCCGCTTCTCCTTTCCGGCTGGTAACAGTCTCTACCCAATCATTAAGCAGGTTTCCACTGTGCAAGAGGAAAACAAACTCAACTTCATAATGTTCAATTGGAACAGTTTTTCAGGGCTAAAAATACCCATGGTGCATGTTTTAAATGAAGGATGTGAAAGTTCCAAGAGTTCACCCAGTTTTAAAGTAAACAAAAATAGACAGCTATGTGACAACACAACACCAAACTTTCCTTATTTAGTGAAGAAGAATTACATGACATCCTCAATTATGGTGGTTAGTCTCACCACACAGCCGTGACAACCATAAAAAGACACAAGTTTAGCCTTAAATGTTTCCTCCAGGCACCAAAGTACAGTGAGAAACAGATCAGGTGGCCATTTTGATGCTGAAATTAACCAGACTAGCCAGCCAGCACAGCAGCTACAAGAAAACACTGCAACACTAAGATGTAATAACAGCGAAATAAGCTTTAACAAGTCATAAAGCAAATCCCCTGTGCTCGGATTTGATGAAAAATCCGCAATAACGCCATCGTTTACAGGGGAACCCAACGAAGAACAAAAGAGAATCGTTTTCATTTGACGCTAGCTTCAGGTTATGTAAACAAGCCCCTGTCAACCTGTAAAACATATTTAGACCAAGTACTTCAAAACAAACTCGAAATAGACTCTTATAACGATCGGTGCGACTCTATTATTCAACAGTTTTACATATTGGCGTGAAACAACAAGAAAAACAGTAGTTAGCTGGCACGGTTGCTGCATTCGGAGTCGAGAGAGACGATTGTGATGACAAACGTGAAAAACTATTGAACAGAGTGAAAAAGCTGATGAGACATATTTGCAGACGATGTGATTAGCCTTTACAGCTGCTCTGACAGGGGACGAACAGAGCAGGACAGAAATAGCTAACACTTGGCTTTGCTAGCAAAATCTTGTTTACACAAAAACGCTCATTCACAATGAAACTGCGACAGGCTACGACAGGCCATCAACAGCACACAAACCACTCGTCTCACACTGCCACACATAAACGCACACAGGCACGAGTAAAAAGACAGCAAACTACTGTTTATATTAAGAAAGGATACAGTTTCACCACATCGGTGTCCATTCGTCTTTTGCCCGGACTTGGAGACGACATTTTTGCTATTTCCTCCGCAGAACACCTGTTAGTAAACTGAAAGCTAGCCTCTGAAGCGCTAGAAAATCTAGCAAACTGTACTATCCGAAGGTTAACATTGGATTTGAGAAATGTTCCCCGCTAAACGTCTTCTCGGTGTGTTAGTCCTGGGAGCTGCAGCGCTGAGTCTGTGCTGTGGATGTTCACTGGCTCTGACCATCGCTGTGTCAGATCACCCCGATCACTCCGCGTCCTGCGTCATCACCCGGCGACAACGCGTCATCAGCAACGGCCCGGCTTGTAGTTTTGTTGTGGATTTGTTTACAACTGTTTATCATCGTTTAGTACAGGGGTGTCCAAACTTTTTTCATCAAGGGCCACATATCTAAATACAGATGAAGCAGAGGGCCGATCGAGGGCCGTAGACTGGTGCTCAGTACAGTGAATAATTGAAATCTGTGCATGTTTAACACCAATAGCATGAATAAACACTGATGGCTCATGCTAAGATCCTTAAAACCACACACTAAATATTAAGTATTCGCTTTATCAAGGTAGATTTAAAAAAAAAAATGCACTAAGAAGTTAATTTTTAAACAATGTAAGGTAATTTGGGCCAATTCACCTGGAAGCCTGAGGGCCAAGAATAATGTATCCGAGGGCTGCAATTGTCCCACGGACCGTAGTTTGGACATGCCTGTTTTAGTAGGTCAAACGGGTAGAAAATAGATTAATAAATTAACAGTTTATATCAAATAATAGATGTGTGGCAAGCACGTTCTCTCCAAGTTTCCATGGCTTCAAAATTCGGACCATATATTATCAATACATTAAAAAAAAACAGTAACATGTATTATTTCAACCACAATTATGTACACATATTTACTCAAGTCCCCATACTGCGGCACAAATACTTATTTAAGTAACCTCCACTATTGTACAAACTAAATTCTGCAATAAATGATGGATACAGATGCTTGAGAAAGAAAACATAGCAGCAAATAATGTTACATTATTATTTATTATTTTTAAATTCAGGAAACCGCAAATAGTTATAAAATGACAAAAGTGGATATAAATGACTGCATTTAAAATGATATCACAGGAAGACAAGAAAAAAAAAAAGGCATCCCGATTCCAGTGTGAAACAGAAATGTATGGCACAGCTGGTAACAATCTACAGTCTGTACTATTGAAAAGTTTGTCATATAGGACTAACTAATCCAATCTGCTTTTCTATATTTAAACATTCTCACAGTTTTTGGTAGTACAAGATATTCAGGTTCAAGCAACGTACTTCAGCAGTACCTCTACCACTTTACAGTCAATTTCCTAATAACTAAAATGCAAACTCAAATACTTACCATATGTAAACCATATAATAGTGTGGAGTCCTTTTGTGCAATGACACTGCATGCCATTATATATTGTCACCACTGTCCTTAAAAAGCAGTCATCTTTCACATTCTGGGCTTCTCATGAAACAAAACCTACTGACAAACACTGATGAATCTTAAAATGCTCAGGCTAAATAGTTCTTTGTCCCATTCAGATGAAAATGACTGCAGACGGTGTACCACAAAGAGGGTAAGTAAGTTAGTTCTGAATCCACTGCTGAAACCTTCTACTGGGATTGAGAGGCTACCTGCCATTGTCGAAATATAGCAAATACTCTTTTAGACTTGTCACGAGCCTAAAAAGAAACAAGAAAAATACTGTTGTTATTATTATTATTATGATTATGACATGAACTTCATACATAGATAAACCTTGCTGAAGTAGAGCTGAGAGATTTTGGAAATAATCATTTGTGGAGCTGTAAAATGCAAGTTTATATCTACCGAGGACAGTGGAAATTACAGGGTATACAGTTATTACAGGGAAGAACATAATTGTCAAGCTTTAAAAGGTGCAAATCTATGATCAAGTAAACATAATCACTTCGAAAAGTATTGTATATAGTCTGGCATAGTCTTTCACAGCTATTTTCCTCATTATTAGACAAGAAAAAAGTTAATAACATCATAGTTTATCTGGGCTAGGAATAGTTTTGGCTTGATTATCACACGACTTGCCTGTGCGGGACTACTATCTGCTGCGTTGCCGTTCTTTTTCAGTGGTATGAGCAGGTCTAGAGCAGCTTTCCAGCCCTGTTGATATGGGGAGTCACTGTCCAATAAAGAGGTCGAACCGGGGTCTACATTCTCTTTACCCACGGCCACCCATGGACACCAGTCTCTGTGCTGGGCCAAGGGGTCAAATATAGTCTTTTGCAGCAGGTCATCCTAAAATATTCACAAAAATAAATGTTTTATTAGTCAAGACAACTAAACAACCTGCCTATTACAGGTTAGACTACTCATTTTACCAAAACACAGTTAAGATCATTATATTATCCCCCAGTTTGAGATTATTTTACTTCCCGTTTAGAAATTATGACATGACAACAGGGAATTCCATAACTTTTACCTAGGAACCATAAAGTACGCTGCCTGGGACAAAGCTCCTCTAATATACACAGAAATTATTATTTGACGAATAAAATAACAAAACTTAAAACCTTTATTTTGTTGTAGCTCATCAAAGGATTTCTGAATTACGTATTATACTGTATAACTCAAATTTTATTAATTACCATTGTAAATGCGTTATTTTGAATTTTGTGCACAAATAAATGGATAATGGTTTTATGTTTTAAAGGCATCTAACTGTACAACATCTAATGCTTGCCCTCTTATATCGACTTAATTTCTTTACTTGCGATCGTTAAAAATTAGTAGCTCTCAGGCATTTTCGTTTTCTAAAAGATAGCTCACTGGATGCAAAAAGCTGGAGATCCCTGATTTAAAGTTTCACTGTGTAACTTTTCTGGTAGAGGGCCCGCCAGTGACTTGTCTCCATGGAGATATTATTGCTTTACTGCTGACATTCCAAAGTATGGCATTAAACTTTTCAATCTCCATAGAAACAAGCAATAGATGCCACCAGGCCAAGTTACGGTGAGATCTGCGAAGAGGCGACACCACTCACAGTCAGAATGTGTGTTTTTAAAGATATTTTTGAGCAATAAAAACACCCATAATTGAATAAATGCATCTTATATAAGGTTAATGCTATACTGTGGAACATTACAGGCAAAGCAATAGCCTCTCTATGGTAGCGGATCTCTAACCTGAAAAGTTACACAGTGCTCATTTAAAATTATGTGTGTTTTTTTATGTATAATTGTAAATTCAACTTCAAACTTCAACCCATCTCCTAATAATAAATGCATGAGTATGAGGTGTACGGAGCATGTAATTAGGGGCGTAACAATAACCGAAATATCGTGATATCGTATCGTCAAAATTCTCACAACAATATCGTCACAATATATCGAATTATAAGCCTTTTTGCTTAAATTAAGAGTTATGGTGCAGCAATAGATAAAAAAAACAACAACAACAACAAAAAAAACAGAGGGAACTACATAGACCATGATCCTTTGCTCCATTTCAGTCCAGACTACAAGAAGAAATAACAGTTCTAAGCACTTTTAAGTCTTAGCTGTTTGGATTAAGTCTTGTCAAGGCATTTTAGGAGGAAAAGTAGCATATTAGGAGCTTTAGCCTCCACAAAATATCATACCCTGAGACGCATATTGTGAAAATATCGTACTGAGAGATTTGGATATTGTTACATCCCTAATCATGAGCTTTCCCATGATATCGCAATAAATATCGTACCGTGAGATTCATACTGTGACAATATCGTATCATGAGATTTGGATATCGTTACACCTACATGTAAGGCAGTGCAATAATTCTTAATAGTTTGTTTTGCTCTTACAGGACCAGCTGATGAAAGGCACAGTCGTTTGGCAGTGGGCTGTATATCTCCCTGTCCTTTACTCCGAGTAGCAGGTCTCTTTCCTCTAGGACTCGGCAGCTCCTCAGTGGGGCTGGAAGAATCTCTACTTTTGGTGCGCATAGCTTGAGGGGACATATTCACGCCTTCACCCTGTAATAAAGAAAATATATAATAAAAAATAAGAAAGATTAAGTGTTAAAAAGGCATACTTAATAAAAAGGTATACCGTATTTTCCAGGCTATAAGGCACTCTGGATTATAAGGCACACTGTCATTAAATGGTCTATTTTTGCACTTTTTTCACAAATAAACTGCCCCAGTTGGATGAGTCAGTGGGACTTTGTTTGTTCGCGTTCACTGTGACTCTCATCTTTGTTAAGTTGCGGCGTGTAGGGAGGGTGCTGTCTTGGACCGCTGGATTGTTGGCGTGTTCGCAGTGTGTGGCACATTGCACTCGCTTTTTCGGTTCATTCCTTCGTTCCGTTCCTCGTCGGCGTGGAGTGATGAGTGTGGCTGCGGGTGTGTTTCGCTGCACGGTCGCTGTCTGCTCCGTGTGTGTGTTTGCGTGCGCTGTGGGGGGTGCGGCTTTGTAGTTTACTGAAATCGTGCTGGGAGACACGAGTGGATTCGTGTATAGGGCGCTCTGGATTGTCGTTTTTTGATGGGGTTGGAGGCTTAAGAGCGCGTCTAATAGCCCGGAAAATACGGTACTTCGTGGCCTTTTTAGAAAGTTTGCCTTCTGCAGGTGTTGATCCAGGAGCAGCAGGTAACCATAATAGATAGATAATACTTGATCTATCCCAAAGGAAATTAATTTTTCTTAACCAACAAAACAAACAACAATGTACTCCCATCCTCTACATGAGCTAGGATGAACAGATTTCCCTTCAGACACAATAAAGTGTACCTAACTGTAGAAATAGGGCTGGGCAATATTGCAAAAAGTAAATAAATCTTGATTTCATATTGATCACTCACAATTTTCAAAGTTTGACGGTTTAGAAAATTAAATCAATCTCAATTTCCTGAGCACAAGATGGTGGTACAATGCGGATTATAATTGCTGGTGATTATCACAGTTACACAAAATGAAGCACAAGCAAATTTTGTCCTCCCTTTTTAATGTGATTAGGAATATAATTCATTCAATCATTGTCCTATCCCTAAACTTGATGAGATTAAAATGCACTGCACAGCCCTGTACATCACCCACAAGGACACAGAGACCCACACACACAGTATTTAAACTCCACACAGAAAGCCTCCTAGTTAATCCACTTTCTAACATGTTTTTATTACGGTATCATTACCTGGTCCAAGCGGGTGGTGTCTTGACTTCTCAGTTTCATGCGACAGGGGGTAGTGGCAGTAGTGGCCTGAAAAGGACCGTCCCCTTGGCCCTCAGGTGGGACTAGAGCCGGGCTGGTTGTCCCTGATCCAGACGTGCTCACCGGGGTTGGGGTATTCTCTACGTCCCCCGCTGCTTCCTCCATTTGATGAAAATTCCACAGGCCTACTTTTCGTTTACAAAATGAACAGGTGAGGATGGGCAGGTTCATGGTGCACTGAGACGGGCTAAAAAAAATACATAAATAAATCTTGTTAATAATGTATTTCAAGTGATCTACAGTCTATAAGAAGGTCACAATCAATATTACTCACTCAAAATATATTAAAAATCACATCCCATTTGCTTTAATTGCTTAATTTTTAGTTTAAAGACACAATGTTCTAACAATCTGTCACATCAGGGTCCTTAAAAGAGTAAAATTGTGATAGGTGGCAGGAAAGTAATGCTACCAAAAAACTTTAAAAATATAGTTTCGATACTTTATTGTGTCAAAGTTTCACAAAAAAATATAGACATTCTTGGCTGACGTTACAGTAAACACAATATTTATGTTTTCAGTTTTTTTATCAAAATTTTTTCCCCGCACCTTTGTATCCTTGTAATAAATGACAAATAATAAATGGCATTATAGTAAGTAAAGCATTGATTGTGAGTGATACTTTTTCTTACCTTGCAGCCCATCCACACAGAGCCACAATACATGCAGCCACTTGAACAGCCAAAGGTTCAGAACAAGGACTCTCCCCTTTTCGCTTTTGTTCTTCTTCTATTAGTTGTAATATAACACTGACATTATCTTCAGTCAACAACTACAAGAGAGATACAGACTTCTATGAGGACACAGCAGAAAACCTCAGAAGGATGTATAGTATTTTAAAACAGGCCTGTCACAATAAATACTATATCGTCTTATCGTTTAATATATGAAAGCTGGAACAATATACTTTGGGACTCAATATTTATCGAGTGTTTCTTTGTATTACAAGTAAATTAATCTAAATCTATCCACTTTTACAATTACATCTGAGCTGTAAAAGTTTGAATGAGTGACCTCTATGGCTAATTATTAATCAATAATAGTACATTCTGTTATTTATGTTGCAGCTCACGCCTTTTAATGGTACTGTCTATATAATTTTTTATCTTTTTAACACCGCATGAGTTGTGTGGTCCCCTGCCTTTTTTTTTATTTATTATTTTTAAAATGTTTATATTATTTGATTGATTTAATTTATTTATTGCTGTTTTTATGGGTTTGCTTTTATTTCACTTTACTGTTTTTTGTGTTTTAGGTTAACTGAGTATTTATTATACCCTTTGTTATTTTTAATACTACAACATCAACAACAAACTTTATTTATAGAGCGCTTTTCATCCAAAAATGCAACACAAAGCACTTTTAAAACAATCTTTATACGTGCAGCACTTTGGCAAACTGGTTTTGTTTATAAAATGTGCAATATAAATAAAGTGGATTTGGATTTTTAAATAGTTTAAATATTATCGTTTATCGCATTATATCTCTGCACCAATGTATCGCACTGCAAACTTTGTTATCGTGACAGGCCTATTTTAATTTTAAAGCCTGTCTCTATATTAAGATCAGCTTGACCTACCATAGATTTTAATTGCTCTGGTTTCAGCGCTGGAAGCTGCTGTGAGAGAAGACATGTGCTGTGAAACCGCTCCAGGAAAGAGGCAAGAAGAGCTGAGGGCTCACAGGCAGGAACCACCCAAATCCGCTCTGAATGACAAGATTAATTTGCATAGGAGTACATTAAACACTTTACTTATCATAAACAATCATACAGAGGATTAAAGGTTCCGTTACCGGGGCATGGGAAGTCTGGCCAAGGACAAAACTTTTCATGTTGTGTTTGAAGTTGCCTGGAGATTTCGGCAATGCGTGACTCATCTATTCAAAAAGGAAAACAATTAAACTGTTATCAATGGAACTTTTATTCAATTATCATTCCATTCTATAATCATAAGTTAAATTTCTGTACATTTCTCAAAGTCTAGAGTTGGTTGTAACGTCGCACTGAGGAAGGCCTGGCAGCTGGAGCACTTGAGCATGTCACAGCTCACGTTGATCCATCCGTATCGGGCGCACATGAGCGGGGACAGTGAGCGAGGTTTCCCAGCCCATTTCAGACAGTGCTCTGCTAAGGAAATCTGTGCTTTAACAGGTTTAGATTTCAGTTTTGACAAATAAACTAAGTGTGCAATCACAATCGTATTTGATCAGCAAGTCACTGGTAAAAGGATATTGAATAGGACTCCACCCTGGAGAAAATGCCTCTTTGTTTGTTGCTTCACATGGTGCTTGGCCGCTCCCAGCTTCGGAGTCCTTTGCATCCGCTTGACTGAGTGGAAAAAGAAATTCGGAGGATAATTGATTATTATATTTGTAAGTACCAACAACCACAAAAATAAGAAGTTTAGTGACTGGTCCAAACTTAATCTTTTCGTCAGTAAACACAATCGCTTGGGTAAACAAAAGTCCAAATTTACATTAGACTGCGCTGCACAGCTTTTTCAAAAGGTGCACTCTGTAAAATTTCTGGTGGAGGGTGAGTACCTGCATACTCATCTCCATGGATACACTATAGGTTTTCTGTGAATCAGGGACTACAGAAGAAAACTAGCTACCGTAATCTAATAATGTAATAATGTGGTACTGAACATCTCTCTTTTTTATGAGCATAATGTCTATGGAAGTGTCTGAAGGAGGAGCTCAGGGCTGCAGAAAATGTTCATGTTTTTAAGAGCAGGCTTAAGATCCACCTTTTTAGCTTAGCTTTTGAATGAAATCTTATACTTTTACTTGTTTATATTGTACACATTCTATTATATTTATTCATTTTAGGCATATTTTTAGGATTTCTAGTGTTTCCTCTGTAGGAGCCCTCTGCATCAGGAGCAGAGGTCGGCTGCGGCTGCTGGGTCTGTCATGTGGGCTCCTGGTTGAGGGTTGGTGCTTTGGGCTTCGTCTCTCCCCTGGACCCTGTGACGGCTCCTGGTGGCGGTGTACGGCTCTTTGCTCCTGATGTAGACGGCTCTTCTGATGCTGCTTTCTCAACTGGTTCGCCTGTATTCAGCCTCACATTTTACTATAGGTAGTTCTATGTATTTTAGTATGTTAGTGTGAGAGTGTGTGAGTGTGTGTCTGGGTTGTTTGGTTGTGTGGAGTCGGGCAACTATTGGGGTTGGGTTTGTGGGTGGGTGGAAGGGAATGTACAATTGTTTTAATCATTGTAAAGCACTTTGTGTTACATGTTTTTAGGTTCTTTTTTCAGACGTAGAGTTTTGTTTCATACCTGACAGTTTCGACTGCTCACTAGCGTCTTCCTCAGAGTGGTCACGTGATGTTGCTGTGACGTGTCTGGTCAGCTGATTTAAACAGGTTTCGGCTAGTGAGAAGTCGAAACTGTCAGGTATGAAACAAGACTCTAGGTCTGAAAAACGAACCTAATAACATAAAATATCAGAAGACCAAATGAATCTCACTGGACTACTTTGTGTTAAATTTTTGTATGAAAAGCGCTTTGTAAATAAAGTTTGATTGATTGAGTTTGATTGAATGTCTCTGTACATTGTCCCTTCAAATGAAAACTAAACTAAAACTATAATGTTCCACAGTATCAAATTAAACTCTCTCCTGCATGGCAACAAGATGGTGAGGCCACTAGGTAAAGTTACAGATCAGATTAGTGGAAAGGCAAGCTTACTCCTAATAAGAACGCTTGTTTTGCAAGGTATTTTTAAGCAATGAAAACACCTGTTAATGTTTAATGTGTAAAGATTAATGCCATACTGTGGGACATTTCAGGCAAAGCTTCAACATCCTCCATGGAGAAGAGCAGATGGCGCCCTCCCCTCCAGAAAAGTTACACAGTGCACCTTAACAAAAGTAGATTAAGGATTTGTACAACATTATCAAAGATTTTTTTTTTTTTAGGTTATAACATTTGTTTACAGTGATGTTTATTATTTCTGTTTGCGTCCTGCACATTTGGAGCATTACGGTCTGCAAACTGTTTCTCCGCTTCTGGCCTAAACTTCCTCCCTTTAATAGTTCAAAACATCTATACTGACATGCAAAATGAAAATGCCAAACATATACATTCATTGCGGTTAAGTTGAGTTTGTACCATGTTCACTTCAGCATGCATTATTTCGCTTGCCACATTCGGAACATCGTGATCTTAGACGCTTTATCTCCGCTGCGTCTGCAAACCGCCGACCAAACAAATCCCAGTAAAACAAACATAAAAACGCACCGATCCTCACCTGTTGGCCGCGTTATCCACCGACGACACCCCTTCATTTAGGAGTTCGCGCACTTTCTCCGGGGAAACCAGGGATGACTTCGAGAAATTAGAGTTACCAAAGCGATCGGCACGATTACCGCCGACAGCCGCCATGTTCAGCCATGAGGTCCCCCGCGGAAAATAAACCCGGGATAAGTAGTTCCGCTTGAAAATAAAATACAAATAAAATCACAAAAAATATTGCTCTCCTATTTTTATAGCTTTAAACAACTTTTATATTACTTGTATTTATTTATTTCATTTATTCTACATTATTTTACATTTTCATTTAATCTGAACACATCCTCTTATGTTAACTTTTTAATAATTCCAGTAGTACAGATAAATTGTAATTGTTTTCATGTTTTAATGACTTTTGACATGAGCTTTAATCTAATTTGCCTTGTGATATAAAATTGTTTTTGCAAATACTTTAAATACAGCTGATATAATAATGACTATAGTGACAATGTGATTAAAAAAACAACAACTAAGTAATAAAAGTTTTATGTTTGGTGGTTATTATTGACATGTACTTTGACTTAATTTGTAACTGTAATTTATCATCTATTTTCCAATATATGAAAGACACACAATAATTCCTATAATGACACAGCAATTAAATACTAAAGTAAAACAAAGTCAAGTTTTTATGTTTTGTGACGTACACTTTGAAAGACACTTATATGATTCCTATATTGTTATTGTAATTGAAATAATGTTATAACAGTTTTATGTTTTTAGTGGCTATTTTGATATGCACTTTGACCTAAATTGTTTTTAATTTATCATTCTATTTTTCAATACTTGAAGCACAAAATACTTATAACTTTTATAGTGACACAATAATTAAATAGTAAAGTAAAAAATGACATAATTCCTATATTGTTATTGTAACTGAAATAATGTTATAACATTTTTATGTTTTATGTTATTTTTGACATTCACTTTGACCTAATTTGTTTGTAATTTATTACATTTTTTGATACTTGAAACACCAAATAGTTAGTTAATAATGCCTATAACATCTACAAAGACATTTTAATTCAATAGTAAAGTTAAAAAAAGTTAAGTTTCATGTTTTATGTTATTTTTGACATCCACTTTGACCTAATTTGTTTGTAATTTATTTGATACTTGAACCACCAAATAGTTAATAATACCTATAATATCTACAACAACATTTTAATTCAATAGTAAAGTTAAAAAAAAAAGTTAAGTTTCATGTTTTATGTTTTTTGGGGTTTTTTTTGACATGCACTTTGACCTAAATTGTTTGTAATTTATTCAATTTTTTCGATATTTGAAAAACCATATAGTTAATAATACCTATAACATCTACAATGACATTTTAAATCAATAGTAAAGTAAAAATAAAAAAAAAAAAAAAAAAAAAAGTTAAGTTTCATGTTTTATGTTGTTTTTGACATGCACTTTGACCTCATTTGCATGTAATTTATTAAATTTTTCGATACTTGAAACACCAAATAGTTAATAATGCCTATAACATTTACAACGACATTTTAATTAAATAGTAAAGTTTAAAAAAAAAGTTAGGTTTAATGTTTTACGTTATTTTTGACATGCACTTCGACCCCGGTTGTTTTGGTCGTAGCCACGCCCACTTCTCCTAATAACAGCGCGTCTGATTGGCTCCGTGGATCTACTGGCCCACGGTATCGCCACTCGGCTGAAAAATGTCAACCATCTCAAAGAGGCGATCCCGCAACGTTTTATGATGTTTTACGAGCACTTTAGTTGATATTTCGCTTATTTATTGTGCCATTGCTGCGCCGGGAAGAGGATGTCACGCTCGGGAGATGAGAGGAGTCTGCTAAACACGTTTGAGAAAGTAACATGCAGGCCTCCACCTCACCGAGCGATCATAGCAGGTGTGTCAAAAAAATATCCAAAATACCACAATATTTATAACGATATTTTATCTAACACGAGTCCACAAAGCTATAGATTACAGCTAGTCTTTATTGCATGCTTTTTATTGCGTGGTTAGTGGTTGTAAATATGGTCAGTGTGGCTATGCTAAACCAGCAGGCTAACTAAAAATTCTCTGCTTGTTTACATTTGTATTTGTTCTTCTGTTTGTGTCATTTCCACAGCGTTTCTTTACGACAAGCTGATGTTTTGTACCTAGATCTATGTTATAATTCTTTACAATAAATCATAAACATCTGTCACTGCATTATCCATAGTTAGTGACCCCTTTTTCTATCGTTTCTCTTTTAGTTTTGTTGTTTGCCTTGTTTTTAAAGATTAATTCATTAAAATTATTGTTGTTCATACTGTATTTAATTTTTAAAAGGACAATACATTTTAGTCTAGGGGTTCCCAAAGTGGATTTTGCTAGATTATTTTAATATATATTTTTAAAAATTGAAAACAGTATATTTTAGGGATATTTTATATTTTTAAACCATTTATTTACAATTTAACATGATCCTGTTATAACATTTTGCCAACTGATTTCTTGAGTTGGTTGGTAAATATGCAGAACTATAGACTAAAGTTATAAAAAAAAAATTCTGATCCTAATTGATACTAAAACTGGAATCGATACTCTTTTGTTGTAGTTGTAGTTAACCAATTTGGAAGTATGATATATTGCTTAAGATGCAATGCAATAATTTAAATATAATATTGTTAAAAATATAAGCTCCAATAAATAAGTAAATAATGAATGTATGTATTTATTGCTCTACTTATTACAGTGCTACTCACCCATCATTCATTATTTTTGATGCTTTTGTTGCTACTGGACCAGTGAGCTGCTGTGTCCGATAAGAATTTTGTTGGTACCTGAAAATGTCATTGCATGCAAGAAAAGAGTCTGCATTATCGTCCCCCCAAGTCCTTTGACACTCTAATTGTGTTGATAAAATAATTAGTTTGTTATTTTTGTTTCAGCTGTTTTACACAGGAACAATCTGTTGGTCATACTGTACTTAATTTTTAAAAGGACAATACATCTTATTCCAGGGGTTCCCAAAGTGGAGGTTGCAAGATTATTGTAATTTTTTTTTATTATTGAAAGCAGTATATTTTAGGGATATTTAATATGTTTAAACCAACCAATTATTTACAATTTAACATGATCCTAACATTTTGCCATCTGATTTCTTGAGTTGGTTGGTAAATATGCAGGACTATAGACTAGGGTTATCAAAAAATCTGATCCTAAGTGATACTAAAGCTGGAATCGATATTCATTTGAGCAAGTATTGATACTAAAAAAGTCACATTCACAGGACAGAAATGAACCTTTCTAGCCTGATTCATCAGCTGGTTTCACTTCGTAGAAACCGTCTGACCTCGGAGTGTTAGATTTCGTTCACTCGACAGTAGGCAGGTACTTTTTATCATTTAACCAATCGCTGCTATTTGGTTGTCACGTATGTAATGCACCGCTAATAGGGTTTACTGGTATATTAAGCTTTTCCCAAATCTCATAGGAAGAAGACCAATAACGTCTTCCCCTTGATGAAATTCACCAAACATTCTCTTTTTTCTCTTTATTTATTCCTCGATCTCTGGAATCGTTAACAACACTGAATGTATGACTCTTCGCTGATTGGCTGGTGCCCAAACTTGCACTTCCGGGGTTTTTGCGAACCGTCTATTGTATTTTGATTCCTGATCTAGTCGCTGGAGAGAAATGAAATTGAGTGGAGGCACTAGGTGGCGCCAGTCTGATTAGAACCTTTCCTGAATTTCGTTAGACTGATCTTGAGCTGTAACAGAACAGGTTAAAGAGCCCATGGACCACTACAAAACCTGAGGGATTACACAGTTATAAACCCACATGGTAATATAAAAGGAAGTATTATGTATTAATGTTGATCTTAATGTTGGTATAGGAGTCTGTTTTGAGTATCGAGTCTAGTCCTTAATATCGAAATCAAGTTTGAAATGTTAGTATCATGACAACACTACTATAGACATTGATCAACATGTATTAAAAAGGACAACATTAAGATGGAAATTAAAAACATGTCTCAGATTCAGATTACATCCTAGAAATTGAGCTATGTCCATGTATGTGTAATAAAGTCTGTGTTTTCAGGTCAGCGTACACCCACTGCACGGAGTGGACATCGCTGCGTTGCCGATAACACAAATCTCTACGTGTTTGGAGGATACAACCCAGACTACGACGAGTCCGGAGGCTCAGAGAATGAAGACTACCCACTGTTCAGAGAGCTGTGGAGGTACCACTTTGCGACAGGACGATGGCAGCAGATTCAGACAGAGGGGTACATGCCCACGGAGCTAGCGTCTATGTCAGGTAAATATACAGAGACATAAACAAAACTGTCAGCTATACTGCACGCTTTTTTTACATTTTATTAAAGACAATAGAATATAACATTAAACAAAATATACAGTACAATACAATAATAAATTTGAAAACAAGATACAAAAACATAAAACATTATCTAAAAGCAAACATAAAAACCCACCCTTCCCCCCAACACACAAAATTAAGTAAATAAAAAATTAAAGTATTGTGTATCATACCATATTGCTAGGCCCTTTTATATTTATATATGTTGGCCAATTTATAATTTCATTTTCTTTTCTTTTTTTTTTCCTTCTCCTAGTTTAGTCACTACTTAACTAATATTATTTTCACCATCATCGTTTCCTTTCCTCATCTTTTCACTACTATCTTAAAGCATAATTTTCAATGTATTTTTTCTTACCCTCTTTCTTTCCCTTCCTTTTTTAAAATAATTAATGACTTTTTAAATATGAATTATCTTTTTTTATATACATTTTGAATTGTCTTTGTTTCAAGGATTACCTATGCTTTTTTTAAATTATTAACTATATTTTAGGTCACTACTTTCCATTGTTAATAACACTTCAGGTCACTACTTTAAATCCTGATTATAGTATTTAAATATTTTTTGATTTCTGATTTCTCTTTTTATTTCCTTTAAACATCTTTTGTGACACTGGAGTGGGTTAAAAATAAGCGTTACTTCTTACTTCGTCCCACTCTATTTCAAGCATCAGTCTTTCATTTGTGTGAGTCAGTCTTAGATTAAAATAATACAGACTGCATTAATCTCTGTACCACTTTCTATTTTTCTGCTGTGACATGGCTCGAAATAAAATATAATAATAAAGATTGGGATGTCCTAATATCCAGTTTTAATTTTACGATGATTCTGAGAAGAAACATCACGATTTAACCAATATTATGTGTTATTGACACGTAACAAAACAAATGTGAAATCTTTAATCTCCTTTCACTCTAATCCAGTATCACCTAACAATCTTCCCTGTACGGCAATAAGGAAAAAGAAATGGGCGACAAAGCATATAAGTAAACCAAGATACAGGTTAAACAGCTTTTATGCAAGCTGTCGAATCATGAGTCATGTAATAGTCATAGTAGTTAGTAGTAGTCAGTGTTAGTAATAGTTGGAGTAGTAGTAGTAGTAGTAGTAGTAGAATAGGCCTTAACAAATTTGGAAGTACGATATTTTGCTGAAAATGATGAACAATTATATTCAGAGTAAATTATGCCAATGACACAATCAAACTAATGCAATGATTTTAAATATAATATAATATAATATTGTTAAAAATTTAAGCTCCAGTAAATAAGTAAATAAATAGTAGTTTGCTAATATTGATAATGTGTAATGTTAAGAAGTTATTTATTCCACCCTCTACAGCTTAAATCTTATCGTAGAATAAATAACAAAAAGTTCCTCATTTGTACAAAGGAATAAAAAAGTACTTACGATAAATATTCACCTTCAAAAGTACTGTTCCATTTATCATGTATTGAATGTTAAGTCAATATACTGAAGTAGGCCTTAGTAGTTGTAGTAGTAATAGTAGGAGTAGTTGGAGTAGGAGTAGTAATAGTAGGAGTTGGAGTAGTAATAGTAGTAGGAGTTGGAGTAGTAGTAGTAGTAGTAGGAGTAGGAGGAGTCGTAATAGAAGGAGTAGTAGTAGTAGTAGTAGTAGTAGTAGTAGTAGTAGTAGTAGTAGTAGTAGTAGTAGTAGTAGTAGTAGTAGTAGTAGTATGAGGAGTAGGAATAGTAGAAGTAGGAGTAACAGTAGTAGTAGCAGTTCAGTAGTAGTAGTAGTATGAGGAGTAGGAATAGTAGAAGTAGGAGTAACAGTAGTAGTAGCAGTTCAGTAGTAGTAGTAGTAGTATGAGGAGTAGGAATAGTAGAAGTAGGAGTAACAGTAGTAGTAGCAGTTCAGTAGTAGTAGTAGTAGTAGTAATAGTAGTTAGAGTAGTAGTAGTAGTAGTTGGAGTAGTAATTGGAGTAGTAGTAGCAGTAGTAATAGTAGTTAGAGTAGTAGTAGTAGTAGTTGGAGTAGTAATTGGAGTAGTAGTAGCAGTAGTATTTGGAGTTGCAGTAGTACTAGTAGTAGTAGTTGTAGTAGGAGTTGAAATTGCAGTAGTAGTTGGAGTTGCAGTAGTAGTAGCAGCAGCAGTAGTAGTAGTAGTTGGAGTTGCAGTAGTAGTAGTAGTTGGAGTTGTTGGATTAGTAGTAGTAGTATGTCATTTCAAATATAATAACTCTGGTGATTATTTCTGATGGTAATTCTATTGTAATAAATAATTATTAATACACTACTATATTTATGTAGTACTTTATGTACATTGATTCTATTGGCCGGTACCTTGGCCTTGTCCCACATATAAAAGAAACTCAAAATCTCAAGAGGACATCCTGCATACGTTACACTACTTCTTCCTATTGTTATGCAAATGAATGTATATATTTATTGCTCTACTTATTACAGTACTACTCACCCATTATTAATTATTTTTTCACTAAAGAGTATTTTGTTGGTACCTGAAAATTGCACACTGTCTTTGTTATTGGCAATACTGAATGTAAGAATGTCATTTTTGTTTCAGCTGTTTTACACGGGAACAATCTGCTAGTATTTGGCGGCACTGGCATCCCTTTTGGTGAGAATAACAGCAACGACGTTCATGTTTGTAACGTCAAGTACAAACGCTGGTCACTGCTCAACTGTCGCGGAAAGAAGCCCAACAGAATATATGGACAGGTGACTACAGATTTTATTATATTTTTAGTTCAGTGTGTGGTTGTATTATCCTCTATATTTAATTAAAGGTCTTGTATTACACAAAATTGACTTTAAGTCGTGTTAGAATGTTGTTACCTCGCCAAAAACATACTGGAGTTGTGTTTTGTTTTGTTTCTTTCACACATGTTTGAGTGACCTTCTATTTATTATTTTATCTATCCAAAATGTTCAGGATCTGTATGTTGTGTGAATGAAACGAAACACAACTCCAGGTATGGTTTGATGAGGAAACATTATAACTGCACTCTTACTGTTTTCAAAAAGGTATTACCGTATTTTCTGCACTATAGGGCGCTCTGGATTATAAGGCGCACTGTCATTGAATGGTCTATTTTAAAACTTATTTCACAAATAAACCGCACTGGACTATAAGGCGCATTAAACGAAACACAACAGTAGGATAAGTCAGTCAAACTTTATTTTACGCATTCACAATAACTCTCAACTTCAATTGTTCAATTGTAATGCGTTAAAAAAATACTGTCTGAGACGCTAAATTGTTAGTGTATTCACACTAACTCATAATTGTTCAAACAGTTGGGTGATTACGGCGTCCAGCACGCCCACATCCCTCTCATCATTATCCGAGTCAGTGTGGTTACTGTTACCTGGCAGTTCAGTGATGATTTCGGTCTTGGTGGAAGCTCAGACCACAGTTGATATTGATCCTTAGCCCGGGTGTCCACGATCCGTTGGCAGATTGTGGTGTAAGTCGCTCGGTGCTGTCTCCCTGAATGTGTGTTCTCCTTCTCTCATACACTGCTCCCACGCAGATCACACTTAAACTTTATAACAGCCTTGAGTTTAAAGTCGGAGGTGTAAGTGTGTCTCTTGACAGGTGCATTTTGATATTAAAAGGAATCACAGTATGTATTACTCTGCGATGCTCCTGACTACGGGAGCCGTAATGCTGCAAGTGGTGCGGCTTTGTAGTTTACTAAAGTCGTACTAAGACACCCCAATAAATTCATATATAAGGCGCTCTGGATTATAAAGCACGCAGTCATTTTTTTATGAAATTAAAGGCTTTTAAGTGCCCCCTATAGTGCGGAAAATACGGTAACTGAATCTGGGTTAATCTACCAGTGAAACTCGCAACGCAAATGAGAGACTCATGTGAGGCTCATTCTGCTTTCTGAGTGGATAATCATCTTGAGTATCAAAACACTACTTGTAAATTATGATAAACAACTTGGCCATCATGTCCATTGTTTTTGCAACTAAGAATAAATCACCATTACAATTGTTATAAGTAAAAGTTATATTTGATTTAAACATGTTTACCTCATCTCTGGGGACACTAGGTCTGTCACGATAACACGTTTATAAGTGTGATATATTGGCTTTATTCACACTTCACAAACCAGGAAGACGTTTAGAAAGATGCGATAACAACTTCCCAGACCCAGTTTTCTTCATCTAAATGTCATTGTGGCGTTCTGTTATGTTCAGCTCATCAACAATTACAACCGTACCTCAGTTTTCATCATTTCCCTACAGACACAGAACTCCGAGCGCACTGGGTACATGCGATTAGAAGAGACGAGGGCACCAAATTCAAGATGATTCCTCTTACTTCAGTGGGTTTTATCACAGTCGGTTTTATTAGATCCATGTTAAGCGAGCCCATTGTCAATGACTACACCAGAAGTTTGTCTTATCTTTCCAAACGTCTTCCTGGTTTGTGACGTATGCGTGAACAGAGCCTATTGATGAAGTAAATATAGACAATAAACAATAATCTTCAAACTAATTTATGCCACTGACACAAAAACTCAAGATTTAAACCACAAAAACTATTCTAAATCTACAATATTGTTAAAATATGATGAGCTGCAATAAATAAACAGCCGAAATCCTTTAGTACTTATTAGTTTGCATCTTTAATGAGTCAACTTCTGTGGCAAAAATTTAAAAAAATGTCCTACTATTAGGGATGGGATGATGACACAATTTCCCAAGACGAGAAAAAATATGAGATTGGGTCCATAAAATAAGATTTTAACATAATTTCTAATAAATACATTTTGCAATTCAGTTTCTGATCTCAGATTTTTTTTATTTATTTGATTTCATAGTTTTGTTTCTATTCTAGTGCTGCTTTTTGGAACTGTAAGAGACGTAACTCACCAACCCATAACCCTTTTTTGTCTTATCCTAATGTAAACAACTGGAAAAAACCCTCAAGAGATGATTTTTTTCTCTTGTGTGCACGATCTTGCGGCAGTTTTGTCTCATGAGATCTTGTGGCACGAGATCTTGTCCCATCCCTACCTACTAATGCAAAGAAAATAAACACTATAAATACTAACCTCCAAGTACTGTATATTGTTCAGACTTTCATATGTCAAATAATTATTCTTCAAAGTAATTACCGTGACGGGCCTAGGGGACAGAGTTTGGTCATATTTATGGAGTTGAATCAAAATCTTTCACACAGTTCCTTTTAATAATTACTGAAATGAGTGTGTGTTTGTTTTTCTTCCAGGCGATGGTCATTATAAACGGGTTTCTGTACGTGTTTGGTGGCACGACTGGGTACAATTACAGCACAGATTTGCACAGACTGGACCTGACCTCTAGAGAATGGATCTATCTTAAACCCAACAATCCCCCAGACGACTTCCCAGAGGAGCGGTAATGGGCAACCTTAACCTAACCTTAACTATTAACTAACTCCTATGAATATGCTCCTGTGCTTACACTTACTATACAAAACTAAGTGTAGTATTGTATCTGTATTAGTAGATTATGGGCAATATGATAAAATTAGTAATTGAAGTTATTTATTTAACCCTCTGCTGCTTAAATCTTATTGTAGTACAGAAAAATAACAAATAGTTCCTCATTAGTACAAAAAAAAGTACCTGTGATAAATACTGGCCCCAGCAGTCATAGTAGTAATTTTAGTTGTAGTAATCGTACTCGTCGTTGTTGTAGTAGTAATAATCGTAGTCGTTGTTGTCGTAGTAGTAGTAGTAGTAGTAGTCCTCATCGTAGTGGTAGTAGTCGTCGTAGTAGTAGTAGTAGTAGTAGTAGTAGTCATTGTCGTAGTAGTCATCGTCGTAGTAGTAGTAGTAATCGTAGTCGTTGTCTTCGTAGTAGTAGTAATCGTAGTCGTCGTCGTCGTCGTAGTAGTAGTAATCGTTGTCGTCGTCGTAGTAGTAGTAGTAGTAATCGTAGTCGTCGTTGTCTTCGTAGTAGTAGTAGTAATCGTTGTTGTCGTCGTAGTAGTAGTAGTAGTAGTAATCGTAGTCGTTGTCTTCGTAGTAGTAGTAGTAGTAATCGTTGTCTTCGTAGTAGTAGTAGTAATTGTAGTCGTTGTCTTCGTAGTAGTAGTAATCGTAGTCGTCGTTGTAGTAGTAGTAGTAGTAATCGTTGTCGTCGTAGTAGTAGTAGTAGTAATCGTTGTCGTCGTCGTAGTAGTAGTAGTAATTGTAGTCGTCCTCGTCGTAGTAATCGTAGTCGTCGTCGTAGTAGTAGTAATTGTAGTCGTAATAGTAGTTGTAGTAGTAGTAATCCATATTATTATGTAGCCACCATTAATTAATTTTTAAAAACAAAATATAACAAAGTAAGTAAATATGTAGGTCAAAGCAGGACACGTGAAATAGAAGGTTTATTAGAGACCGCTGTGAAGTTCAGGTGCCACAGGGGGGCGCCAGTGGCAAAAAAAAAACTATTGGGTCCATAGGCAAAGCACTTCACCCACATTGTCTAGTACAGGCGTCTCCAACCTGTAGCTCGGGAGCTACCATTAGCTCTCCACGCCCTTCCAAGTAGGTCGCCAAGGGATTTCTGAATGACACATATTGTCCTCAACTCAAATCTGATGAATTAATTGCCTATTTTTATTGTAAATTTATCATTTTGATGCCTGACTTTATCTAAGTGTACCCCATCTAAGTCTTGCCATGACTCTTATGTACACTTTATTTACTGAGACCGTTAAAATGAGTAACTCTTTGGAATTTTCATTTTATAACATTATCTTACCCGGTGAAAAAGGTTGGAGATCCCTTGTCTAGTATGAAAGTGGTGTGTGTGCGTGAGTGTTTGTTGGATGGATTGATGATGCAGATTGGCAGCCTCGTTTCTGAGGCAGCTGTGGCTACAAAAAAAAAAAAACACCAGTGTGGAGTGAATGTATAATACAATAAAGTGTCCTTGAGTGTCCGAAAATCACAATATAAATCTGATTTATGAGTTAATTAATTTCGTGAGCCGGTCCTCCGCAGTCGTCACAGTCGTCTGTTGTGTGTTTTAGGTACAGACATGAAATAGCACATGACGGACAGAGGATTTATCTTCTGGGAGGAGGCACATCGTGGACGTCTTACCCACTGGACAAGGTAAACTGTACATCTGTTCAGACTAAAGCTTTTTCTAGTATCCATTATTTGATTTAAAAGAGACATATTCTGCAAATGGACTTTTAAGAGCTTTCAGCCATGTTAAACTTGTTGCTCTTCTCATTTAGCCACTCCAAGTTGTATTTAGAGTGATTCATGCAGCAATCTTTTTTTTTTTTTTTCTTTTTTTAGTTCATATGGACTTTCTTTACTTTTTTTTTTTACATTACATGCGTACATAGAAACATACGTCGCCCGTAAGGAGGAGACAGAAACAACTGCTTATTAACTACTCCCAGTCACAATGTCTTTTTTATTTAACTAACACGTGGTTCACTGATGTATTTCTTTCATTTTCTTAGGTCCATGCCTATAATCTAGAGACCAATTCTTGGGAGGAGATTGTAACTAAACCTCACGACAAAATAGGTATGACTACTTTATATTTGTTTGTACTGTCAATCTTTACTGCAGTATTTTAAAACATGGACATTTTGACAGGATATCCGGCTCCGAGGAGATGTCATAGCTGTGTGCAGATACAAAATAGTGAGTCGTTTTATTATTTTCCTGTAATTGTTTGATTTCTGTTGTTTAAAGGTCTCATATTACGCAAAAATGGAAAGTTAATTTAAAACCATGTTAAAATGTTGTCACTATTTTTAGGACTTGAGACTTGACTTAAAATGGACTAAGACTTGGGACTCGACTTGGACTTGAGGCCTGTGACTTCAGAAGACCTGAGTAGCACTTTTAAATCTGAATTCTTTCTATTCTGACCATAATGATTCACTCTAAGATCTTGTCAAAACATTTAAAAAGGAAAAAAATACTAAATTAATTTCTACATTTCTTACATACTCTATAATTACTCATATATAAATATACTATGATTTTGTAAGTACAATTAATCTTAAAATTCATATAAAATTGCAAAAATCTAAGCTATATTTGGTGCTTTGGTTTAAAGACTTGAAATGACTTGAGGCTCAAAGCAGAGGACTTGGACTTAACTTGGACTTATGGGCCAGTGACTCGAGACTTGACTTGGACCTGCTTGTATTTGACTTGGGACTTGACTCGAACTTGAGGTGAAAGACTTGAGACTTAAGAGAGACTTGCAAAACAACGACTTGGTCCCACCTCTGGGTGTTACCTCCTCAAAAACATGCCTGGAGTTGTTGTTTTTTTTTTCATTCACACACGTTTGAGTAATCCTGAATTATTATCTGTCTACATCTCCAAAGCTCAAATGCTCTTTTCCACCTTGTGATGTCACAAAGTAGTAGTTTTCAAGTGAACAGTTGCCTTTTACCTTTTGTTCAGAACAGATTGGCAATTCCAGGGCTGAAATTATCCAAATGATTCTAGTGAAAGTTAAACACAATGGAGCACTTCTTGTATTACCACATGACATCACAAGGTGGAGCAGTTTTCCATTTAAGAGAAGAGCTCAGCCTAAATCTGCAGGGTTTGTGTGTTAAACATGTGAATAAAACAAAACACAACTCCAGGTCTGTTTGTTTTGAGGAAACATTATAACATGGATCAAAAATAGCGTAATTTGTGCCTTTAACAGTTTCTAACACGTTGTCCCTTGTTCGTTACAGACGTATTTATATGTGGAGGCTACAACGGTGAAATCATTTTATCAGATTTGTGGAGGATCGACCTTCAGTCTTTCCAGTGGATCAAACTACCAGCCACGATGCCTGAGCCCGCTTACTTCCACTGCGCAGCTGTTACCCCGGTAAGTGCATTTTAAACACTGCTGGAAGAAGTACTCAGGTTTGTTACTTAAGTAAAAGTACAGATATTAGAGCAAAAAAATACTCAGATAAAAGTATCACATGAAAAAAGTAAAAGTATGAAAGTACCTAATGGAAAGTGTATTTTTACTTATATTTTGAGCAGATTTTGAGATTTAATAAGGCTTCAAATGTAGTGATTTTAATTTAGATTTTCTAGATGTTTTTATTTCTATATTTTTGTTTGCTCAAATTATATTAATATTATATAACGTGATAAAATAAATACTTTTTAAACAATCTCAAGCAGTCTCAAACAATAATAATAAATACTTTTACGTTTCAGTCCTGTTCAGATGTACAGATACCTGCTCTTAAAATGTAGTGAAGTAAAAAGTATCCACTGTAAAATCTACTTAAGTAAAGTACAAATAACTTTTTTTTTTAACTTAAGTACAGTACTAAAAAAAGTAAAGTAGTTTTACTTCGTTACATTCCACTACTGATCTTAAGGGTTTACTGCATAACATTTCTATTGGAGGGACATGACATCACAAGGTAGAACAGAGCATTTTGAGCTTTGGTGATGTAGACTGAGTAATACTTTTACTTCTTACTATTATTATTAATCTAACACATGTGAATGAAGCCAAACACAACTCTGGGCATGTCTTAAAGCTCACCATAGTAAGTTTTGCTTAATATCGGACCTTTAAAAACCCAAGTTGAGCAGATGATTAGACATGAGCACTAATTTGTGGCCATACCGACTTGCCAAAGCCTGATCCCGTCAGATCTCAGAAGCTTAGCAGGGCCGGGCCTGGTTAGTACTTGGATGGGAGACCACTGGGAATTCCAGGTGCCACAGGGCGACGCCAGTGGCAAAAACAGTCATTGTGTCCTTAGGCAAGACACTTCACCCACATTGCCTAGTATGAATGTGGTGTGTGCATGAGTGGTGGTCGGAGAGGCCGATGGTGCAGATTGGCAGCCACGCTTCTGTTAGTCTGTCCCAGGGCAGCTGTGCCTACAGTAGTAGCTTACCACCACTGAGTGTTGAGTAAATGAATAATGAACTGTAAAGCACTTTGGGTATCTTAAAAGGCACTACATAAATGCAATGATGAATAAAAAAAATGAATAGCTGCCCACTTCATATACCATCCTGTATTACTAATTCTGTCCCTGTGTGGTTTCGTAGGCGGGCTGTATGTACATTCACGGTGGAGTCGTGGACATCCTGGAGAACAAGAGGACTGGTTCTTTGTTTAAAATCTGGCTGACAGTTCCCAGTCTTTTGGAGCTGTGCTGAGAAGCTGCTCAAAGCCTTTCCCCACCTGACTACATTACCCACAATGCAACTGCTGAACCTGGGCCTCACACAGGAACTCATCGAGCGCTTGAAATAAAGCCATGCACAAGGTCGAGCTCCACCACGTTAATGCTAAAAGGGATGGACTTCAATAGGAGTAGGCATGTTTTACAGAGCACACATAACACGTCATCTGAAAGTCCCTCTGCCCTAAAGGAACCCACCGTAAAACCAAAAATGTTTTATTTTATCGTACAAGTTTATTTACTCAACTGCAGCTAAGAATATGATACGATTTTAACCAATCTCCCCACCAACATCAAGAGAAGCCTTAAATAGTTCTCACCGTGCCATAGTAAAATTTAGCTTTTAAAATATTGACTTGTAAGTATTTTTTTTTTAATTTTAATAACTAATTGTTTACTTAAGAGAGAAATAGGAAATACAGGTTTTTGCACATTAATTTTAATCGTCTTTTAGGTGGAAATGGGTCTGATAAATTGAATTGTACTTGGTGTTTTGAGCAGGCCTGTCGACAGAAATTTGGGGGGCCCAGGGCAAGAACGCTGGCACGGGCCCCTTTTTGAAATAAATTAACAAGAAGAGGGTCCTGGTTGTACGGATGCCGCAGAGGAACATTTTTCATTACTGACTTCCAAAGCATGCTGAGTGTATGAATGTAGGATTTAAAAATATATTAAACTTGAAAGATGTTGAGGACGCGTGGTTTCTGTTTTAGTTGTTTTACTGCAATTTCGATAAAATAATAATAAATATGTTACTTTTAAATGCCTTGGACAAGTTTCTAATTTTAAATCGAATAAGTTATTGCTTAAAAATCCTTCTGCCTTTCTGTGCCCCTGTTGATGCTGTTATCAGAATTTGGGCTAAAAGAGTTCTTGTATAAATAAAACTTTCTCATTCATTTTTCATGTTCATGTGTAACCACGCCTTACACCACTGTGAATATGGTGCTCTTAAGATTAATTTAAATAAAGATTATGGGAAATATTATTGATGCTTGTATTGTTCATTATTTGTCAATACTTTTTACATAAACATACAAACAGAATGGTGCTTCGTGGTCAAATGTGGATATCGTAGTGTTGTTACGATACTAAAATTTTTATAAATCTATTTTGATACTGAGCCGATCTATTCATGCTTGCGTTACAAAACCAGAAAATGTTTGGAAACATGCGGATGACGACTTCCTCTGGGCTCTGTTGGCGATAGTAACTCCATGAGTAACTAACAAAATCTGAGAAAACTGAGAAAACGAGACGATTTTCATTTAGATGTCATGTATTCTTTCTTTTCCCTTTTATAAATTGCCTGTTAATTTGTGTATTATAATTTGTCTAAATGTATTAAACAAGATGTCATTGTAGCGTTCACTTATGTTCAGCAGATCAACAGTTACAGCCAGCTGCCTGTCAGTGATATGAAGACATGATTAGCACCATGTCCCCTGAGGAAAGCTTTGGCAGGTTGTGAAGACGCTGCTGCTGAATCCACAGTTTTATCACATGCCCAGTGTCAGTAACTACACCGGTACTTTTGGTAAGCGTGAAAAGAGCCTATAGACCAAAATATATAACTTCGCCCCACCCCCTTTTTTACGCATAAGCAGCAATGTTCGTTTGTGACACTGGAACATATTTAAATAATTTAAATTTAGTTTTAGTTAGTTTTTATATCCCCTGGATGTCATTTAAAAAGGACATAGTTTGTTCTGCTGTTGTGATGCTTTGACCAATCAGATTAAAATTATCATCATGCTGTTCTGTTTTCTGATCACTTTCAGCAAGAGCGGTTGTACACTGATGCATAGAACTCAGAGCGTTACACCAGTCCGTACATAAACCTCATTTTACACTTGATTTACTTCAAGAAGTATTCAGAAAGCCAATTTTTTGGAGCGGTGAGAAAACTTTTTAAGCCACTGATCTACCCTATGTATGTTATAGTTTAAAAATATGTCTTCTTTCTTTCAAGTCAACATGAAATAGACCCAAACTTCTTCTTGCTCTGGTTAAAACACATGAAACTGACCAAACTGCATTTTAAAAGAGGACAAATATGGGCTGTTGTGGATATGAGCTATTCTTCTGAAGGAGCTAAATACACTGCAGTTACAAAAGTAAGGGATTTTTTATTAGATTAGAAATACTTTATTATCCCAAAGGAAATTCATTTCAGGCAGCACAATCCATACATTCAAACATAACAATAACATCAATTCAGTTATAGTGAAGCGTTGTACAGCCGTATGGCATGTGGAATAAACTATTTCCAGAGTGTGTCCGTGGAGCAGGACGGGGACAGCAGAGGTGCACTCTTGTGTGGAGATGGTGTCTACAGTTTTTGTAATCAAAGTCAAACTATTGTTCATGTTTGAGTTTATTTTTTCCAATACAAATCACAATACATAACAGCCAGAATTTAAATAACAAAATACTATTATTAAATGCCAAACATGAAAACTTAGTTACATTATTTCAAGAACACAATTTTACACATCAGTCATAAATTTATTGGAAAATGCTAACTTTGATTTCAGTTTCATGTGGATGGACAAGAGCGTGGAGATGGGGCAAAGAAGTACAGAGCCATGAGGATGAAGTAAACCACCACAAGAGCTGTACCTGCAGGAGGAGAAAGGCAATAATTACAATCCACCTTTTTCTGCCTAAACTGAGCTCTTTTGTGCTGGCACTTCTGGTTAAACGGGGATCCCATTCGTTTCAATGGAGAATTTGGAAAAAGTTTTGCAGCTAAAATATGACAAAGTAGGTTCATTTGTGCAAAATCTTCAGTTTTCATGAGACCAACAAGTCACACAGCACTGATTATCTACGGGGTTTATGTTAAAACTGATTTATAGTCTAAATTGAACTTATTTGCTGTCAAGATCAGCAGCTCCATACAAAATAATACAACCCAAATGAAGATGGTGGTGTGCTTTAGGCTTTAAAATTGTGTTATCTTGACATGCATAAGATAATTCAGCATTGCTTGTACTTCCAGATTAATTTATTTGGAAGGGAAGAATGCAATTACTCACCTTGAAAATAGTCACACTTCCCATCCATAAAGATATAATTGCACAGAATGACGCTAAAAATGCTTGCCCATAGATGGATGTCGCTGAACAAAAGCACAAATCCAACCTCCTAGATTTAAAGAAAAATGGTTGAAAATAAATAGTAATAAGTATAATAATAAGTAAACAAAATAAGTAATAAAAAGTAAACTGGTGCATGAGTGAACTTACATAAAAAGCATTGAAGAGAATGAGCAAAGGAATCTGGATCATGCAAACCTGCACCGCGATGCAGCTGCCCACTTCTAGACTGTAAAAGACACAGTTAAAGGTGCACTGTGTAATTTTTCTGGTGGGAGGGTGTGCCATCAGTTTTTCTCCGTGGAGATGTTATTGCAAAATAAAACTCACTCACCTCAGGCTGATGTTGTTCTGTAGAGCAAACTGAATACCATTGACAATCTCAGGCAGCTCAGGGACCATGGCCAGTAAAGTGACACCAATAAAATACTGTGTAAAAGAGGATTTAAATATATCAAAATACAAGTTACATGATCATAGAAAACAGAAAATAATGTGCAATCATTAAAGTAATGTTTTAGTCAAATTCACGGTAGTTTTGTGATTTAGATCTATTTACACAGACCTCAACATCACAAATCTAAGAGCAGTGAGCAGCCTGCTCCTCACTTTTTCAGCAGCACCGCCTTGCCTAACCAATTTTCTGTGGGAAACACAGATTACTGTTTTTCCTTGTTTAAAACTTGAGTACCGTATTTTTCGGACTATAAAGGTGCACTTAAAATCCTTTAATTTTCTGAAACATCCACAGTGCGCCTTATGTATTAATTCTAGTTGTGCTTATTGACCTCAAACCAATTTTCACTCATATTCCACTGAGTCCGACAGAAGCTGACGGCAACAGTGGACAGGCAGTGAGCTGTTTTTTATTATTTTTTAAAATTGCTTATAGTTGATGCAAATTGGTCATGTGTTTTTAAGTTTAATTTCTGTAAAATGTAAAGAAATGTGCACAAAGCTGCATGAAACACATTATTACTCAATCTATATTTCTAATAATCTTCCTCGTAGGAAATAGTCTCAAGTTTCATCCATTTGTTTCTCTTATAATTCGGTGTGTTTTATGTATGAAAATAGAAAAGAGAATTCAACATTATTGATATTTTGCCTTATAATCCGAAAAACACTGTAATACTAATTGTTCAAAGAGACACGATCACTCAGACAACAATAAAATATTCTCATTGATGTTCAATAATGGTCACAAATTTATTTTGTGATGTACGAATAATGTCTATTGACTTGGGTCGCGAAGATTTGTGACTTTTAAAATATGGGTCCCCCAAAAAAGTTTGGGAAATCCTGGATTAGAGATGCCGAGATGGGAAGCCTTGTTTCCATGAGTCTACTCTACCCCAGTGCTGCAGGTGTGACCCTGTTGTGCCCTCTGTCCTACCTGGGAGATGGTGGAGTGTGTGAGCATGGGTTCTATGTTTTCGATGCTGCGGTCGGCGCAGCAGGCCATGAGCACTGTGGCAAGGATGAGAACAGCCAGAGCCCTCCAGCGAGGCCAGTGCACCACAGGGTCAGACACTGGAGAGACAAAAGAACAGTCAGAGGAGAAACAGAAGAACAACAGACAGTCAGAGGAGGAAGAGAAGAACAGTCAGAGGAAAAACAGAGGAACAGTCAGACTCACCCATCTGTAGTGCTTCTAAGACTTCAGTGACCCCATGTACAGAGCATTCACACGGCATTCAGAAACACTTTGTTTTATCATGTTGCAGAAGAACACTAAATCAGATTTTATTCTTTATTAGACTCAGGCAAAGTTACATTAAAAAAGGCAAAACACTTCACCCACATTGCCAGTTTGAGTTTGAGTGCGTAATAAGCTGCTACTGTAGTGAATGAATAATGCACTGCAAAGCTCTTTGAAGGTCTAGAAAAGTGCAATATATAAATCCATTATTATTATACATCCTAAAAATATTTGCCTTGACAGAATTTCAAGACAAAAAGGAACTTCAACAACATTCAACATGATGAAACTCAAGATTTATAATACGATGTGAATACTTTGTGTGTGCCCCATGCTCTCCCTCTCTCATGCCTCAGAGGTACTCACATGCACAGGCTCCACTTTACCCCACAGTGACGACTCCTCCAGTGTCCGACATGCAGCAGGTTAGCGCAGGCAGCAGGCAGGCAGTGTCCACACCACACACACACTAGGGCTGTAGTCGATTAAAGACATGTTCTGCTGATTGATTGGTCGACCAAAAAAGGAAAGTGGCAAAAGCTCTCAAAACTATTATGAATCTGACCCAAACTGCACTCAAGACCCCACCTGTACAGGAGTCCATGCAAAAACAAGTATGCAGAAACAATGCATTATTTAAAAACAGATAAAAATGTGTTTGATCTGTCTTTTTACATTTACACTACCAGTGAACACACCATCTCATTTTTTCCTTCATGTTTACTACTTTCTACATTGTAAGCAAAGGGAAGATATCAAATATACGAAGCAAGATGTTTGGTATTATGTAAAGAAGAAAAAAAAAGTATATTTTATATTCAAATCCTAAAAGTAGTAGTACCCTTTGCTTTGTTGACAGCGCTGCAAACCTTTTGCCTTCTCTCAGTGATCTTCTTGATGAAGTCTCCTCAAATGATTTTCACTTCACAGTTGTGCCTTGTCAAGGTCAAGAAATGCCAAAAGTGCAAAGCAGTGGTCAAAGCAAAGGGTGGCAATACATGCATCACGAATTTCAGACTTCCGGTCATTGCGCAATGCATACTGGGAAGGATTTTCCGAAAAGGGGAGCATCAAACCGCCATGATTGTTCTCCCAGTGGAATACGTCTATTGACAAAGTCGACCTTTTCAAGTCTTTTGAACCATATCACTTTTGTTTCTGGTTCTGATATTGTCATATTTTAATTTTGGGATTCAGACATCGTGATTGTGTGGTTGTTGGATGTCCTAACAGTGGAAAACGGCTTGAGAAATGGGCTTTGGAAGTTTGCAAACTCCATAAATGCAAAAGGGAATCAGATCTGTGTGACTGCAAACCTCCATTCAAACTGTTTCCCAATAAAATTCCCAATAGAATTGAAAAATAGTGAAAGGCAAAGGGCAGTATTGATACACAGGAAGGACGAAAAACAAACTTTGGCTGCCTAAGAAATCATCCCAAGTTTGCAGCAAACATTTTGTATGTAGAGCGCCAACAAAGCAAAAAAAAAGGTACAGAAGACAAACAGGCTGAGCTCGCACTTTGTTTGACTGACTTTTCAGCAACATCATGTCTTGGTCACTTTGCAGTAGAAGATGTTTCTTGGCGAACAGCTGGTGCCTTTCGCTTTGGCGTTGACTTTTTAAATTCGTAAGCAAGGTTGAGCGAGGGATTGGGATTTTGCTTTGTTGAGCCCCTTCAGATGTTAGGTGAGATCATTTGAGCTCTTAAACAAGTGTCAGACAGCGTAGTGCAATAATGAAAATAATGGAAATAATCATGGAAAAAAAGAAGCATAAATCAAAAAGTGTGCCCAAATGTTAGTAGTGTAGATACAAAACACCAAATCTTCAGCTAATTTACTGGCCAGCTTCTCTTTTCTGCTCCAATCTAAATTAAATTTGAAGAAATACTAATACTAATTCTAGACACCATCAACCGGTTGAAAGACTGAAGGACTACAGCCCTCACACACACACACACACACACACAAATATATACACACACAGACCTGGTACGACATGGCAGGTTGCTACAAGGCTGGCGTTAATGCAGGAGCTTGGAGCGAGGACAGGGCCGGCGTTGGGGCGGTGCTGCGAGCGCGCCTCCTGCTGGTACTGACCGTGAGCGTGCCCCCCCTGGATGTCACTGATGTGGATGTCGTAGATGTGGGAGTGAGTCTTCAGCGTGAAAATCAGACCGATGAGGTACGCGGCCGGCAGCAGCACGGCGATGGTGTAGACGAGAGGTCTGGTGAACCACAGTGTTTAGTGTTGGGGCTGTTTACATGTGAATTACATATGAAGAGTGCCATTCATACTTTGCATTGATGTCATGCTGGTGGTGCACTACATTTATGTATAAGATGGAATGCTTAGAAGTTACTATGGTTTTATAAGTTTTAAGATAGAAAACCAGGGGTATAGTGTACATGGGGGTACATCGTCCACCCACTTCTCCCGATGTAAGATATAAAAAAAATTAAAATAAAAATAAAAAAGTAATAATAATAGAAACAAGCAGAGACGGACTCCACACAAAAAGTTACATATTAATATCTCTATAACTACCAGACCTATCCACATGAAACAAAAACTGGCATAGTGTTCAATGTCTTCTGTGTCAGTAGAAATAAACAAGTGATTTTCACAAAAACAAAGTGGTGGTTGTGGTCACAATCTGTAACAAATGATGATAATGTTCTACATTTATAGATTTTGAGTTACTTCTTTCAATAAAAATGACTTATACAGGATGTTCTCCATCTGAAACTATAAAATGTCCTAGAGCAGACATGTCAAACTCAGGCCCGGGGTCCGTGATATAATTCTATTTGGCCCGTGAGATCATATCAAATATGTATTAGAGCTGGCCTGCCAGCTACAGACAGGCTATAGAGACATTATTTATTAAAATTTTGTTATTATTTTATATTATGCTTGTTCTGGATTTAATGTTTAAGCAAAACTATTATTAAACATTTATTTGAATAAGAAAAGGTTTAACATTACATATCTCAAAAGAAGAGAAAACATGCCAATGTTGAAGTTTTTCAGTAAATATTTAGTTTGGCCCACGACTTAGTCCCAGTTTTTAATTTCGGCCCTCTGAATTTGAGTTTGCCACCCCTGCACTAGAATATCATACACACAAACTTATTTACCCACGACATACTTACTCAATGTGGGACAAAATCAGATGTGGGTCAGTTTGACTCTGTTTGGAAACGAAAATGAAAAATTAACCTAAAAGGCATTTTATAAAAAAAACTAATTTATATTCTGATTTAGTCTAGTCATAATTCACTCATTCACAACAACTGTTAATGGTAATGGCAATAACACTCACTTACTCAACACATTCATACACAGAGAAGATGGGAGAAGTGTCTTGCCTTAGGACACAACAGCAAAATGACCAGGCCAGAGCAGGATTTGAACTGCCGACCTTCCAGTTATAAAACCTCAACTTTTAATTTCTTACTGAGTCGTAGTGGCAGTCCTTGCAGACGAAGGGGACACTGGTGTTTCCCGGGACACTGGTGCAGCTTTCACAAACCAGATTTCCAAACGTCTTTGAGAACAGAGTGGGAGCAAAAACCCCTGAAACAAAATAGGCATGTGGTCATTTTCTTATTTTGTTGAAGAGAGAAGTTTATAAAGTAGTTTGTACCTCCGATGGAAATGAAGAGCAGAGCTGAACTGACTCCAGCCGAGCGACTATTGAACATTTGCTCCCTGTGTTTAATGCCTCCAATGATCATACAGATTCCCTAAACACAGAAGACAATTAAAACAAGCAGACAACTGTGAAAACTCTCACCACAAACCTGTAAATCAACAAAGTAATAATTTAACAGAATAAGATTACATGACAGTTCTTGTTATGGTTTAGCATGATTTATAAAGCAACTGATCTCGTATTCGTTTGTCAGTTCTTTTTACAAGTGTTAATGCTTCTGGAGGCGTTTCCCACTGTTGGGCAACTTACATCAAAACAATATTACTGCATTTAAAATATAAAACATTACACGACTATTGCAGCACTTTTAAGTTACTGTCAACAAAACAACAAATAATCAGTGAGTGAAGATGCCGAAGTTTTGCGCCATATATGAACTGAACCAGGACTAAACCAGGACTAAACCAGGACTAAACTGAAGACTGAACCGAGGACTGAACTAGGACTAAACCAAAGCAGAACCAGAACTGAACCAGGACTAAACAAAGTCTAAACCAGGTCTAAACCAGGTTCTAAACCAGGTCTAAACCAGGTTCTAAACCAGGTTCTAAACCAGGACTAGGACTGCCCCTGCCCAGAAAGCGCGATTGGACGTCAGCGGTGATTGGTCTTGTGGAGCGAGGAGTTCTACGCCGGTCCTTTCGGACGAGGTTACCTGAGGTTACAGGACCTCAGGGCCTGTCCCAGCATTGGGAACCGTAACAACTGCATTTCACGATTTTACTGAATTTGTATGAAGAAAAGGAAAAACCCACCACTTCAGTCCAGGTTAAGAATGCATTGTGACGCATGTTACTGACATTTGTACAGAGTAAAATATTAAAAGTTTTTCCCCTGTAATGCTACATTACTGCGTTACGGCAAAAAGCAACACATTACAGTAATTCATTACTTTATGACGCGTTACTCCCAACACGTGTTTACAATATGAACTCTGACCAACTAGCTTTCTGGATGTCTTCATAAAGAGGTTATAAATAGGTTATATGGCATACTGTGGGAAATAAGGAAAAACAGTCTCCATGGAGAAAGTTATAGTTAGTTGTAAAAAGTTATAGGTCAGCTCTATGGTAAGAGAAACCCGCAGATAGCTATTCAAGGTATTTTTAAGAAATAAAATCCCTGTGGTAATTTAGATTTATATTTTAATGCCATACTGTGGAACATGCAGGAAATGCAAAAACATGTTGATAAGTCTAATCTAGATAAGCAGGTGGTGGACAGTCCAACAGAAACATTACATACTGCACTTTAAAGATTTACATGGGAAAAAGTTCACATTAAACCTGCGTTAGTGCAAGAATCAGACTCACAGGTATGAAGAGTATACAGCCCAGCAGTGTCCCGGTGAGAGCCGCTTTGACGATCTCCTCGTAACATTTGGTCCCTGCTTTGTGTCCCTGTAACAGTCCTGTGATGTAGAACGTCATCTCTGTGATGGAGCCAAACGTCGCATTCACCACAGCTCCCACCGCAAAGTTACTCTGCGCTGAAATACTGACGGGACAAACATTTAAGATAAAGAGATAAGGGACAGTTTATTGTCCATCCCAAATGAGAAATAAAATGCTACTTTTTCATGTTCAGATAAAAAAAAGTCCAGTCAAGTCCACAAACTTACCAAATCAGTCTTACAGCATAAAAGACTTTTCATCTGACTGTTTTAATTTTTTAAGTTCATGTTTTAGATTAGAAATACAACAACATACTTACTGTCCAGTGTGATAAAACATACCTGGCGATTCCCATGCCGATGAAATAGGACAGAGGAATGATGGAGGTGATGGCTGTGGCAAACTTCGTCTGTGCGCTGAAGTAAACATGGTCCCTGTCTGTGTATCCGATCACTAAACTGGTGATGACCAGAGGGAGAAGGTCTGAGGCATAAACTTAAGGAAGATGGAAAATACATTGTATTTTATATTTTAACACATTATTTTTTTCAGACTAAAGTTTATCTTTTTTTTGTACACCTGGCAGTTTCAACATCCACAAATTAACATGATAAAAAATTGCTCCAATTATGTTCACGTTATTAATGGTGTCAGAGCTGTATTTTTGCATCAGAGTTTGGTTATGGTTTGTTTTGGAATGGGTCCAGAAAATTGCCATGTTGATTTTTATAACTTTCTATCCAATTCTACCAGTCAAAAGTACGGACACATTGGATGCACTGATTTTTTTCCCCTTTATGTTTTACTACTGTCTACATTTTATTTACATCAAATATATGAAGCAAGAAACACAGAATGTATTATGTAGTAAAGAAAAAGTTATTTATATTTTTTATATATATATATATATATATATATATATATATATATATATATATATATATATATATATATATATATATATATATATATATATATATATATATATATATCCACAAAGAAGCAATTAACACTCCTGAAATGGTTTTCACTTCACTGTGACTTGTCAGGGTGGGTCACAAAATGCCAAAAATTGCAAAGCAGTCAAAGCAAAGTGTGGCTATTTAATTTATTATTATTATTTTTATCTAAAACAAGTTTAGTTATTTTAATTAAGCTTTTTGTTTACCACATCACTCAGATCCATTCATAGTTTTGATGCCTTTCAGTGAGAATCTACAATTTAAAAAATCATGGAAAGAAAAAAATATTTAAAAGTGTTTGCTTTTGACTTGTCATGTAATTCCCCAAATTAATGTTGCAGTCCAAGCACAAAGAATATTTATGATGCTGTTTAAATGGCGATGATGGCCGAGAAAACTCAAGAGCATCTCCCAGTCTTTATAAATGCTGTCTATAGCAGATCACTGAAAAGAAAATGACAAAAGATTCATTTGAGCACCATAAATGATTCACATTTCATAGTCAAGTGTAAAAGGATACTGAGGGCGAATATGTTGATCCCTTGGACTGAGTACTTGTAGTAGTGAATGTTCATTGCTTTGTTACAGCACAAGACGACCCTGGTCTCGCACATTAAAGTCTGAAAACATCGTGAAAAACAACAGTCACACATGAAAAACACATCACACCGTTTTAAAAAGGTCCTATATTAAGCAAAGTTGACTCTTGTGAGCTTTAAGCCAAGTTTTAATCTTGTTAGCTCATGAAAAACAGACTCAGAGTTGTGTTTTGTTTCATTCACACATGTTTGAGTTTGAGTAATCGTTTATTATTAGTCTGTTTACCTTTAGTTCAGTGGAGATGGGCAATACCACAAGGTAGAACAGAGTGTTTTCTGTTTAAAAGAAGAACTCAGACTAAATACGCACAAAACACAACTCCAGGTATGTTTCTGATGAGGCAACAACGTTATAACAGAGTGCGTACTATGGCCGCTTTAATCTGTTCATGGCTTTAATCATAGTTCATGCTTTCAAATGACACGAGCCTTAAGGTCCAAGAACAAACTATTGTATTGAACAAAGAGGCCCAGTCAACAAGCATCACATAAGCGAGAAAAACACATGCCAACAACCCTATTTATAGACTTAAAAAAATTATAATTTGTGCAGGAAATAGATTCTGTATCCATCAGTGTTTACAAACCATCAAAGCAAGAGGACAAGGGGAAACAGGCGCATGGGATTATATTATACTTTAAGATAAAAAGTTTGCCAAAATTTTATGTCAAACAGCATAATTACTTAAAGCCTCACTGCATAACTATTTAGCTAAAAACAGACAAAAGTAAAAACGTGCGTGGGATTGCATATTCAAACCTTGCTGTACTTGGCCTCTATGTGGTTCTTTTGGCTAAAATATTATATATAAACATGACCAAATTATCTGAAGCAAAGTTTTGTACCATATATTTTGCTCAATATTATTTAGGGTTGGTCATGTTATAAATCTGAGGTGTTTAAAGTTTATTTTTGTATTTTATATCTAGTAAAAAAAAAAAAGTCTTTGTTAACGTGACAAATCAAATATTATGCACAGGCGTTTAAAAAAAACAAATCTTACTTTGTCCACTGTATTAATGTGTATGTCTTCTGGAGCCATGAGGAGCACAGTGGTGGCAGCTCGAGCACTGAGTTTGGAAATGGGAATTGTGAAAACCAAAAGCCACGAGATCAGACAGGCCACGAAGTGAACCACGAACAGAACAGGATACCCCAGCAACAGCCACACGTATGTAGCTGGGTGACACTGGAGACACAAAAACACAAGAAGAACTTTATCAAATATACTAAGAATAAGTAAGAGCTTGTTGTAGGCAGTGTTGGGAGTAACGCGTTATGAAAGTAACAAATTACTTTTTACTTAACGACTTTAAAGCAGCTCTGCTTGTGCACAAGTCTCTCCATGACCGAGCACCAAAGTACATCTGTGACATGTTAGTGTCATATGAACCATCTGCACTCTGAGGAGCTCAGGGACCGGCCTCCTGCTGGTGCCCAGAGTCAGGACTAAACACGGGGAGTCAATGTTTCAGGTTCACGCAGCTAAAACCTGGAACAGTCTTCCTGAACATGTGAGACAGACTCTTCTGTGACGCTGTTTAAATCCAGACTCAAAACATTTCTGTTTAACTGTGCATATGACTGAAAGGTTTTCATTCCGCACTTTTCTCTCCAATTTATGTAATTTTATGTCTCTCTCTCTCTTTTTTAATTTTAATCTTTAATTTTATGATGATTTTTTATGTTTTGATTTGTTTTTATGGTGATTTTAATGTATTTCTTATTCCGTAAAGCACTTTGAATTACTTCGTGCACGAATTGTGGTATACAAATAAACTTGCCTTGCCTACTACTACCACCTGCTACCACCACTACTACTGTCCCTATTACCATATTTTCCGGGCTATTAGGCGCTCTGGATTATAAGACGCACTGTCATTAAATGGTCTATTTTTGAACTTTTTTCACAAATAAACAGCACCGGATTTTAAAGAAAACACAACAGTTCGATGGGTCAGACGGACTTTGTTTGGCGCGTTTACGGTGAAGCTGGGCTTTGTTCAATTGTGGCGTGTAGGGAGGGTGCTGTCTGGGACCGCTGGACTGTTTGGCATGTTCACAGTGGCAAGGCAAGTTTATTTGTATAGCACAATTCGTACTCAAAGTAATTCAAAGTGCTTTACAGAATAAGAAATACATTAAAATCATAATAAAAACTAATCAAAACATAAATAATCATGAAGATTAAAATTAAAAAAGAGACATAAATTAGAGAGAAGAGTGCGGAATGAAAACCTTTCAGTCATATGCACAGTCAAACAGAAATGTTTTGAGCCTGGATTTAAACAGTGTCAAAGAAGAGGCCTGTCTCACATGTTCAGGAAGACTCAGTGACTCGGTTGTTCAGTTGTGACTCAGAAAGGCACATTGGACTCGCTTTTTCGGTTCGTTCCTCCGTTCCGTTCCTCGTCCGTGTGGAGTGATGAGTGTGACTGTGGGTGTTTTTCGCTGCGCGTTCACCGTCTGCTTCGTGTGTGTTTGCGTGTTCTGCGGGTGGTGCGGCTTTGTAGTTTACTGAAGTCGTACTGGGACACCTGAGTGGATTTGTGTATAGGGCGCTCTGGATTGTCGTTTTTTGATGGGGTTGGAGGCTTAAGAGCGCACCCAATAGCCCGGAAAATACGGTAAACTTGCCTTACCTAGCCTACTACTACCGTCCCTATTAAATAAATAAATAAAATAAATACTACTACCTGCCACCACCACCACCACTAATAATAATAATGGATTAGTCTTGTATCGTCCTTTCTCAGACACTCAAAATCACTTTACAATGTCTCGGCCGTTGTAAGCGTGTAGTAGCTTACTATGGCGCAGACTGACGTAAGCGAGGCTGCCAATCTGCACCACTGGTCCCTCCGAGGAACACCAACACACACTATATTCATACTAGGCAATGTGGGTGAAGTGTCTTGCTTTAGGACACAATGAAACCTGGCACCCCACTGTCCCACTGTAGCACCTGATTTTCCCAGCATTCTTCCATCCAAGGCTTTGACAAGGAGGTTTGACCAATGTTTTAGCGCCAAAAAACAACTTGACGACACAACAAAATAATAAACAAGTGGCAGACCCATCACTAGAAAAGTCAAATAGTACATCTTTAAATATAACCTGTGTGTTTTACCCAGTGTCTTGACATTCTTCTGGTTGGAGGTTCTGGCACAGGGATCTCCACCGGAAACGGAGAAGAGGCGAGCATAGGAGCGGAGTCCTTCTGCCTGCTCGGATCGTCCTCGTCCTCTCCTCCAAAACCTCCTCGATGTGAGAGAATTCCAGTTTTCCTCACCACATCACTGACCTGAGAGGAAAATAAGCAGTTTAAGTTAAATAGCACATGATTTTTGAGAGGAAATTGTGGTCTGTTATCGCATTACCTTATCTATTGACTTCCCAAAAGGCCAAATAAAGTACCAGCCCATTTTCCAACAAAGCTTTCCTAAAAATACACATAAAATAAATAAAACACAGTTGGGGTTAAAGGGTGCATCATGTAACTTTTCTCGTCAAGTGTCTTGTCTTCATGGGGATGTTATGCCTTTTGCTTGGCGTGTTCCTCAGTACAGCATTTAATTTGTCTATCCTAATGGGAATAACCAGGTGACACTATGAGCCCAAGTTACAATACATTCATAGTAAGAAGGCATGTTTATCAAGCAATAAAAATGCAGGACAAATTTCACTACATGGACAATAAAGTGTATCTTAACCTTAAATAAATGCAAAATGAATAAGTTAAATGCTATAAATCAGGGATACTTATTGCGTTTATACCAAAAACAGTAACACAGCCAATATATTTTTTCAAAAATGCTAGATAAACACATAGTGAACATTGCAACACAAACGTCTGCATTACACCAAGTATAAATCAAGGCTTAATTAATGGTGTTTCCTAAAGGGGGCACTGTGACCTGCACTGCAACCAGTGATGCGCGGGTTCATGTATAAACGACCCGAACCCGATGTTTTCAACTAACCCACCCACAACTCTGACCACAAAAAAATAAAGGGAGTGAAATAAAGTGAGTGTAATGACAGAGCTGCTCTAAACCTGCACAGTTCTGATCTCTGAAAACATGAACCATCTCCAACGCGACACACACACAGAACAGACTCACCATGAGCAGTGCATCCCTGTCATAGATAGACAGATGGAATACATACAGTATATTCCACTGAGTCATGTCCTTTAGTCTGACAAACAAACTGTTTTTTTTTTTTTTGTGTTTATAGTTTATGCAAATGAGCCTTGCGGTTTTAAGTTTTGTTTCTGTAAAATGTAAACAAATGTGTCAAAGCTGCATTAAACAAATTATAATGTCAAACGGGCTGATGTGGCTCTATGGTGGTTATGGTTTATATGCTGTAATCCCTGTATTAATGTAAATATGGTTTTAATTGAAAATGTATTGGCTGTTTCTTTTTTCTGGGATGTCCAATTTATCTGTAGAAATGTACATGGTGACTTGTGTGTTGGCGTATGTTGGGTATAAGTGGCTCTCCTCTTGATTTTGCTCTTCCAATGTGGCTCTTGTGAAAAAAATAGTGAGTATAATGGCTACAAGTGGAACATTCACTCAGTTACATCTCCATAGAGTCTCCACACACACGAGAAAAGTTACATAGTGCATCTTTAGTAAATTAACATGTGCAGAGAAATGTGTAGATAGTGTACCATAAACTCCCCCAAGCACGGTCATGAACATCAGGGCACAAATGATAAAGTAAACCAAGGAAATCCACCATCCGAAGAAAATCACGTAAGCCACATTTCCACAAGTGACCAGTGAGCCTGAGGAGAGAAAATGCAAACATTAAATTTAATAGTAGTTGATAAAGGCAAAATATATCAAATTACAATATTAAATACAGTACCTTCTTGAGGTCTGACGGTGCTCAGGTCTGAGTGCAGTTCTTTGTCAATGTCAGATCTGATCTCGATGGGTCTCTCTGTGACATGGCCCTTCCATTTCCTGAAACCAAACTACAACACAAAAGAAGATGGATTATAAACAAATTACATCTACTAACTCACCCTTTTTATTTGACTGTTTCTTCATATTCATAATTGAATTAAAATACACAGTATTAATAGATTTTTTTTATTTTTTTATTCTCCCCATAGTCTAAAACAACCTGAACTACACATTGGCAACACAAAGTAACTCTGTTTTGCCCATTGTCTTATCATAAACATTTAAAGTATCTAAATTTAACTTATTTATGCCATCATAGTCTCCAAATGCCTGACTCATCAGCCTGTCTGACCTCGCAGCATTAGGATTTGTTCACTAGACTCTAGGTGGGTACTTTTTTAATTTAACAAATCGCTGCTATTTGGTTGTGACGTATGTAATGCTCCAAATCCCGTAAGAAGGACAATAAAGTCTTTCCCCTTGATAAAATTCACCAAACATTCTCTTTGTTTCAGCTTTAAATCCTCAATCTCTGGAATCGTCGCCAACACAGAATGTCTGTCTTTGTCTACATCCATCTCGACTGGTTTGTTTACTGTTGTGCTGTACCACAAAAGGGACCCAGACAGACACTTGAGTTTGACATCATGGATTCACAGCTCTTCACTGATTGGCCGGTGCGCAGTCTACAACTTCGGAGGTTCTTGCAAACCGTCTAGTGTATTCTGATTCTTGACCTAGTCGTTGGAGAGAAATGAAATTGAGTGGAGGCACAAGGTGGCCCCAGCCTGGCTGAGTCTCCACAGAAACTAAGGGAAACGGTGGGTGTACTATGTCATTTTTTTGGTGGATGGTCTGCCCCCTTCTTGTCTCATCTGAGAGGTTATTGCTTTTCCAAGAATGTTCCACAGTATGGCATTAAACATATCTATGCCAAGCAGGTAGCGCAACTAGGTTGAGTTACAGGTCAAATCTGAAGAGAGGTGTATTTTGAGCAGTTAAAACACCTGTAATTGAATGAATGTAAAATAGACAAGTTCTATGCCATACTGTGGAACATTTAAGGCAAAGCATTAACATCACCATGGAGACAAGTAGGTAGATGAACCCTATCAGAAGAGCTGCAAAATGCACCTTTCAGTGCATAGGTGCATTTTATCTTATAAAAGATAAAATGTTTTTTGACTGGGTGGCCTTTTAGGAAGCTACCAGTGACAAGTGAGTAATCTGGGTGCAGTGTCTTGCCAAAAGACACAACAACAGTAAGGAAAGCTTCACATTGGTAACCCCATTTGACAGCCCTTCAGTGACACCCAGCCCATCGTTCAATAGAAACATAAACACAGCATTAATATTGGATTAACTGTCTGACCTTGTAGTTGTTGGCCTCCCTGTGGGCCTCCACCTCGTTCTCTGCTCTGATGGTGGTTTTGGTGCTGTCGTGCCAGGCCTCGTCTCCGTACCAGGACGCACTGGACCGGACTGAACCTCCATGACCTCCTGTGAACAGCAAGAACATTTAAAGATCCTATATTACACAAAACTGACTCTTGTGAGCTTTAAGCCATGTTATATTGTTGTTAACTCCTCAAAAACAGACCTGGAGTTGTGTTTTGTTTCATTCACACATTTTTGAGTAATCCTGGTTTATTAGTCTATTAATAATATTCAAGTCAATAGCTACTTTATACATTTAGTTCAGTAGAGATTGGCAATAATGATGATGATTCTAGTGAAGGTGTATGGAGTTTATAAAGAGTGGTGCCTGGTTCCTGTATTAACCCATGACATCCCAAGGTAGAATAGCCGGGTTTCACGTGACGTCACAGGGCTACGTTTGTCAGCACGCAAAATCAGAAGGAGGGCAGGAAGTGAACTGACTGGAGGAAAATGCTGATGTGTTGTGTAGTTTACGGCTGTGCCAATTGTTCTAATCGAGAGAAGGAAAAGCGATTTTTTTAGAGTACCGAATCTAGTACACAACCAAGGTTGAGGACCCATCCACTGACAAAAAAGTTATATGCCTCCAAACTTTTGTACGCCTTCATCTGTTGTCTGGTGTAGAACGATGTCTGAAGAGCTTAATAGTTCGTGATATCCACTGCCTCGATTGTCGGCAAATCTTTTACCTCATTTTCAATAAGACGGGGTCACGCCCAATATATTTGTCAACTAACTGCTCGTACTTTTCCTTGCTACTGACTCTAAATCCTTACAATAAGAACTCTTCTCCATATCTGTGTTCTCCAGAGCCGTGTTTGTTGTGTTTGTCTTCACTTCCTGACCTCCACCTGAAATTCGTGCATCATTTTGATCACGTGACTGAAACCCTCCTATGAAATGTTTTCCGTCTGAAAAGAGAACTCAGCCTAAATACGCAGGATTTGTGTGTTAAACATGTGCGAATGACTCAATGATTAAACTATTAAAATATTAACCAGGCAGGCGCCACCTAGTGCCTACGCTCAATTTGATTTCTCTCCAGCGAGTAGGTCAGGAATCAGAATACACTAGACTGTTTACAAAAAGAGCGAAGAGCTGTGAAGCCATGACTGGGTGCTTTTTGTGGTACAGCACAACAACAGTAAACAGTAAACAGTCAAGGTTGATGTAGAAGAGGACATACATTCTGTGTTGGCAATGATTCCCGAGATCGAGGATTTAAAGCCAGAACAAAGAGAATGTTTGGTGAATTTTATCAATGGGAAAGACATTATTGCCCTTCTTCCTATGGGATTTGGGAAAAGCTTAATATACCATTTAGCCCCATTCGCATCTGTCTCTTTTGTTGTTTAAAATCTGAATTAAATTCATATTTTTGCTTCTATATCGCTCCTATAGGACTCTAAAAAAGACATACAATTAATATGTGATGATGTCTCCAAATATTTACGTTTTGAATTGTAAAAATGTGCAACGACAATGTGTGCACTTGAATGTAATGGCTTATATAGACTGGCCTTGCTGTAAGTTTATTTTATTGTACTGTGAATGTTTTAAGTGTACATGCAATGTTATCTCCCATCGAGAGTTATGTATATTTACGTAAAAAAACAACAACATCATGACCAAATAGTAGCGACTGGTTAAATAAAAAAGTCGAGCAAACGAACCCTAATGCTGTGAGGTCAGACGGTTTCCATGACATGAAACCGGCTGATGAGTCAGGCTCAAGCCCCCAGGTTCCAAAATGGCCGCCCATTCAAGTCAATGGGCTGAGCTCAATGGCGCATGATCCCAGATTAGCCTAGCCCGGCTAGGTACTTCCGGTGGCTGTGGGCCGACCGAGCATGCGCAGTATGTTCTTTTCTCCAGCAGGCAATAGCGAATGCACGCGAACGCACGCACGGAGCGCGGGCTCGTGTATCACGTGATCGCTTTGACCAATCAGAGCGAGAGGAACGAGAGCGGAGCCGGAGCTAACGAATATAAAGCGTTTTTTTAAGACAACTGAAGGATTTTGAGCGAGAAAAAGTTTATGATCTAAAAATAGGTAAAAATCGCCACAAAATCCGACATTTTTGAAAGTTGTAGGTGCCCTGTCAGCCGAACACGAGCAGGTTGTGATTACATTGCGCTCTATGAGAAAAATCTTCTCTCGGCCCATGGGATTTTTTCGACTGTAGTACCACTGAGTGGCCACTACGTCAACTCGAGGCAGCTACAAGCTAGCAATACTGTATCCAGTTATTTTAATAGATCCATGGTCAGGCTCTTAAAATACAGCCATAATCACCAAATGCGCCTGATGCCGTACCTCTGTGAACAGTGAGGAAGCATTTGGGGGTGTATTGACAGAAGTGGTGTCCGGATCCGTCTGGAGAGGGAGATTCTGCTTGGCCATGATCCCCATGATGTGAAACAGGACATTGCCGATCCGTCTGGGAATGTCTGCCTGGTAACCGGAGATGGTGCTCAACAGGGTCCGCACGATGGTCTGTGTCAAAAATACAGACAAACCGTTTTTAATTGAATCAACATGAACACTCAAGGATCAGTACGTATAAGTGATCAATGCATTGTCATCATCTGCAAGATAATATTCAAATTTCGTTGTTGAATATTTTTAATGTTTTTGTGTTGTGATTGTGTTGATTTTATTGGAAAGCACTTTGCTCACCTTGAGTGTTGTAAACGGCTCTATAAATACAAGTGTAGATGTAACGATAACTGAAATATCGTGATATCATATCGTCAAAAGTCTCACAACAATGTCGTAGACCATCACAATATATTAAATTATAAGTCTCTTTGCTTAAAGTAACAGTTATGGTGCAGCAATAGCTAAAAAACAGAAGCAACTACATAGACCATGATCCTTTGCATGTACATGAAGAAATAACTGTTTTAAGCACTTTTAAATATTAGTTGTTTGGATTAAGTCTTGTCAGTGTCGGGAGAAAAGTAGAATATTCACAGTTTTGTTGCCTTCCACAAAATATCTCAATAAATATTGTACTATGAGATACACATCGTGAAAATATTCGTTCCAAGGGATTTGGATATCCCAATGAGATTCATTTGGTCTTCCGATATTTTATGTTATTAGGTTCTTTTTACAGACCTGACAGTTTCGACTGCTCACTAGCGGTGTTCTTCAGAGTCATGTGATGTTGCTGTGACGTGTTCAGTCAGCTGATTTATTCAGGTTTTGGTGCCGTCTTCCTACCGGTGGAGGCAGGACGACAGCGCCACCTGCAGTCCAACTTCCTCAGGACAGTATCCCAGGTGTGTGAGTAAAAAAGCCCCCTCGTCCCGGTTTATCGTCCCAACATGTCACAGCAACATCACGTGACTCTGAAGAAGACCGCTAGTGAGCAATCGAAACTGTCAGGTATGAAAACAAACTCTTGGTCTGTAAAAAAAAAAAACCTAATAACATAAAAGATTTGGATATCATTACATCCCTAGAATGTATACATATCGTAGTTTCAAAACCATAATTTCAACATCAGGAATATCTATGCATCAGAGAGCTGGGTTAAAATGCCTCTCTCTGCTCTGAATGGTCACTACCTAAACCCCAGCAACTAGAGCAAATCATGAATCAGTGCTAGTGCAGCCTCTGCAGGTCAGGAAGGGAATTCTGGAGGTTCTGAGTAGGGATGGGCATGATTAGTCGATTAACCGATAACTGATCATTAAGAATTTCATCAGTTACGTTCATTTTTAATCCACAAACTGAATGTAGGTTGCTGTGCGTAGTTAGCTTGACCAAACGGGGGTTCGCACATATAGCGAGCAGACACAAACAGTCGGTCAGCCTGCAGCGTGCCGAAGCGCAAATGCGTGTTTAACAATGACTTGTAAAAGAAATTCTCCGGTTTCCGTTCCGGTCGGGACAAGTGTGAGGCCATGTGCACAGTCACATATGTTTCGGTGTCCAGTGTAAAAAAGCTCACCAGGACACAGAAAACATGAAAAAGCTTTGCCAGGTGAGAGTCGCTCAATGTGGATGACGAGGCTCCACCTTCCAACTCCCGTATGCTGTCCTGGTTTTCACAAACGCAAATATGGTCACACTAACCTGTATTCCACTGAGTTGTGTCCTTTAATCCGACAGAAGTTGAACCGCATCAGTGCACGAGAGCTGTTTTTTCTGCAGTTTTAAGTTTCATTTCTGTGAGAGTTGCCCAAAACTGAATTAAACACATTATAATGTCAAACGGGCTGATGTGGCTCTAGAGTCGTTACAGTTTATATGTCGTAAAGTTGAATTTATTTATGCAGATTAGTAGTGCAGATAGTAATAATAATGATGATAATTTTAATATAAAAACGTTAATGATTAATCGATAATTATCCCGACGATCTATTAAGAAAATTTAATCGAATGCCCATCCCTAGTTCTGAGCTTTCACCTGAGGCACGGTCTGTCCAGTTATGAGAAAAACTTTGTCCTCTATCTGTAGGTTAAGGCGCTCGTGAACCAGGTTCAACTGCAACTGTTTCTTTAGTTCTGTGATTTCTAATATCAAACTCCTGTCTGTATTCTTAAAGGTGCACTGTGTAACTTTTCGATCACCTGCTTGTTTTAATGGCTGGAGATTAAACAGCTCTATTTTACATTTATTCAATTACAAGTGGTTTTATAGGTCAAAAATACTTTGACAAATCTGACCTGCAACTTGATCTGGTTTGGTCTCCATGAAGGTAGAAAGGTTTATTAATAGCATACTGTGAAAAATTCCAGACAAAGCAATTACATCTCCATGACGAAAAAGCATTTCACGGACCCTCCACCAGAAAAATTACACAATGCACCTTTAAAGATGAGGGCGTCATACAGGGGGACATACAAAACTCCCTCCGTGTGTCCCTCTGAAATGTGTGACAAACAGAAACCTCCTGACAGTCACGCCGAGCTCCGCGTCCTGTGGAGCCGATCCTGAGCCACGACCGATGAATTTTAAACGCACAGAGCAGGGACATGTACAACCATGGTCACATAACGTTAGCCCCAAAATACGACCACATATGAACACGGAAAAGGCAACAGGCTTTTTCCCAAGGTGTAACTTTGGCTTAAAGGTGTAACTTTTCTGGTGGAGGGTCTGCCACCTGCTTTTCTCCATGAAGATGTTATTGCTTTGTCTGGAATGTTTCACAGTATGACATTAAGCCTTTTTATCATCATGGGTCAAGTTACTGGTCAGATCTGTGGAGAGGCGACTCCACTTAGTCAGAATGCCATTTTATCTAGGTATTTTTGAGCTATAAAACCACCTGCAACTGCATAAATACAAGATAGATCTGTTTAATGTCACACTGTGGAACATATGAAGCAGAGAACAACACTTGTGTGAAATAGATTTACTTTTTTACTAGGGGTGTAACAATATTCAAGTCTCACGATATGATATCATCAAGGTATGAACCTCATGGTACAATATTTATTGCGATATCGTGGGAAAGCTCATGATATGGGATGTAACAATATCCAAATCTCTCGGCACGATTTTTTATATAAAAACTAAGAGCTAAAACTGTTAATATGCTACTTTTACCTCTCAAAATGCCTTAACTAAGACTTAAAAGTGCTTAGAACTGTTTGTTATTTCTTCTTGTAGTCTGCCCTAAAATGGAGCAAAGGATCATGGTCTATGTAGTTCCGCCTTTCTTTTTAGCGACTGCTGCACCATAACTCTTAATTTAAGCAAAAACACTTTTAATTTGATATATTTTGATGGTCCACAATATTATTGTGAGAACTTTGACGATATGACATCACAATATTTTGGTTATTGTTTCATTCCTACTTTTTACTCTTAAATATACATAGCTACATAAATACCTTAACTTAAGTAGACCATGTGATACTTTTAGTTTTACTTGAGTAACTTTTAACCTTTGCATTTGTACTTTTGCTTAAGTAACAACAATGAATGAGTACTTCATCCCTCACAACTCTCAAATAAATGTTAAGAATCTGCTTCATCTATAGATATAAACTTTTTAATTTTTTAATTTATTTATTTTTTGTCCAGAACATTTGTGTTTAGTTGTAAATTTGTGAATGAAAATATAATCCCAAAATTTAAAGTAAATGTGTAAATTAGATTAAAAAAAAAAAAATAAATAAAAAGTTAGGCTAGTTGGTTAGCCTGTGTGGACACGTGATCACATGACCAAAATAAAGTATATTTCTTAACTGGACAATTCTAAATAAATAATGTGTAAATTGTTTTAAATGACCACTTGTAAAGGATAAAGAAAATAAGTAGTAATATAAATTTGCATACACTTTTACGGTATTAATTTATTCGTAAAAAATGAAAACGAAGCCTAATTAGTAGAAAGCGTCGCCCAAACGCTCACCTGGATGATCGGCCGTGGACCTCCTCCGCACGTTGTCGGGCTCATCGGGCATGAGCCAGCCCTTTTTGTGCGGCATGTCGAGGGATTTTAGTCCGAGGATGAAGCTCTGTCCTCGGCTTCAGGCTCAGAGAAAGACCGCTGGATGTGAACGACAAACGCGCGGAGCAGGAGAGAAGCAGAGGAGGAGGAGGAGGTGGGACTGTCCCTTTTCTCCATCAAGAAACAAATTACCGTGTTAAATCTCGCGCTCGGAGTGGCAGTTCTCGCGAGATGTAGACGGCAGGTAAATTTATAACCTATATGTATGTGCATTTATTAGGGTAATTGAGATTGGGAATGTGCCACTAGAATAAATACATTTATCTGAATTTATCCTCTCTTTAAATGATTTCTATTAGGGGTGTGCAAAAAATATCGGAATATTGATATACGGTATCGTTTAATGTGATGATACAGTATCGATATCGTGGGCTACTGTATCGATATATCACCAAGAGTATTTTTACGTGCGTTTTACTAAATTATTTTGTTTCAGTGCAACAGTTTTGTTGCTTGTGGAGTGAAAGGAAACTCATTTATGCGACACATTTGACATTTTCACTGTTTTGAGGATTAAAATGTTTGTGTTTCATATGAATTTTGCACAAGAAGTGATTTAACAAAGACTTTTAGTATCACAGCCATGATTTAGCCTTTATTTTTTATTGAACTGTATCGAATCGATTTGAAATATATCATATTGAATCGAAAGTGCACTGTATCGAAATATGTATTGTATCGTGGCCTGTGTATCGAGGTATGTATCGTATCGGCAACTTCTTAATGATACCCAGCCCTAATTTCTATAAAACTTGTAATTATTTATTTTGATTCCGTTTCTGGTGGATTTCTAGCCAGTCTGGCGCCACCTAGTGTCTCCGCTCCATTTCATTTCTCTCCAGCGACTAGGTCAGGAATCAGAATACACTAGACCAAGCATGTCCAAACTATGGCCTGTGGGTCAAATGCGGCCCTCAGACAAAATTTTCTTGGCCCTTAGGCTTCCAGAAAAATTGGCCCAAATTACCTTGCATCAATGAAAAATTTACTTTTTATTGCAAGTTTTTTTTTTTAAATCTACCTTGATAGAGCTAATATTTAATATTTAGTGTGTGGTTTTAAGGATCTTAGCATGAACAAAGGACTGATGGCTTACTCTAATGTGTTAAACATGCACATATTTCAATTATTGACTGTATTAAGCACCAGTCTACAGCCCTTGATCGGCCCTCGGCTTCGTCTGTGTTTAGATATATGGCCCTTGATGAAAAAAGTTTAGAAAGCCCTGCACTAGACGGTTTGCAAGAACCCTGGAAGTGCGAGTCCGGGCACCAGCCAATCAGCGAGGAGCCATGCAATCTGTGTTGGCAACGATTCCTGAGATCGAGAATTTAAAGCTGGAACAAAGAGAATGTTTGGTGAATTTTAACAAGTGGAAAGATTTTAATGCCCTTCTTCCTACGGGATTTGGGAAAAGCTTAATATACCAGTTAGCCCCTTTAGCAGCACATTACATACGTCACAACCAAATAGCAGCGATTGGTTAAATAAAAAAGTACCCGCCTGCTGACGAGCGAACAAATCCTAATGCTGCGAGGTCAGACGGTTTCTACGAAGTGAAACTGGCTCATGAATCAGGCTAATGGATTTCCCCAAGGATAGGTAAATGACTTGCCTGGAATGTTCCTCAGCATAGCATTACAGTAGTACAGCATGTCACCTGCATGATTCCATGGAAATAGAAAGTTAAAACAACACTTTGAAACATTCTAAATTGAGATAGCCACATTTTTTGCCATGCTGTGGATTATTATGAGCTAAAACCTAATTTGAGTTAGTAAGTAAGTATATATGTAAGTAAGTAAGTAAGTAAGCATGTTTTTCTACATTTCTCAGCGTAAAAAACACAACTAAACTGAAAACATTTTTGAGAAAAGTTACACACTGTGGCTTTAAGTTCAGTAACTAAAGACAGGACACGTTTTTCAGCTATCACTACAACAGCTTCATTTATTCACAACAGGTGTACAGGGAAATACAATGTGGTTTTGGTTATTATAGCACATAATAATGAAAGCGGTTCCCTTTTTTTTTTTTTTTTTTTTTTTTTTTTCTTTTTTTTTTCTTTTTAACGCATTTTTGTTTTTATATATAAATCTGTACAAAATGTTACTCAGAACTTAATGTCAGTCAGTTTATGTACAGTGCTCAACATAAAGACAAGAGACGACGTTTTTGTGAAGGTGCAAATTAGTAAAATAAGAATACAGTACACGTGAGGAGTGACAGACAACAGTACCAGCTCTGAACTACGACGAAGAATGCACCGTGGGGCTTTTCGGGTGGAGGGTCCGCTACCTGCTCCCTGCTCGTCTCCATGGAGATGTTATTGCTTTGCCTGAAATATTCCAGAGTATGTCGATAAATTTATCTCCTGCCATCAGGTCATTTTACAGGTTAAGTCTGTGGAGAGGAGAGAACGCAGTAAAAATGTCTGTTATTTACACTATAACTTTTTTTTTTTTTTTTTAGCAATGTTCCACTTTTAATTGAATAAGATAGTTAAGTTTAATGCCATACTGTGGAAAATTCCAGTCAACAAAATAATATCTCCATGCAGACAAGCAGATGGCAGCTCCTTCTCCAGAAATGTTACGCCATGCAGCTTTAATCATAGCGTTTTGCTTTCCAGGGAGTGAACGTAAAATGTCAAAACATCACTTAGTAACACAACAAAATACTGACGCACAAAGATATAAACTATACAACACAAATAAAAATAAAATAAGCAAAGTTGTGGGCATGAAATTTTCAGTTTTAACATATTATAGTTGCCATGACAGTGCAAGAAAAAACAAGGCTAAAAAAGGTGCACTGTGAAACATTTCAAGTGGAGGGTCTACCACCAGCTTGTCTCCATAGAAACGTTATTGCTTTGTCTAGAATGTCCCGTAATATAGATTAAACTGACCAATCACAGGCAGGATACAGGTACAGTTACAGTTCAGATCTGTGGAGAGGCGCAGCTATTCATACAAGGAATTACTGTATTTTTGAGCAAAAGAAACACCCAAAATGTTTAATGCTATATCACGGAAACATTCCAGACGAAGCAATAACATCTCCATGGATACAGGCAGCTCGTGGACCCTCTCCCAGAAAAGCTGCGCAGCGCATCTTTAAAAATTACACTTGTAAATCTAAAACTTGCTGACCCTGTTGTGTTAGTTTATCTCAGTTTATTTCGTTCATATTTCAGTCTTTTCTCAAATCTTAATGCCCAGAAAATGTTCCAAGATACGCACCGAATCTTGAATTTCAAAATGTAAATCGCAAATCTAAAAGCAATCGCCAAAACATACTCAAATCTCGGACAGATCATTTTCCAATATTGCTTCGCCCAACTCAGAAGCTCATTGTTTTTAACGTTATTTTCATACACGTATATACACACATTTAAAATCCTACAGTACAAAAACAGAAAACCAAAAACAAAATATGAATAGAACTTTAAAGGCTTTAAAGCAGACCTATTCAGAGCATTTACCCATGTTATAGTTATTTCTCCTCACCATTTACTCACTTCAAGTTGTATCTGGAGTGATTTGTACGTGTTTGAGTAATAGAGTAGCTTATTTTTAAGGTGCCATTTTGCTGATCAAGCCTCCTTTTTACCGTCCACTGCTCTGTTCTTACTTCGTTCTCCAATTTTATTTTTTTAATCAGTGATACTTAAGAGTCATTTTGGTGCAAACTCGGTAGTGTGACCTGCAGCTATCCATCAGAGGTGCCGACTCTTTGTTGTGATGACGGGCACCACAGTTTTCTAACGTGGAAGTCAGAGGATTTATTATTATTTTTGTATTAAAGGGATCACTGCACGCTGATACGAACGGAGAGAAAATAGTGCCAAGCGATTATGAGGTCTGACTTTTTTGAGGACGATGGTTTTGTGATTCAAATGTATCACTCTTTTGAACACATATTGTGTTGAGAAGAAAAACGCATTATTTTAAAATGTCCCCAGCCAACTTGCCGGACTACTTTCGTCAGCACCGAAAACGGCCAGTATCTCAGCTCAACGGACGCTTTCGGGGGTAAGTCACTGTGGATGCACGACATTGCTCACAGGGATGCCATACAAATTCATGTCAAAAAACCGAACTATCCCTTTAAAGGTGCATTGTAGGGTTGGGCGATATCCAAATTTTGATACCGTTAAACCTTCTCAGGATTTTACGGGGGTATAAGGTATTACCGTCTTATGAAAAATTTTAGTACAACTTTGGTAATCTACAAAGTTACAACGCTGTGTGGTCTATGTGTACGACCTGCAGACTCTCTGAAACGTTTAACATGAACCATCTCCAATGCGACACACACACAGAACAAACTCACCATCAGCAGCACACCCCTCTGTCACAGAAAGAACACTCATATTCCACTGAGTCGTGTCCTTTAGTCCGACAGAAGCTGAACCGCATCAGCGCACAAGGAGCGAGCTGTTTTTATCAGCACTTTATAGTTTATGCAAATGAGTCATGTGGTTTTAAGCTTTGTTTCTGTAAAACGTAAACAAATGTGCACCTGAAGCCAAAATGCTGCCAAATTGCAGAAGTACTAGTATTTTTTGGGGGGGACCAACTCGCTTGCGACCGGACTTGGCATTTTGTCTTGGTCTCCCTTATGAGCGTCATGTGACAACAGAGCAAAGCTAATCACACGTAATTTCCCCACACAGTTAAAACAAACATTATAGACACTATTAGTTTTAAATCCTGATAGCGTTAAATTGAAAATACAACCACAAATTCATCTGAGCTGAGCAAACAAATGTAGGTATCAGTAAATTATAATATTATATTAGGTCCTTATGCGCTGCAGATTTTTTAATGACGGTAATGAAACTGATACCGTTGCTAATTTTGATACCGCGGCATACCGTAATATCGCATTACCGCCCAACCCTACTGGGCACCGCATTTTTCTAATGTGGAAGTCAGCGGATTTATTATTGTTTTTGTATTAAAGGTGCATTGCTCAACTTTTCTGGTGGATCCATCACCTGCTTGTTTCCATGGAGATGTTATGTCTTTGTCTAGAATGTTCCACGGTAGAAATTACGTCTATCTGTTTCAAAAGAGACAGCTGTAGGTGACATTACAGGTCACATCTGTGGAGAGGCAATCGTATTCAAAAAGTGAATTATTGTATTTTTGAGAAATAGAAACACCTGTAATGAATAAATGCTAGATAGTTGTGGATAATGTCGCACCATGGAACATTCCAGGCAAAGCAATAACATCTGCATGGAAACAAGCAGTAACAGATGCTCCAGAAAAGTTGCGCAATAAACCTTTATGTCATTTAAGAAGAATATTGGGATTTAAAATGTCCAAATTACAACATAAAAGATCCACGGGCGTCATAGATTATAACTATAAGGCAAACGCAAACACAATAGGTCTTCTTTAAAGGCGTTTTCGATAACCTCAGTCATGTTTCAAGCCATGTACAGTTTAGCTGCCTTTGTCAATGTGGACTTTCCTTAAGTTTAGACACACAAAATAAAAATATAATAAAAAATCTCAAGACGTTTACACATATTTTACACTCTGTCCCTTTCCGTCTTTCTAAAAATCAAAGCAAAAGGAATCGTCCACCTCTGGGCACTGAAGACTGTGCACGTTTGAGTAAGATGAGAAAGTATCCAGCACTTTTTTTGTAGCTTACTCCTCGATGATGCAGCTCCAAGTTTAAAATCATGATCGTAAAGTTGAAGTTATTTGAATTCAGTAAAAGAAAAACTGTGGAAAACTGTCCCCTGCTTTTGACCCATTCTTCAGTGTTTGGAGATGTAGTCAAAAGCAGTGAAGTGTTTGGGAATCTGCGTCTCTAGATCTGGATCTTGAGCTAGGATCTTGGTCAGGAGCACCTAGCTGGAGATTTAACCTTGTGCATGTTTTTGGTTGATTGGGGAAACCAAAATAAATGGACAAAAACCTGCCAAAACAACAGGTAAAACAAGCAAATTCAACACAGAAAAAGTTGCCACTACACCACTGTGTTGCTTTTTGACAGTCTAAACCTGCCATGATCATGTAAAGATGCACTGTGTAACTTTTCTGGTAGAAGGTCCACTCCCTGCTTGTCTCCTTGGAAATGCTGCTTTGCTTGGACTGTTCCACTGTAAGGCATTTTAGGGGTGTAACGATATCCAAGTCTCACGATACGATATCATCACAGTATGAATATTTACTGTAATATGGTGGGGAGGCTCATGATTAGGGATGAAAGAATATGCAAATCTCTCAGTACGATATTTTCATGATATACATCTCACGGTACGATATTTATCGTGATATTTTGTGGAGGCGAACAAAACTGTTAATATGTGACTTTTTCCTCTTAAAATGCCTTGACAAGACTTAATCCAAAGAACTAAGACTTTAAAGTGCTTAGAACTGTTATTTCTTCTTGTAGTCTGCACTGAAATGGAGCAAAGGATCATGGTCTATGTCAGGGGTGTCAAACCCAAATTCACAGATGGCCAAAATTAAAAAACTGGGACTAAGTCGTGGGCCAAACTAAATATTTATTTAAGATTTTAAACTACATCTGCTTGTTTTCTCTTCTTTCGAGATATGTAATGTTAAACCTACTTATTAAAATAAATGTTTAATAATAGTTTTGCTTAAACATTGAATCCAGAACAAGCAGAAAATAAAATAATAACAAAATTTTAAATAATGTCTCTATATTTGCGGGCCAAATTTGGCCCCCGGGCCTGAGTTTGACATGTCTGGTCGATGTAGTTCCCTCTGTCTTGTTTTAGCTATTGCTGCGCCATAACTCTTAATTTAAGCAAAGAGACTTGTAATTCGATATATTGTGATGGTCCACGATATTATTGTGAGAACTTTGACGATACGATATCACGATATTTTGGTAATTGTTACATCCCTAATTAATATGCATACAGACAAATGTAGACACTACTAGGCCAAGTTACAGGTCAGATTTGTGGAGAGGCGAGTCCACTCACAGTCAGAAAAAATGTTTGAGAGGCATTTTTGTAGCTATAAAAGCACCTAATTGCAAGATAGATGAGTTTAATTTCATACTGTGGATCATTCCAGGCAAAACAATAACATCTCCATGGAGACAAACAGGTGACGGACTCTTGGCAGGAAAATTACACAGTGCGCCTTTATCCAACAACCATCAAAACTGTCCTTCCTGAAGTTTAAACCAGGTTTTCAATAATCAAAAATATATCAGTATTAGCTCCAATGACTTTAATTCCTGACTTGAGTTGCCACGACTACATTTGATAGATTTTCTGAATTCAAATAACTTTACCCAAAACCTCCTTCCTTTCAAAAGTCTGAGTCAGCATCCATAAGCTCCGCCTCCATCAGATTTGTCCTTGAGTTGATGGGACCAGCCCAACGCCCTCCTGGTGCTCGGGACACGGGGGCTAACCTCTCCCCCCTCTCCCCTCGTTCCCTCCTCTGCTCCACCCTCCTCCCGTATCCTCCCTGGAAATGCGGTCCGATTCCTAGATCTTCCGGTCGCTCGTTCGCAGGGAGATGGTCTGACATTAGACTAAAGTTATACGAAGGTGGGCTTTTGTAGCAGGAGGGGTACAGGTACGGCTCCTCACACGCCATCGGGTGAGGTAACGGGATCTCCTGGTACGATCCCGGCAGCACGTTTTCCTCCAGCTTGTGTTGCTGTCTCAGATTTGCCACCAGACTCGGGTGGTTGGGCAGTTTGGGCAAACGGGGGACGGAGCTGCGCCCAAATTCTCGCTGCGGGTACGGCGCTTTCTCCTCCGTCTCCTCGGTCGGACGCACTTCCTTCTTCCTCCTCTTCTTCTTCTTCTTCCTCTTGATCATTTCCGGGGAGATCTCGGCCTCCACCATCCACAGGCGGTTCCTTTCTTCCGGAGGAGGAACTGAAAGGAAGAAAGAAAATTAAGATGGAGATCAAACATGTGAAGTAAGTGAGGTAGAAATGTTAGTAAAGTAAAGGCTGATTTAAAGGCTGATTTAATTTCTATTTTTTATGTATGCATTTATTCATTTATTTATTTTTATGTATTTATTTTTGAGTAACTTATTCTTATTTTTTGTTCAAAATCGCAATATCTTTTTTCATTCTTCAATCTTTTTTTTTTTTATTTTATTTATTTGTAAAGCGTCTTTGAGTGTCCAAAAACGCGCTATATTACTACTACTATAATAATACTACTTTTTTTCCCCTGTAATTTATTCTACAAAAATGGTAAAACCCCCGCAAAAAAAAACCCATTCACTATTATCCTGAAACTTAATTTAGAATAACAAAGAGCTACTGTTTCCCTTTAAACAGCGTAAAGTTTGTGACTCTCACCTGGGGTCCCTGTGGGGGTGACTGAGATGTCCTGGGGCAGAATAGCGCCCCTCCTGGCCACCATCTTAGTCACATGCTGAGCCCAGGCTGATGACATGTCTTGGGAAGGCTCATTTATGTCAAAGTTTATTCCAGCTGAAAACACAAAGGCAATAATTACAGCAATACAAGGTAAAATTATCTTTATCTACTTAAATGGTAATGGTCACATTTTTCTATAGCGCTTTTCCACCTTCAAGGCACTCAAAGCGCTTTACAACAAGGAACCACTCACCCATTCACACACACATTCACACACCAGTGTACACAGACACTGTGGGCAAGGTGGGTTAAGTGTCTTGCCCAAGGACACAACGACAGCATTCATCTGTAGGAGCTGGAATCACACCAGCCAACCTGTGGGTCAGTGGATCTGACCGCTCAACCTGTGATGTTTATGTCGAGAGCCGGATTCGAACCACCAACCTTCAGATCAGTGGGCGAATGCTCTTACCAACTGAGCTACTGCCGTTTAAATATAAACACACAAACGATGCCCTCTAGTGGCGGAGTGGGGCATAAATGCTCAATAAAGATGACATGTTCATTAATGTCAATGGAGCTGTGTATTATAACGGCTATGGTGCTGCTAGATCTATTTTACTCAGTTGCATTTACTTGAGTGACATAATATTGAAAAAAACACATCTTGGGGTAGTTTTATAGCATATAATTTTTACTTCGACTACAGTAATATTATTTTGACAAAACAAAACTAATATTTTGGCTATAAAGTCATTAATTTGCATACACTGTTTAAATATCAAAGATTTTTGCTGAAAATATTTTTAGAAATTTGCCAAATTTGTCAAGTCTCAAAAGTGTAGTCCAAAAAATGTTATATTTTAGGTGGTTTTTTGGTGTCCATTACCTCAGACATCAGTGAAATGTGACTAATGTGAAAAATTTACAAAAAATAATTGACTGTTTTTTCAAGCGGCAGTCAAGACACCCAAGTACCTCATAAAATATAAGAGTAAAACACATAGATAAACCCAGTAATATCCAGCAGGTAATAATATACTTAATAGTAGTTTCCCATAGCAGAGACTCACCGACAGGACAGTCATGTGACACCGTGTGCATACTGAAGGACAACTCTTTCTCTGGGTTCTGGTGCAGCTCCTTCCTCATGGCGAAGGCTTTGGCGATCATCTTACTTTTCTTTATGCGCTTTGGTTCATTGTCACTTCGGCCAATTATCCTGAAAAAAAAAAACAATACAAATGTTAATGTTAATATTAATAACAAAGGTAAAAAGTTTCTTCACTTGAGCAGTATTTTTCACGTGTACTCTTTTCTGTTACTGTAGTACAATCTTGGCAATTGTAAAAGTACGTGTAACTGAGTATATTTAAGCCATGCAACTGTACTTTTACATGAGCACAATTTTAACAACAATAATTAATACTGCAAGGATGATTTAAAGGACCCATATAACCCTACTTTCTGATCTTTGTTATAATGTTGTTTCCTCATCACAAACAGACCTGGAGTTGTGTTTTGTTTCATTCTCACATGTTTAACGCACAAATCCTGCATATTTAGACTGAATTCTTCTCCCAAACAGAAAACACTCTGTTCCACTTTGTGATGTCATGTGGTGTCATGTGATATCATGTGCGCCACGGTGTTTTTTAAGCTCCTTACACCTTCACTAGAATCATTTTGATCATTTCAGCTTTGGAATTGCCAGTCTCTAGGGTGAGGGATCTCCAAACCTTTTTCCTCCGGTAAGCTACTTTTACAAAATGAAAACACGAGAGAACTACTCATTTTAACGACTGCAAGAAAATGACATAAGAAAGAGGGCAAGCCTTAGATGAGGTACAGTTAAATGCCTATAAAACATAAACCATTTTCCATTTATTAGTGCACAGAGTTAGGAACCAGTGGTAATAGTCAGGTAATTAATCAATTTTGAGTTATTCAGCATAATAAGTATAATTAAAAAATCCATTGGCGAGCTACGTGGAGAGGAGTGGAGAGCTACAGGCTGGAAATCCCTGCTCTAGGTAAAAGGTAACAGTAACTTGAAAAGTATGGCTTCATGACATCACAAGGTGGAACAGAGCATTTTGAGCTTTGGAGATGCAGACTAATAATGCAGGATTACTCAAACATGTGTGAATGAAACAAAACACAACTCTAGGTTTGTTTTTGATGAGGTAACAACATTATATCATGGATAAAACCTCACAAGAGTCAATTTGATGTAATATAGAAACTTTAATTTGTATGCTGTGACTGCTAAGGACTAGGAGTGTAACGATATCCAAGTCTCACGATACGATATCGTCACGGTACAATATTTATTGCGATATTTTGTGGAGGCTAAGAAAACTGTTGATATGTGACTTTTTCCTCTTAAAATGCTTTGACAAGACTTCCAAATACCATATTATATACACTATAGAGCGTTCTGGATTATAAGACGCACTGTCATTAAATGGTCTATTTTCGAACTTTTTTCACACCGGACTTTAAACGAAACACAACAGTTGGATGGGTCAGTGGGACTTTGTTTGTCGCGTTCACGGTGACTCTGGGCTTTGTTCAGTTGTGGCGTGTAGGGAGGTGCTGTCTGGGATCGCTGGATTGTCGGCGTGTTCGCAGTGACTCAGTTGTTCAGTTGTGTCTAGAAGTGGCACATTGCACTCGCTTTTTCGGTTCGTTCCTCCGTTCCGTTCCTCGTCGGCGTGGAGTGATGAGTGTGGCTGCGGGTGTGTTTCGCTGCGCGGTCGCTGTCTACTCTGTGCGTGTTTGCATGTGCTGCGGGTGGTGCGGCTTTGTAGTTTACTGAAGTCATGCTGGGACACCCGAGTGGATTCGTGTAAAGGGCGCTCTGGATTGCGGGGCGTGCGGTCATTTTTTGATGGGGTTGGAGGATTATGAGTGCGCCCTATAGTGTGGAAAATACGGTAACTTTAAAGTCCTTAGAACTGTTATTTCTTCTGTAGTTTACACTGAAATTCAGCAAAGGATCATGGTCTATGTAGTTCCCTGTGTCTTTTTTAGCTATTGCTGCACCATAACTCTTAATTTAAGCAAAGAGACTTGTAATTCGATATATTGTGATGGTCCACGATATTATTGTGAGAACTTTGACGATACGATATCACGATATTTCGGTTATTGTTACATCCCTAATAATCAAGTAAACTTATCAGTCATTTCAGTTGGAGTGTAATACTGACTTGAACCAGGTGCGTTTCCAGATGAGGATGGTGGCTTTGGTCCAGACCCAGGTGCTCATGGCGATGCCCGTCCCAAACATGGAGAACAGGTTGATCTTCTCCACCATCAGACTGGGCCGGTTCTTTATGGTGCACTCTGGGATCGGCTTGTTGGTCTGCGACGCTATCGTCACGTTCGCCTCACACCTGGAGGAAACATGAGAACGTGTCATTGTGGTACGCTTCAGAAGGACGGGCTGCTGTGATTGGCCACGCTCTTCTATCACGTTTATTCACGGGCCTGTTCAAACCATTGACTGTGTAAAGGAGTGGACTAGGAGAGAGTTACGTCGCCCACTCAAATAAAACTCACGGTGCTAGCAGTTACAGGGGCAAATTTGGAGCTGAGTTCTGGAAAGTGGCGGCTGGCAGGTTATTTATGTTCATTTAAAATATCTACAGTCTATGATTTAAAAAGACTAATCTGATGCACTGAGGACAAACTGGGAAAGTATTGTTTCTGAAGGATTGGTAGACATTATCATAGATGGAGTTTGTGGGGGGTCATTGAGGTCACTGCCCCCCCTAGTGGCTGAAATATATCACGATATTGAGTCTATAATATGACCAATACAACTATTTACTTTTTAAAAAATGTATTAATATTTTAAATATGTCAATAAAACAAAAGGATTGTATGAAATAAATATGAATCCTAGTCTGAACCAGGACTAAACCAGGACTAAACCAGGACTGAACCAGGACTAAACCAGGACTAAACCAGGACTGAACCAGGACTAAACCAGGACTAAACCAGGACTAAACCAGGACTGAACCAGGACTGAACCAGGACTAAACCAGTATTGAACCAGGACTGAACCAGGACTAAACCAGGACTGAATCAGGACTAAACCCGGACTGAACCAGGTCTAAACTAGAACTAAACTATGCCTGAACCAGAACTGAATCAGGACTGAACCAGGACTAATCTTGGACTTGAGAGAGAAAGATAGAAAATCCCAAGCCCAGTCCTGGTCCCTCATGTCTCAGGCCACTACAGGACAGTGCTGCAGATATCATGAGCCTGTGCAGTTTGTGTTCAGCATTGCCAATAACTCCAGTTTGACATTTAAGTTGTTACATTTTATATTAGTTATTTTTTATATCTCACGTCGGGAGAAGTAGGTGGACAGCGTACCCCCGTTTACCACACCCACTACATCCCTGATCATGTGTGATGTGCTGTGTAGTTTGGCTTTATGTGAGGCTTATGAACAGCACTGTTGTTTGTGTAATAGCATTATAACTATTCTGTGTAATGTCACAGAATAATTATAGTGCACAGTGGTGTGGACAATAAAGCGATACTTTAATTGTACAGGACAAGGTGTTTCCTTACTGTGCACATGACAATACACACTTTAAAATCTTGAATCTAATGCCCTGACGTTAAAATGTTTACCCCCCATCACAAAAATCAAACTCCACCTATGGACATTATACAACTATTTTAATAACTTAAAATTAGAAACCCTTAATTTGTCCCTCCAGAAGTGTAAAAAGTATATAAAATTGTGCATGAACAGAAAAAATAGACCTTAAAATAATACATTTAAGATCAAATTAAGTAAAATCATATTAAGTAGAGTGAAGTAGAGTAAAGAACTGATTTCTTTACTGATTTGTCATGATTTTTTCACTCTTCATATCCTTATTTTGCTCTTTTGACAGTGCGTGCTTCTCTGTGAATCTCAATTAGTCATTCACTTAGTAGTAAAACACATAAAATACAGCATAAGTGAGAAATTTAACTTACAGCACATAGTCTCTGAAGCTCTTCTCCCATTCGGCCTGGTTGAAGAAGTCATAAAAATGGCACCCAAATGTGATGAAGACAAAACCGAAAGCAAGAAATCCAAATATACCTGTAGTGTGACAATTAAAATAAAGAACAAAGCATAAGCATGTATGTTAAAAATGTTATGCAATAAATTAAACAAAATGGAAGTCATTTTTTATAATATTGTAAGCTATAAAAGAACTGGACATACCAAGTCTCAGCATCGTCTCGTTGATTTTACTGGCTGCTTTTTCGCTTAACAATCCAGGATGGTTACTCTTGATGGAAAACAATGTCATTACACCTACAAAGGAATATAAAAGAGTTGAAATACAAAATATCTATAGATTTTTAAAAGTAAGATTCCTACGTATAATTATTGTTCAGTGTGTGGTCTCACCCCGAATGAGGAAGTAACCACCAACCACCAGGACCACTCCGATCGGCGCCAACACAAAACCAGCTCTGTACTTGTAGTTTTTGTATCCGACAAAACAGATTCCGCTCACTGAATCTCCATCCACCTGTGGGAAAGATTTATTATTACTGATATTACAGCTCAAAAATGTTGATTTAGTGTAATTTCGTAGTCATTTAAAGGTGCATTGTGTAGCTTTTCTGGTGGAGGGTCCATCAAATGCCTTTCTTTGTAGAGATGTTATTGCTTTGTCTGCAATGTTTCTCAGTATGGCATTAAACCTTTCTATCTTCATAACGATCAAACCAGACAAAGTTACAGGTTAGATCTGTGGAGGGGCGACCCTGCTTACAGTCAGAATGCCTGTTTTTCTAAGTATTTTTGGGCTATAACATCACCTGTACTCAGTGTCGGGGAGTAACAGATTACATGTACCAGAGTTATGTAATCAGAGTACAAATTATGAGTAACTGTATTCAGTTATAGTTACTGTTTCAATGAGTGGTAATTGGATTACAGTTACTTTGTTGAAATAAATGGATTACACGGCGGTATTTTCCTGTTTTCACATTTTGGGCTATGTCTCCCCCCCCTCCCCCCTTTTTTTTTTTTTTCTTTCCGTAATTCCACTCATTGCCGGAAACTAAACCAGGTCTAAAACAGGACTAAAACAGGACTAAATCATGCTGCGCAAACATGTCTCCTCCTCTTCTATCAATAATATTTTTAATACGGTTAAGTAAAGTCTGGGCTTTTTATTGTCTTTTAGCAGACAAAACATCTTATGTTACGATATCCTAGTCTTTGCTTCTCTAATGCCGGGCGTACACTGTGCGATTTTTGACCCTTTTTGAGCCGATTTTTCGCTCGTGCGACTGTTTTGGGGATCGGGCCGAGTTTTGGCTTCATCGTGTGTCGTGCTTCGTGTAGTTTACATGGGGTAAAGAGAACCGATTAATGGCTCACGACCAGCTCCCGATCGACATTCGTAGGTCGCAAGAAAATCAAACTTGTTTGAAATCCAGTCGCCTCTCGTGAGGATTTCACTCTGATGAAGTTGTTCCACGAGCCGATTTGCCAGAATCTGGCAGACTGCGCATGCGCGGACACAGACGTGGCTCAGCATTGTGTCTCCGCACATCTGTGGTTTTCTAATTCCGTGGTTTTCTTCTTCGTGGTTTTCTACTTCCGGAACAACAACTTTGACAACTCCGGTCGTTATGTGAACGTACAGTGTGAGCAGGCAAGTCGCATCCGAGCATCGGTTCGTTCAGTGTGAGAACATGATTCGTGAGCTGTGAACTTTTAAACCCTGTGATTTGGTCGTACAGTTTAAGCTGGGGCTGAGTGACACGACCGAAAATATCGCACAGTGCACGCCCGGCATTAGGCAAATCAAGTAATCCAAAGTATTCAGATTACAATACTCACCTTAAGTAATTTAAAGGATACCGTTACAAACTACATTTTGGGGTATGTAATCTGTAATCTGTAGGGGAATACATTTTAAAAGTAACCTTCCCAACACTGCTTGTACTTGAATAAATATAAGGTAGAGCGGTGAAGTTACATAGTGCACCTTTAAGTACAGTAGTACAAGTAAGTATTACATTCCACCAATGATATACACTTAAAGACTTAGACAAACTTTACTGATCCACAAGTGAAATTATTTGCACACAGTAGCTCATACATCACAATAAAATATAATAAAAAGAGCATAAACATAAATGGTATACTCACCTCGGCTATAGCGAGGATGGCCACAGTGAGGACGAAGGGGATGGACCATGTGACCATGTGGAAGTACGAGGTCCGTCCTGAGAGCGGCTGCTGAGTGGTGCCCAGAGCTTTAAAGGACATGTGCCAGGCATAGGTGAGCATCACGAACCAGATGACCCCAGACATGAGCGAGTAGTACACGATTATGAAGATGGTCACGCAGGATAAAGTCTCTGAGGAGCTGTGAGCAAGGAAAACAGAGCATTATTATACTTTATTAAACACCAACATGGGAAAATTAGTTGACAATTAACATACAAACATACGTGAAAAAGCTATGAAGATGCATAACAAAACAATGTAAAAGTAAATAAGACAGATCTGGGCAGTCTGTGCAGAGTACTCACCCTCTGGACATTAAAACATAATAGTAATATTAATAGAATAGGTATAGTCCATATGTTTTGTCTGAGGTGTTTTAGGCTGGACGATCACCCAAAACATTAAAGAATCCTTGTCTTTCTTATGACCATGTGTCTAATAAACAGTTACATATGTATTTCATGTACTGTATTTTTCGAACTTTACGTCGCACTTTTTTTCATGGTTTGGGTTGTCCTGCGACTTATATATTAACATTTTCACACTGACAGTCATGACAGGATGCTCTAGGCTTGTGTGTCAGTTTTCTGAGCATGTATCCTGCAGAAAAAGCCGCTGTCCTGTATATGGTCCTGTTGCAAGTAGTGACATATGCAGCTGAAAGGGGGGGGGATGGAGAACACAGCTTCACGGTAACCAGGAGGGATTGCCATGCAACTTTCCTGGAAGTCCTTGGATGAATCGACAAAGCCTGGACTTCAGTGACAACTGAAACCATCCTGTCAGGTAGGGGTGGGCGATATCTCGATATTTTAAATATATCGAGTTTTTAAACTCGATATGAATTCTGACATATCGTATATATCGATATAATGCTTATATTTAATTTTGATTTCGCCGCGTTGCTTGTTTACCTTCTCTCTCATCGCCTCCGCGCGCCCCCGCCTCCCTGATTTTGTTCGCTCGTGTCTCCTTCACTCGTCACTATCGCCCTGAACACCGAAAGTTGGTGCCAGTGAAAAGCTTCAAGCACCACGAACCTTTTCCACCATTTACAGACAAAACCATCAGCAGTACATCCTCATGTTCCACCGAGTCGCGTCCTTTAGCCCGAAAGAAGCTAAACGAGCTGAGCTGCATGAGAAGTGCGCTGTTTATGCAAATGAGCCATGCGCTTAAGTTTCGTTTCTGTAAAATGTAAACACACGTGCGCAAAACTGCATTAAACACATTATTATCTCAAACGGGTTGATGTGGCTCTAGAGTCGTTATGTTTTATATCTTGTAAAGTTTAGCAATGTTAAGTCTATTTATGCAGAAGATTTTAATTAATCTGTTGCAGTGTAACTTGTACAACAGTGTTTGGAATCGTTTGGTTTGATCTGCAGTGGATTGTGGGATTAAACCTCACAGCTCCTCACTGCTGGATAATAACATGGATCTATTGAAATAAGGAACATCCTGAGCTTCTTCTGCTAAAGGAGCTCATGGTCATGGTTATGGTTTGGATAACAGAGTTAATGCAAAGATGAGCTTGTGTTGAGTTGTTTTATTTATGAATGAAAAGAAAGAAATATGTATTATTTCTTTTATTTTACAGTTAAATTATTATTTATGTAATTAGGGTTTTTTGTCATCTTAAATGATCTATATGAACTGCCGACCTCTTACACTTCAATTTTAAAAAAAAGGACCTTGTGGAATTTGGCAGATTTGTTTTTGCAGTTTTCAGTTTTAGGGGGTTATTTTTTCTTGAACATATATCGAGATATATATCGTATATCGAGATGTAGCACAATATATCGAGATATATTTTTTGATCCATATCGCCCAGCCCTACTGTCAGGCTTCAGAAAAGCTGGAATAATTCTAACCAGAACTGATGCTGAGTTTGACAACAGCTACACAGAAGAGGAAGTGGCGCACTGTTTCCCTCCAGAGGTCACGGAGTTGCTCAGAAGTGACACTGAGGATGAAGAATTCAATGGATTTAGTGATTTGGAGTGAGATGGAGAGTTTGCGAAACTTGATCTCTGTTGTTTATGTTATAGTTATCTGAATAACTATTCTCTTTTCTATTGTTATTACTATACCTTGCATTTCAAGATGAAATGTTGGTTCTTGGTCTATGATTTTATAAAATACACTTCCCCCAAAAAGTGAGACTTATAGACTGGTGTAACTTATATATGTTTTTTTCTTCTTCATTATGCGTTTTTTGGCTAGTGCGACTTCTACTCCAGAGCGACTTAGTGCGAAAAATACAGTATTAACATTTTTCTATTAAAGTGAAATTACACTGCTGCGTCAAGGACACGGCCAGCTTGTTATCTGGTCAGAGTCATACGTCATACTCCCTACAATGGAAGCACAGTCAGGCTTGAATAGACAATAAATACCACAATGTGTTGAGCCTCCATGTGTCTCTCCCTGTACTGTTTGTAAATACATTTCTCCTGCATTAAAGATCCAGTGTCCTGCCTCTCTCCTGAGCTACTTCATTTATTCTACAACTAAATTCAACATTAACTATATTTATAATGTTTATAATGTTTTGCTGTGCTAATATTATTATGTATTGCTGCATTGACTCACGAGGGCTCTCCCAGTCTCATGGTGTTGTCACTTTTACAGACAATTTCTTCTCGCGCTCCATCCAAGAACTGAGCGAGCCAGCCGATACTGCCCACGAAGAAGCAGGCGTTTATGTAGAAGAGGATCACAGCCGGATAGCGGTTTGAGTTCTTCCAGTCTGCGAGAAACGTGGCCTGAAACAAAACAAGGAATCTGTCAGGATTTTATCACTGTGGTAGGATGAAAAACAGTAATATCACTAATCAAAAAAAAAAAAAGAAAAGCAGCTTATACATGATCTAGTATAGATTTTTGCTGTTTTCAACTAAGTACAATTCTATAATAGTTATTTAATGTGAGAGTATATAAAACAATACTAAAATAAAAGCTTGTACAAAAAAATTGCATCCTTAAACTGACTCTAACTTGGTCTATAGAGGAGGGTTTATTCCTGCTTGTTTCCATGGATTTTTTTGTTCCTTTGACTATAACATTTTACAGTAGGGATGTAACGATATCCAAATCTCTCGGTACAATATTATCACGCATCTCACGGTATGATATTTAATGTGATATTTTGGAGAGACTGATATAATTATAGACAGGACAGGGTTTTTTTTTTATACCTTGACAAGATTTTGGTGTGAATTATTGCCATCATAATCCCAAGAATTCAAGAAAAAACATATCTCTTCATGTTGTCGCTCCTGAAATGAATCATGGGATATGTAGTTTCCTATGTTCATAAGCTGTTGCTACTATAATACCATTCATTTAAGCAAAGGAACTTGTAATTCGATATATTGTGATGATATTATTGTGAGACTTTTGACGATATGATATTACAATATTTCGGTTATTGTTACATCCCTATTTTACAGTATGGTATAAAATGTATTTTATTTCTATGGAGATTGTTCCAAAGTATAGTTTTAACTTTCTGTTTTCATAGGATCTTGCAGGTTGTGTGCCATCTCTAGAAAGTTTCATACTGTCCCTCTAAACATGCAACTTATTGTTAACTAGAAAAGCACTCAGAGAGCGCAGACCTCGGCCAAGGACTACCCCCATTTTTTATATAAATTGCGATAAAATCAGTCTTCTGGATCAGATTCGGATCAGCCTTTGGAATATGAAAGAGGATCCCATTGTCCATCCCTGAGTCAAATTTCATGGGGTTTGGTCAATAATTAACCGAGATATTGAGAAACAAAATTTTTGCCCCCATTTACCACAATGTTAACTAAAATTTCAAAGTGATCCAGAATCCAGGATTTCTTCCGGATCACCCCCAAAATGAAATCAGTTCTTCCTTTTCACATTTCCAACAAATCTTGAAAATTTCATCAAAATCGGTCCTTAACTTTTTGAGTTATGTTGCTAACAGACAAACAAACAAACAAACAAACAGACAAACGCCGGCAAAAACATAACCTCCTTGGCGGAGGTAATAAGAAATCTTTTTAACTTAAGTACAAGACCGATATAGTCCTATGAGTTTAAATTAAATTTCTCTCTAATTTATGTAATTAATGTCTGTCTCTCTCTTTAATTTTATAATGATTATTTATGTTTTGATTTGTTTTATTGTGATTTTAATGTATTTCTTATTCTGTAAAGCACTTTGAATTACTTTATGTACGAATTGTGCTATACAAATAAACTTGCCTTGCCTATGAGTATATTTCCAACACAGTGAAGTGTCTTGCCCAAGGACACAGTGTTTAAGCACTGAGGGTGTCGGTGCTAAAATATGTGCTTACAAATCTACACTACTCAAAGTACAACTACTAATAACATAACTCTTATAATTTTGTAAAAATGCAACTTCTATAGGTGGCAATTAGATCAAATATGTACGGTCTCAGCAGAGTGAAAAAGGTGCAGAGGAGGGTGACTCTGCTAGTATACACTTGTAAAAACTACAACTATCATAAACGATAAACCTTTTCGCCTTCGTTAACATTATTATTAGTATGCACGATCATAAACGAAAAACAAGAAATCCTTACATTCTTTCATTCTCATTGTTGTTTGTTTCACACGATTATAAACGATAAACTTTTGTCCCTTTGTTAACATTATTATTAGTTTGCACGACCATAAACGGGGGAAAATAAAATAAATAAATTAATTAATTCAATAAAATAAAAACGAGGAAGAAAGAAATTTCTGGTAGAGATTTTGGTTTGTAAAATATTTGGCGCAATGACTTTAAACAGTTCAACATTGTAGAAATCTTCTATAAATCTTGTATAGACTGTTGTGTTCTGGAAAATATGGAGCTCTGGAGGTGATGAATTGTGCACTGAGTTTTGTTTGTTTTAATTTATATTTAGTTTATTTATATGTACAGTGAGTGGAGTTGTGAATGCAAACTTGTTGTGCATGCGTTTGGTACCTTTTGTTTCAGCTCGTTTATTTAAAAAAAAAAAAAAAAGTAGTAGTAGTAAGTAGTTAGTGAAAACTACAACTGGCTGTTCATAACATAACTCATACTTGGTGAAACTGTAATTTTAGAGATTAAATCAGTTTAGTCTCACCAGAGTGAAGAAGGTGCAGAGGAGGGTGACTGTGCCGAAACATGCGATGTATCTGTGCATGTCACTGTGTTCTTCTTCTGTGAACAGAGGATTGTCACACTGGATCCCACAGCCCTCCACGTCTTTGTACCAACTCGACTGAATGTCTGTCTTCACCAGAGGAGCCTCACACTGGCCCGAGGTGTTGAACTTCAGCTTCTGCACCTCGTTCTGAGTCAAAGAAAGATGCAAACAGCAAAATGGTGAGACACAAATGAAGTATTAAGATTATTAATAACTGAGTTTACAAAATGATTAATTATATTTTTATAAACCATAACTTGGATAGTGGTTTGAGATATGCCTTACCTTGAACTCATTTATAATAAACAAATTAAATGTAAAGAAATATCCTGAAGAACACTATATAACTTGGAGGAGAGTGGAGAGTCAGACACCTGCTTGTCTCTATAGAGATGTTATTGCTTTCTCAGAGTGTCCCCAGGTTTGACAACCCCAAATTTAAGACTTTTTTAAGACCTTTTCACTGTTTGTGATGTTGGTTTTAAATGAAAATTAAGACCAACATCGCACCCATTATGTAGGCGATCCAATTCTAATAATGACCAGCCAACTACGGTACTATATCTAGAGTCTAAGAGCCACTGTGGATTAAACCTACACTTTCCCAGGATCCATCCATCTTCCTCCACTCTAGTGATCGTTTACTCATTGCCGGAGACGGCAGAAACCAGAAAAAGTATTGTCTGTGCATTCTCCAAATTAAACGTTCATCCACGTTACATGATTTTACGTTGTTGTCTTTTTTTCCATTACACTGCAGCCTGGTTGAGTTTACAAAAAAAGATAGGCTAATGAAATTTAAGAACATAAAGAAAAAAATAAGACTTGAACAACATACTTTACGACTTATTCAGGCCTTAATTTAGGAACATGAAATTTAAGAACTTTTTAAGACTTTAAGACCCCGCAGCTACACTGTTTCTCTGGAATATTTCACAGTATGTTATTAAACCTTTCTATCTTCATGGAGACCTCGCTCACAGTCAGAATGTCTGTTTTTCTAGGTATTTTTGAGTTATGAATCTACCTGTAATAAATGTTAAGTAGAGCTGTTTAATGTCATATTGTGGGTCATTTCAGGCAAGCAGCTACATATCCATGGAAACAAGCAGGCGATACAGTGCACGATGTAACTTTTCAGACACTTGTTTTTCTCTGTGGAATACTATTGCTGCATCTGAAATGTTCTACAGTATGGCATTAAACTTATCTATCTTGTATTTATTTATTTACTGTTGTTTTTATTACTATTGAAAAAACATGAATTCTTATAGTGAGCAGTGTCACCTCTCCACAGATCTGACCTGTAAATTGCCCTGGTCACATCACCTGCTTGGAGATAAGATCTGTTTAAAGCACAGCTGTCAAACATACGGCCCGGGGGCCAGATCCGGCCCTCCAAGACTTTTAATCTGGCCCTCGGCTGATTTTCTACTAAAATATTTTTATTATATTTTCTATTAAAATATTGTTTATTTTCTGCGGTGTTTATCACAGCAGCGTCTCCAGTGTCTCTGTACGTGGCCCCTCCCACCAGAGCAGCACAAATGAAGACTTGGCTCTTTCCAAACGCTCTTAAAGGACGATCGTTTTGACTGTTGACCGAGACACCCTCATTAGCAAAATGTCAAAAATCAGAAAAGTGGAGCCGAGTGCAGGATTTTCCAAGAAAAATTGACTTATTCCTATTTACATACAAGTCAATGTTAAAACATTTTGTTTAAATTGTATTTTTCTTAAAGATTCAGGTTGTTCATAATATTGTAATATTTTGTAAAAGAAAGAGTTCACCAATAAAAAAGATTTCTGTAATAGATTTGTGTTTCTCTGCACAAATATTTGAACTTATTGTTATTTTTGGGGTTTATATGACATGAGTTTTCTGATCCGGCCCCTTTGGGATCAAAGTAGGTTGGATACGGTCCCCGGACCAAAATGAGTTTGACACCCCTGGTTTAAAGGTGCATAACATTCCAAGTAATAACATTGCCAAGATAAGCAGATGACGGACCCTCCACCAAAAAAGTTACTTTAAGTAAGTGTATCTTTAATAATTCAAACATATTGCAGATCATAATAACAGAGAGTCTCACAGAGCAGCCCGTGGGGAACTTGTCGCAGGTGAGGAAGGTGGGCCATCCTCTCTCCTGGTCCACGATGCTGCAGGGCCCCCTGGTGGCCTCACACAGGCTGTACCCCGGCAGCTCCACTTTCCCGTTCTCACATTTGGGCATGTACACGGCGCACAACAGCGGCTGGATCACAGACCAGCACCGGGGTGCGTTTCTCAGACCTACGGGAACAAAGAAAATAGTACATGCAGTTACTCATGAGCTAGTTTACCCCTCATTGTCAACTGTTTTAAAAAACTGGACATATAACATAAACTTTTTGACTACCAGATTTACCAGGCATTGTTTGATTGTTATATTGACATTTGGAAATATCAAAATAATATAGGCCTGGATAAAGAATAAAAGTCATGCGCTATACAGATCTAACATGTTCCTATTTTATACTGTTATACTATAATGTGCACGTGAAAAGCTGAACTGTATTTAACTTATAAAGACACTAAAGTAAACAAAACACTGAACCAAAGAGATTTTATGTAAAGATATACGATTGACTGTGTATCAAAAACACAACATAATTTAACAATATTATCTGTCACAATAACATACACATAGACCTAAATACTAGGAGTGTAACGATATCCAAACCTCACGATACGATATCATCACGGAATGAACCTCACGTTACGATATTTATTGCAATATCGTGGGAAAGCTCACAGTTAGGAATGTAACAATATGCAAGTCTCTCAGTACGATATTTTCACAATATACATCACACGGTACGATATTTATTGCGATATTTTGTGGTGGCTAATATACTACTTTTTCCTCTTAAAATGCCTTGACAAGACTTAATCCAAAGAACTAAGACTTAAAAGTGCTTAGAACTTGTTATTTCTTCTTGTAGTCTGAAATGGAGCAAAGGATCATGGTCTATGTAGTTACCTCTGTCTTTTTTTTTAGCTATTGCTGCACCATAACTCTTAATTTAAGCAAAGAGACTTGAAATTTGATATATTGTGATGGTCTACGATATTATTGTGAGAACTTTGACGATACAATATCACGATATTTCCGTTATTGTTACACCCTTACTATATACTGGAAGGAAATTTGGATTAAAAAAAGTGAATGAAACTGCTCAAAACCCATCTGTTTAGAATAGTTTTAATGTCTTAACCTCTTTTATTATGATGCTTTTCTCTGATTACCTTGTTTTTAATGTGTATCTTTTTTTATTGTATTCTTTGTACAGCATTTTTTTTAATGTTTAGAAAAGCGCTTCATAAATGTATTATAATTATTAGTAGTTTATATGTGTCAAAAATGTCAGAATTTTGGTTTTAGATCCCTTAAGTTTGCATATGAGTGTGTGGTCCCCTTCACTTCACCCCTCCCTCTGCATCCTCCCTTTGTTTTGCTGATCACTCATTTCCTTCACACTTTCACTGCAGCATCAGTCGCCTCTTTAGCTTCCATTAGACACGATTAACACCTGGAAGTGACAATGCAGCCAAGTCATTTAGTCATTAATAGCAATTTACACTAGAGTCTTATTTTATTTCAGAGTAACAGGCCACTGGGTTGAAATGTAACTTTTAAATCATATAAAGAGGGACACATGGGAAATCTCATGCGTAATATGGCACTCTAATGTTTTAATAATGTTATAAACTAGTAGACTATGGGCCATTATTTACAACTGATACTATCAGCAATTAAATTCAACTAGCCAAATGAGGTTCCTTTGGTATTCCGCTAATTTATGTTATTAGGTTCTTTTTTCCGACCAAGAGTTTGAAGAGAGAGAATTGGTCAGGTATAAAAACAAACTCTACAACATAACATAAATTAAATTCTACGTTCGTATTGAAAGCATAATATTTTAAAATCCTTTTTTTTGTGCTAGACCTACTCCAATAACGTACTAATGTAGGCTAGTATTACTCTTAATACATTTACAGTACGTCTTTAGGTCTGCATATTTAAAAAAAAAATTAAACTACTACTACTACTACTGCTTTTTTTACTAAAGCCTTTTGTTAATTGTATTTTATTTTTGTTTTATCTTATTAGTTCCTGTAATAATTTTAGCTTGATGCACTGTTTGCTGATGCACTTTTATTCAGTACTACTACTACTACTACAAACTCATACTTCTAGGCTACTACTGCTCTTAATACATTTATGTCTTTAGGTCTGCATATTTTCATTTTTCTTTTCATCACTTTAAACTACTACTACTAATGCTACTACTACTACAAACTAGTGCTACTAGGCTACTACTGCTCTTAAAACAATTTTGTCTTTGGAGTGGTATACTTTTCATCACTTTAAGCTACTCCTACTCCTACTGCAAACTAGTACTTCTAGGCTACTACTACTCTTAATACATTTATGTCTTTAATGTCTGCATATGTTCTTTTTCTTTTCAACACTTTAAACTACTACAACTACAACTACTACTACTACTACTACTACTACTACTACTGTTAGTACTACTACTACTACTACAAACTACTACTACTGCTCTTAAAACATTTTTTTCGTTGGAGTGGCAAACTTTCTTTTCATCACTTAAAGATATTACTACTGCTACTTTTACTACTACTACTACCACTACTTCTACTATTACCCCAATCGACTGGCGTGCGTCTTATACCATGGCTGCCCCTGTATTTTACTCTGGGCATAATTGGGGCTCACAACTAGGCCATGGCTTTAGTTTTGTTTTGGTATGTGCCCTATAACTGATGCGACCACCCATTACGCACGACAATTTGTTACGTTTTCCGTCTTTAGGTTGGCATGGTTTCATTTCATTTTTATATTTTCCTCACCAGACCACATGGTTAACTTCTCAAAAGCCTCTTCTTGGGTGGTTGAGTCTTCGGCTAGGACCAGGGACGTGTGCGTGTAGGGCAACGGGGACCCCAAGCATGTGTTGTACTTTAAAGCTTCACAAGTTGCAGTTTTCTTGCAACGATCTTCAAAAAACGGCACGTTCGTGGACAGCACCGCGTCCGAAATGTGCGTAAAAAGCATCAACACGGCAGTCCAGAGCCATAGCATCCCACAAAACGAGGCAACAATGGGGCCCCGGGACGACATTTTAGAAGAGAGCGAAGCAACGGTGCACCAAAACACGTTTGTAGAAAGCGCGATGTGGATATGTTAGTTACGCCAGAAAAGGCAACAAAACGTCACATCCATGCGTAAAACTTTCCACGCGATTCATCTTTGCTTAAAAAAAGTTAGTAGCGTGTTTTAGAAATCCTCCAGAAATCTTTCAGTCCTCGCTGCTGGTCTGATGCGCGCTGGCTGTGCTCAAATTCCTTCATTATCCAAACGAAAATCTCTCGGAAAGTGCGCATACGCCACGGAAAAGAGCGCAAAACAATCCAAGAGTGAGAAAAATAGAAGTTGTCACGCTGAAGTTGGTTAAAATTATCCAAAAAGTTGCTCGGTCGCCCTCCCCCACTTTCCAAAAAAAAAAGTTGAAAAAGTCTGGATGCGTGTAATCGGATCCGGGACTAGTATGGACCTCCCCTTTAGACCGGAGCCCCCCTTTTAGTACGTGCGCTAAAAAATCTAATGTTACACGTTGACGTAAGTTGGGATGGAGATATATATTTTTTTCTTTTTCTTTTTTTTTTTTTTTTTTTTTTGTGAACTAGTTGTAATCGCTGCGTCTCCGTGTTGTTCACTTGCTCCAGTCGCTGCACCGAGTCTTTGCGGAATGTTTGCCCGGGCCGGAGTGAGTTTACTGGGGGGAAAAGAACCGCACAGCCTCCCCCCCGTTCGCCGGTCCCATCCCCCTCTCGCTTTAAGTGGAAGAATGTAACTTATGGCAGACTCACAGAAGAAAACAGACAGAAATAAAAACAACTAAATAACAAAAACAAAAAAAAAAGGATAGCAATTGTACACGTTTATATTATCATGTTTGTAGCGCATGTTGCTAACGTGCTAACCTCTAATTAACGCGCTAACAAAATGTATTTTAAAGATCATGGTCAATGTAATACCACGGTCATCCAGGTGTGTACAGGGCTTTTTGTTATAATGTAGTTATGGCATTATTTTACAAACGAATTATAACTATTAAAAATCGTAATTAAAATAGACCCTTTTCACAAAGGCCGGAAGTGCCGCGATGTACCGTAAACATCAGTTACGTTAATGCTTTTTTTAAATGGTAAAATATCTGTGAAAATGTGTCACGTATTTTTTTTTTTACCAACTTAATAAATCTGCCCAATCACGAAATCTTCATCCAATTAAGTCGACAAAGGACATATTCTGTTCATGAAGAATTTATTCACAACTATCAAGCTAAGAAAGACGAAAACGTAAAGGCGAACACCGATTAGCATTAGTGAACTACTCCTGAACAAAACTAACATTATGGTCTTGAATAAAACATAAGTAATAAGTAATTTGTTAATAAGTAACTTGTGAACTCAGATTGATTCTAGAATTAAAATAAATCAATATCGATTTCATCATGTAGATTATAGTTACTCACTGCTATTCCGAAATGCCGCTTTTTAGATATTGATGTCTAATTATGAGCGTAACATAAAAATAGTAGTAGTAAATTATTTTGCAGGTTTTTTTTTTTTCTTTTTCCTGGTTTAGTCTTGGTTTAGTCCTGGTTCTTCCACATCGGAATGGCGGCATCAAAAAGTGTCGGTATGGGGGCATATCGGTGTGGAGGGTTGCCGGAATGACTGGTGGGGGTCTGTCAGAGTGGCGGTATGTTGGAATAAATGTTGTACCCCATGTAGATATTGGCATAGACAGAGATTTGTGCGGTTCGAATGTTACAGATGTTCACAGATTACATCTCACATTTAAACTACACAAATCTCTCTGTCTATGTAAATATCTACATCATGAAATCGATTTTTAATTTTAATTCTAGAATCAGTCTGAGTTCACAAGTTACTGATGTTTTATTCATGCCCATAATGTTAGTTTTGTTCAGGAGTAATTCACTAATGCGTCGTTGTTGTTCACCTTTACATTTTCGTCTTTCTTACCTTGATAGTTGTGGATAAATTCTTCATGGACAGAATATTTCCTTTGTCGACCTTGTTGGATGAAGATTTGGTGATGGGACAGATTTATGAAACTGGTGGAAAATACGCGAGACATTTCTACAGATATTTTAACATAGAAAAGCATTAACGTAAGTGACGTTTACCCTACATCGCGTCACTTTCAGCCGTTGTGAAAAAGCTCTATTGACTCTTCTGAGCTTTAACTCATTATAATGTTGTTACCTCGTCAAAAACACACCTGGTGTTGTGTTTTGTTGCACTCGCACATGTTTGAGTAACTGTTTATTATTAATATGTCCACACCTCAGTCTAAAAATGCTCTATTCCACCTTGTGATGTCATGAAGCGGTAGTTTTCAGGTTAACAGCTCCTTTTTGTTCAGTAGAAATTGGCAATTCTGGAGCTGAATTCATCCAAATGATTCCAATGAAGATGTGTGGAGTTTAAAAACACAGTGGCACACTTCCTGTACCACCACATGACATCACAAGGTGCCACAGTGTTTTCGTAAACAAAACACAACTCCAGGTCTGTTTTTGAGGAGGAAACATTATAACATAAGAGTAATATGAGCCGCTTTAATGTGTAGAGTTTGTGCATTGTGTAACTTTTCTGGTGGGCCTGACATCTGACGTCTCCATGGTGATGTTATTGCTTTACCTGTGATTTTCCACAATATGGCATTAAACATTTATATCTTGTGTGTATTTATTTATTTACCGGTGTTTTTATTTCTCAAAACGACCACAAAAACATGCGTTAAAACTACTTCTCCGCAGACCTGAGTTGTAACCTGACCTGGCGATGTGGCCTGCTTGTCTCCGTGGAGATGGTTAAATGAAATGCCATACTGTGGAACATTTCAACAACAAGAAGAGTCCAACAGGTGGTGGACTCTCCTAGAAAAGTTACGTAGTGCATCTTTAAAGACAGGACACAAATAACTTCATCACTGCAATGTAAATATTATAATGTTTTACACAAATATGTCATCTTTATGGTATGTAAGTGTTTTAGTTTAGTTTTTCTCACAAACGTCTCAGGGCTCCCTTCTCAACACTAACGCCTTTATGTTCTAAGTTTTAGAACAGTGGGGTTTTTGTGTTTTAATATTTAGTTTAATCCAGCCACAAGTGTACACAGGTTATGTCATTTATGTGGTTTACACAAAAGAACTCGCGTATTCTGCCTCTGACCACAGACAAATCCTCACGGAGACAGAGAGAAAAGGAGGGAACGGAGAGAGGAGAGAGGGAGGAAGAGAATGGGAAGGAGAGGGAGCTACAGAGAGAGAGAGAAGGAGAAAGGAGGGGAATGCAAAAGGGGAACAGGGAGAGAAGGAGAGAGAGACAGAGAGAGAAACAAAGCAGAGAAAAAGAGACAGAGAGAGAGAAATGGAGAGGAGAGAAAGAGAAATAGAGGGAATGAGAGTGAGAACAGAGAGAGCAGAGGGAAGAGAAGGGGAGGGAGAGAGAGAGAAAGAGAAAGAAGGGGAATGAGAGAGGGGAAACAGAGAGAAGGAGAGACAAAGAGTGAGAAAGAGAGAAACAAAGCAGAGAAAGAGACAGGGAGAGAGGAAGAGGAGAGAAAGAAGAGAAAAAGAGAGACAGTAAGAGAGAGAGAAAAGAGAGGAGTGACAGAGTGAGAAAGAGAGAAAGTGAAGGGGAGGGAGAGAGAGCTACAGACAGAAGGAGGATGAGAGAGGGAAAGCAGGGAGAGAAGAGAGGGAGAGAGCGAGACAAAGCAGAGGAAGGGACAGAGAGAGAGGAACACGGAGGATAGAAAGAGAAAAAGAAGAGAGAAAGAGACCGCAAGAGAGCAGAGAAAGAGGCAGAGAGAGGAAGAGAAAGAAAGAGAATGAGAGGGAGATAGAGAGAGCAGAGAGAAAGAGTGACAGAAAGAGAGAAGGGGGAGAGAGAGAGCTACAGAGCGAGAAGGTAAAAGAAGGGGAATGAGGGGAAACAGCTAGAAGACGGAGAGAGAGTGAGAGAGAGAAACAAAGCAGAAAAAGAAGAGAAAAAGAGACAGAGAGAAAAGAGAGAGAATGAGAGGGAGAGAAAGAGCAGAGAGTGAGAAAGAGAAAAAAGGGGAATGAGAGAGGGGAAACGGGGAGAGAAGGAGAGAGACAGAGAAACAAAGCAGAGAAAGAGACAGAGAGAATGAGTGAGATAGAGCAGAGAGAGTGACAGAGAGTAAGAAAAAAGAAAGGGAGAGAGAGAGAAAGAAAGTGAAAGAGTTGAAACAGGGAGAGAAGGAGACAGGCGAGAGAGAGGAGAGAGAGTGGAGAGAGACAAAGCAGAGAAAAAGAGACAACAAGAGAGCAGAGAAAGAGACAGACAGAGAGAAAGAGAGAGCAGAGAAAAAGAGACAGAGAAAGAGAGAAGGGGAGGGAGAGAGCTACAGAGAGAAAGAGAAAGATAGGGAATGAGAGAGGGGGAGACAGGGAGAGAAGGAGAAATAGAAGAGAAAAGGAGAGACAGCGAAGGGATCAGAGAAAGAGAGAGGGAGAGAAAAAGAAAAGAGAGAATGAGAGGGAGACAGGGTGAGCAGAGAGAAAGTGACAGAGTGAGAAAGAGAGAAGAGAAGGAGAGAGAGAAAAAGAGAAAGTATGGGAATGAGAGAGGGGAGACAGGAGAGAAGGAGAGAGAGAGAGAGAGAGAAGGAGAGAGAGAGACAGAAAGAGAGGGAGGGAGAAAGTGGAGAGAGAGAAACAAAGCAGAGAAACATACAGAGGGAGACAGGGTGAGCAGAGAGAAAGTGACAGAGTGAGAAAGAGAGAAGAGGAGAGAAAGAGAAAGAAGAGAAATGAGTGAGGGGAGAGAAGGAAAGAGAGAGAGGAGACAGTGAGAGACAGCAAGAAAGCAGAGAGAGAGACAGAGAGAGGGAGAGAAAGAGAGAGAATGGGATAGATATAAAAGAGTGACAGAGAGTGTGTGAGAGAGAGACACAAAAAGCGAGAGAAGAGAGAGAGAAAGAGAGAGCAGTGAGTCAGAGGCAGGGCCCAGGACCACACACAGAGGAACGCCACAAATCTCTCTCCCTCCCTCCACTCTCACTCTCTCCATTTCCCTACACTCGTTTCTATCTAAAGTGTTTTACAATTGGCCCAGCTCACACACACACACACACACAGACAGCACACACATTATAAACCAGTATATTTATTATTGACCAAAACCACGTCACATTTCAAACAGAATCCCTTTCCCCTTATATTATTTTGACATTAATTACACATAAAAAACAAGTAAAAGTTGCATTTACACTCACAATTAAAATAATCTTTTCATATAAAATCCTAAAGGTGCATTGTGTAACTTTTTGGTTGGGGGGTCCGTCACTTGCTCATTACTCTGCCTGGAACAGCTCTACCTTAGATTTATTCAATTACAGGTGTTTTTTTTTTTTAATAGCTCAAAAATACCTTAAAAAACAGGCATTCTGACTGTAAGCGGGGTCGCCTCTCCACAGATCTGACCTGTAACCTGGTCTAGTTTGGTTTTCATGACTATAGAAATGTTTAATATCATACTGTGAAACATTCCAGACTAAGTAATAACATCTCCAAAAGCATTTGACGAGCACTTCGCTAGAAAAGTTACAAAATTAAACGTTAAAAAACATAACTACATCTTGAATTACTACTAGAAAATTTGTCCGTGGTCTTCTTGATGTGAAGTCCAATTTGTTCAATATTTCATTCCACTACATGTAAGTAAAAAGTGTTGTATGTAAGTTTGTAAAAAAGGAAAACGTGCTTGAAGAAATGTTTTTGTAACTGCAGCTTTTCTTCCAGAAGATGGCGCCATTTTTCTCCACATGTGAGGTACAATTTGTTCATTTACAAATCCACAGTTATGAAGTAAGGATTTGCGTGATGTGGCAGTCATAGTGATTTCATGTTTTGGCAGCCATACTGGAGGTCAAGACTGGGATTATTCAGTTTATTTCAATATAATCATGGCGACTTTAAACAGCGCAAACAACATAAAACATTGCAGAAGAGTTTGCAGCCGAGTGTGAAGCAGCTGGGATGAGGATCAGCTCTTCCAAGTCCGAGGTCATGGTTCTCGACCGGAAAAAGGTGGCTTGCCCTGTCCGTGTGGGTGGAGAGTCCCTGCCTCAAGTGGAGAAGTTCAAGTATCTCAGGGTCTTGTTCAGGGGAGGATGGAGCGTGAGATTGACAGGTGGATCGGTGCAGCGACTGCAGTGATGCAGTCGCTGTATCGGACCGTTGTGGTGAAGAGATTTACCGGTCAGCCCTCACCTATGGTCATGAGCGTTGGGTAAATAGCTGAAAGGACGAGATCACGGATATAAGTGGCCGAAATGAGTTTCCTCCGCAGGGTGGCTGAGCGCCACTTAGAGATAGAGTGAGGAGCTCAGTCACACGGGAGGAACTTGGAGTTCGCTCCACCCGCTGCTCCTCCACGTCAAGAAGAGCAGCTGAGGAGGCTCGGGCATCTGTTCCGGATGCCTCCTGGGCGCCTCCCTCAGGAGGTGTTCCGGGCATGTCCCACCGGAAGGAGGCCCCAGGGAAGACCCAGGACACGCTGGAGGGACTATGTCTCTGGGCTGGCCTGAGAACACCTCGGGGTCCCCCTAGAGGAGCTGGAGGACGTGTCTGGGGAGAGGGAAGTCTGGGAGTCCCTGCTTAGACTGCTGCCCCCACGACCCAGCCCTGGATAAGCGGAAGAAAACGGATGGGTGGACATACAACTTTCCGAAATCGCCAGCTCATTAGATCAGCCATCATTAGAAAGGTATAACGCTAAAGTCGGTCCTCCTGGGTTGTGGAAAAGATCGCGATCTAATTCCGATGGAGCGGTTTGTCAGTCTAATCAACGCTCGCTCTGTGCCCTATCTTTAGCATCCAGATATTTACAACAACTTAATTCATTCAACATCGTCCTACACCAACCAAGAACTGAAAAACTACATGGGGTTAGAGGATTATAAATATTTTGTAGCGGGGGTGCGTGAGATCTTTGTTGATCACCAAACATCACATCTGTTCCTGATAACACTCAGGGTAAGTAGAATGGAGGTCAAAATCAGAACCGGAGCTACCTGGGACAGTGGAAATAGAGGGGGGATTCCTTGCCGACGAAAGTGAGGACGGGGGGTGGTGGATAATTTTTGGTATCTATCATTTCATTTACTGTAAATGCCTTTTTCATTTGTGTGGAAGTGGTCTCTCACCAGAAATGAAACACATGCACAGACGATTGTACTCAGTGGGCTCCCATCTCTCTCTTTTTATATCCGCTCTCCACTTCTGTCTGCGATCTTTATCAACCGGGATCCGATAGAAAAATACTTTGGCCTCCTTCTTTATCAGATTGACTCCGACCAGAACATCCAACAGCAACACAGGTCAAAACCATTATTATTCAATACAAATTTTATCACAAAATAAATACTACACGTTCGTCCAGATGTATAGTTTGACCTCCAATATGGCGGCATCAACACCAGGTCACGTGGTTTTGTGACGTAGACGCAAAACCTCAATAGTCACCAAACATACGTGAGTGTAGTGTTTGGCACCTTTAAGCATTACTATAGTCCTGTTTAGATGTAGCTGTGAGGCTTGTCTCATCTCCAGGGGTCAGAGCGGTGCTTCAGGTTGTAGTTTTGGAGCTCGATTTGGTCTTTGATTTGGTTTATGAGAATCTGGGAGAGGAGAATCCCCACCAACTGCAAAACAAAACAAAACAAAACAACACAAACAATTATAAATGACTGAGTATAAGGCTAAAGTTGATACTGAAACAACAGATGGGGAAAGTAATTACAGAAATATACAGATTATCTGATTGTAATTTTGTGAAGTCATTTCAACGGAATGATAAAATAGCTGGAATAAGAAGACTAACTTTTAACTGGATTTATTAGCACGTATTTGTACGTAGTGTTCACATACTCAGATTTCAGACTTTGGAGGAATAAATTGGGAGTTATTTTGTGTTAAATGGCAACGATTAAAAAGTCTGTATCGTTTATTATAACCTTCATAACCTTCCTTACAAAATGTCTGGTGCTTTTATAACAGTGATTACATGGTATTTGATTCCACTTGCCATTACTTTTATTGGACTACTGCATTTTGGTTGAGTAGCGCCCTCTTGTGATGACTGGTAGTGATAAGTGCCGCTGCGGCCAAGAGCACATTGCCAGTTCATGAGAGACGGGCATGAGGTGGGTCACTGATTTTAGCTCTAAATCGCTGCTATTTCGTCGTGATGTATTAACGGGATTAACTGGTATATTAAGCTTTTCCAAATCCCGTAGGAAGAAGGGCAAAAATGTCTTTCCCCTTGATAAAATTCACCAAACATTCTCTTTGTTCCGGCTTTAAATTCTCGATCTCGGGAATCATTGCCAACAGAGAATATATGGCTTTTTGCTGATTGGCTGGTGCCAGAACTCGCACTTCTGGGGTTTTTGTAAACGGTCTAGTGTATTCCGATTCCTGACCTAGTCGCTGGAGAGAAATGAAATTAAGTGGAGGCACTAGGTGAGCACCTGTATATGTAAGTTTTGATCCAGTGCACCACTCCAATATCATTATTTTTATTCTGTACCATTTATGTTGAATATTAAAAGCCATTTTTGTTTGTTTAAAATAAACTGAAAATCTGGATTGATCAATGAGGAAAGATGTTTTCTGTCATATCACTGCAGTGTAACATTAAGCGTGACCTAAACCCTGCTCCATATCAGACCTGTGGAATGGCGAGCCCTAGAGCGATGCCCCCGAGGATGAAGAGGTTACTGTGGATCCAGTTGACCAGTTTGTCGATGCAGCCGTTTGTGTAGATGAACTCTCCGGCCTCCACATAATCGAGATCCTGCATCCCCTGACCACACATGGTGTTGATCACCTCCTTATGTGGGACAAAACACATCAGAGCGTTAGTAAACTTCTAACATATATAAAGCATGATTTAACAGTTTTGACACATTTCAATTTAAGAACACGTATAATTTATTATTTGTATTATTATTTCTTTTGTCCATATATTTTACTAAGCATATTTCAATATTTTAAAAGGTCACCACTTAAACAAAAACATGACATGAACAACCTCACCCAACAAAAAAGCTGAGTATATATATATAAAGATCACTATACAGTACAGAATTACACTACAGCACATACAAGCAAAGGCCGGGCCAGGTTAGTACTTGGATGTGAGACCACTGGGAAAATCAGGTGCCACAGGGGGGGGCGCCAGTCACAAAAACTGTCATTGTGTCCTTAGGTAAGACACTTCACCCACATTGCCTAGTATGAAAGTGGTGTGAGTGATGGTGGTGGTTGGAGGTGGATGGTGCAGATTGGCAGCCGCATTTCAGTCAGTCTAGGGCTACAATAGTAGTTTACCACCACCAGGTATGGAGTGAATGAATAATGCTCTATAATGCAGCTTTGTGACATATGTCTGTGAAAAGTGCTATATAAACAGAAACTTACTAAACTTATACATGAAATAATATAGTAAAAAATTGTAATGGGAATGAGAAAAAATAAATATATTTACATTTACTTTTACATTTACATTTACATACATTTACTTTACTTAAAAAAAAAAAAAAGTCAGACATGGAAGTTAGGTTATTTGCATTGTTACTGGCCTTTAAACATGCTCTTGAGTACCTTTGCTTAACTTGAAATCAGACCAATAACAACAGACACCTTGTTTCTGGGTTTCTAGAGGTACAAACCAATACTGGGAACTTGGCTTAGGCCGCCATCTGCTGTTAGTAGAGGGAATTACTGTTTAAAGATCTACCAACTCTTCAGCTAATTTAAGACTCAGTCACTATCTTCTCTTTTCTACTGTTGTCCCATTGGCTACAGCCCTATATAAAGTTAAAAATGTGATCATATTTCAAAAAGTTTGTCTCTGATTATTGTAGATCACATGCACGGCTGCTCCTGTATTAGGGTGTGTTCACAATGGTACATAGACCACATCAAAACTGGAAATAAACTGGGACTAAATCAGGACAAAAGCAGAAACAAACCAAGTCTACGCCTGGACTAGACGTTGCTCTGATCAACAAGGATGAGTTTGAACGCACCCCTCATGAAATCTGGGAGGTTGCTTCACATTTTTAATTCCCATTTCTTTAATTTGTTTAGAAAGAAAAAAAAAAACTCCATTCACAAAACAACAAAATGTGACAAATGGTGACACATATACAAATACAATAACACATAAAACTATGAATTTCATCACAGGCATCACAATTTTGTATATGTATATCACACAATTTAAGACAAAATTCACACGGTACACAGTATATCCCAAACCTGCAGCTTTAAAAAAAATCTGAGATCAATGTTCTATATATTGTTTTCTTTTTGAAATAATAATAAATGTAATACCTTTTCTTTGGTGACGATGCAGCAGGAGAAGGGCACGGAGCAGCGTTCTCGACTGGGGTTTCCATCTTTACAGTTAAAGTACATGTTCTGGGACCAGTCTGTGTAAGCCACTCCTCCACAGCAGCCAAACTAGAAAAAATAAATAAATAAATAACATGATAAATAAAAAATAATCTGTTATATTAATCTCGATCGCTGTATATTTTTTGCTTTATTGTCAGACAGTCTGGAAGTTGTTGTTGTTAGCTTTACTCTAAACTAGTTCTGTTTCTCATGTTTTTAAAGGGCCCACATTACTTGATTTTCTGATCTATGTTATATTGTTGTTTCCTCATCAGCCTTGGAATTCACTAGAGTCAATTCTGTATAATATAGGACCTTTAAAAAATACACTGTATGTTCATGGCAAAGAGCAACACAATTAAAAATACTTTATAATTCCTAATACTAATCTTGATCGCTGTGTACTGCCTGTATCTAATTGTAAAGCATTTTATTGTCTGATAATTAAGAAGTGCCCGTTAGCATGGAAGGTGTTGTGGCAATAGTGGAGCTGTTAAGGACCAAAATAGTTTGCTTTTATGGTACAAGCATGAAACTTTGCCAGATTAGTAACACCACCAGGACTAAAATTTCTAGATATGAAACCAAGTTTAATTTAACACTGGAGCTGAGAACTGCACATGTCACCAAATGGACTACATGAAAACAAGGCTGGCAAAAAAAAAAAAAAAAATCGCATAATCCCTTTCTTAGTCTAATTTGCTTAGTTATCAATTTTGTAATGTTGAACCACTATTTTTTCTAAACTCCAAACCATTAAGGAGGTCATGTGACTGTTTTCCTTGAGAATGTAAGTGTTGTGTGGGCTTCGTGTGTTTGAAGTCCAAGTTAATGAAATATTTTATCTTTCAAAAGGCATATTTATTGGGTTTTTGATCATAAAAAAAACCCAAAACATTTAACCATCTCCAAAGATCTGTAACTGCCATATTATATCTCATAATGATAATTAAATGCTGCATAGAAGCAAGAACAGTGTTTGAGGTGCAAGTGTCGGCCTTTAGAAAACACAGAAATAAGCACTGTGCTGTGGTAAATGTCACAGGAGATACAGGTTATGTTTATATGAGGACGGTCTGAACAGAAGACACAAAAGTGTTGTAGCATCTTCACTTTTTATTCTGAGTTTAGACAAGTGTTTTCAGGAGGAAATCTGCATGCATACGGTGACTCCAAAGTGTGTGGAATTCAATTGGGTTTGCATGCCAGGCGGCTCGGTAGTGCTGTGATTCACTATCACATCGCGTACAACCAGATCTGGTTATACAATCCAACCACAGTTTTGCCTCTTGGGCAGTGTAGACGGAAACGCTACGACGGAGCGTATTTAACTTTTCAACTCTGAGGGTAATTTCAGGGTTTTTTTTTTTTTTGCATTTTTAAGCCCCAAAAATGCTGTCACTGTCTAATGAAAGGCACTTCCGATAAAATATTTTGGGTTTTTTTACCCGCAAGAATTCTGATAAAAACAGGCCCACAAAGTGAAGTGATATCTTCATTTTAGCATGTGATTCTGGGAAAGCAGAAGTATTTGGTGAACCTCAGCTTCTAAGACAGCAAGCAAAAATGTCTCAGTTTAGGGAAGAATGTTCACATACTCCATTATAGACTCTTGGTAAATGGTCACATTTTTCTATAGCACTTTCCACCTTCAAGGCACTCAAAGCACTTTACAACAAGGAACCACTCACCCATTCACACACACATTCACACACCAGTGTACGCAGACACTGTGGGCGTTGTGGGTTAAGTGTCTTGCCCAAGGACACAACGACAGCATTCATCTGTGGGAGCTGGAATCACACCAGCCAACCTGTGGGTCAGTGGATCTGACCGCTCAACCTGTGATGTTTTATGTCAAGAGCTGGATATGAACCACCAACCTTCAGATCAGTGGGCGAATGCTCTACCAACTGAGCTACTGCCGTCCTCTTCTGTTATCTGCCCAACTGGTTTTATTTGGACTAAAGTCATAAGCACATTATGGCCCCTCCATAACCAGATCCCTTCATACCTCACTGACCTCCTTCAGCCCCACCACCTGACCACACCTTGGGGGACTGAGCCTTTGACATTGCCGGCGAAACCCTCTGGAACTCTCTCCTACTTCACATCAGAAACTCAGACTCACTAAACACCTTAAAAAAAAAACAGCTCAAAGATCACCTTTTCCTCATAGTCTGTAACCTCCAAAAATTACTGTTTCCTCACTACTTGAGTTTGTTTGTCTTGTCCTTTGTATTGTGAAGTGTCTAGTTAGTTAGTTTTGGTCCTTAACAGCTCCACTACAACTCTGAACAACTTCTGTTTTTCACATTTTTAAAGGGCCCATTTTACACTATTTTCTGATGTGTTATAAAGTTTCCATCAAAAACAGACCTGGAGTTGTGTTTTGTTTCATTCGCACATGTTTAACACAGAAATCCTGCATATTTAGGCAGCATCCTCCTCTCAATCTGAAAAAAAAATCTGTTCCACCTTGTGATATCATGTGGTCATACAGGAAAAGCTCCACTGTGTTTTTCAGGGTATCCCCATTTTTAAGACCACTTAAATGGAAATTAAGTCCAACACCAGATCCAATTCTGATAATGACTATTACTCACTGCTTTAAATGACAAAAATACTTTCATTACAAAATCTCATTCAGAATTAATTTATAGTAGTATGCATTGCTTGTAAAATGGCCCAGAAATGACTTACAACATTCTAACAAGACAAACTATAAGTACTGTTTGCAGATACTCCAAATTAGACGTTCATTCACGTTACATGATTTCACTTCCAGCCTGTTGAGTATACAACAGGCTAATGAAATTTAAGACCTTTTTGAAAAAAATAAGACTTGGACAACATAATTTAAGACTTTTAGGCCTTTAATTTAGGAACATGAAATTTAAGACCTTTTTAAGACTTTTAAGACCCCGCTGCTACCCTGTTTTTAAACTCCACACACCTTCACTAGAATCACCTGGACAATTTCAGCTTCAGAATTGCCAATTTCTACTGAACTAAAGATTAAAACAAGCTGTTAAGTTGAAAACTACTACTTCATGACATCACAAGGTGGAACAGAGCATGCTGAGAGTTGGAGATGTAGACAGACATGAAACAAAACACAACTTCAGGTCTGTTTTTGAGGAAGTAAGATCATTATTTAACATGACTTTACGCTCACAAGAGTCCATTTCGCGAAGTACTGGACTTTTAAGACAAATCAGGTACAACTCGTTTAACAACTCAAACTCAAATCAAGATAATTATTTTCAAATACACCTTGTTAGCCTGGTGTAGGGAGTATTATCGACAGAGACAAAGTGAAAGCGGCTCACCTCCTGCTGCCCGAAGTCGATCAGGTTCTGCAGATCGATATCGTCTCTGTAGTGGGTGATTGCTTTATTGATCATCTGGGTCACTTTGTTGCGAGCCTAAAACCATCAGATCAATGCAGACGTCAAGTTTAAACAGCAACAAACGCAATTCAGTACACTTTCCTCGACGTGTTTGTAAACTCTGATTTGAATATGAGTTCAGCGGTGGAACGCAGAAAAGTAAAAGACGTAAAGTACTGCATTTAAGTATAGATTTTAGTACATTTTAGTGGATACTTTTTACTTTTACTTTTCAGTCCTGTTCAGTAATGTAGTGCAGTAGAAAGTACAGATACCTGCTCTAAAAATGTAGTGAAGTAAAAGTATTTTGAGAGTATTATGAGACCTGCAGAAAAAGCTGAGGGTTTATTTTTATCAAGTTCCTAATTTGAGCAACAAAAATATAAAAACAGCAAAAAAAATACAGATTTAATTGTTTCTGCTGATCAAAATTCAGCACAAATCTATATCAAAATCTCTATCAAAATCTCTACAATCAATTTTTGAGGAGACTGTGAGGAAGCTCGGCAGGAAGGTGATCAATGACCCAACCCATGTTCTTCACAGTCAGTTTGAGTTGATGCCGTCAGGCAGAAGGTTCAGGGTCCCAAACTGTAAACTGAACAGATTCAAACATTCTTTTGTGCCACTAGCTGTTAAACTGCTAAACTCAGATAATGCAGTTAAAAAATAATTATAAAAGGCTTAGGGCACATTGTGTGCTAAATGCACAAAACTGCACATTAATCTGCACATAGGTAAGGGAATGTGCAATAATTATAACTAAAACTGCACACTTAGGCTTAGGGAATGTGCAGTAATTAATAGAACAGAAGAATGCAAGGGTTTGCCTGTTAAGGATAATTTAAGGGTCCTGTTGGTGCATCACTCGTGGTCATACTGGTCTCATATTTACTTTGTTTTATGGTGTTTGTTTATGTGCTGCTTTGTGTTGTGTTGTCCTGTTTTTTGATAAAGCATGTCACCCACTGTCCCAAGACAAATTTCTCCCATGGGAGACAATAAAGGATTATCTTATCTTATCTTATCTTACATTCGAAGCTTTATTAGATCTCAAAATCTGCAAGAAATACTTTCACTCTTTACTCTTTCAGTACATTTTTGACATTTTTACTTTACTTTTAGATTTTCTTTTTCATCTGATGCTTTTACATTTATTGGAGTATATTTTTTTGCTCTGGTATCTGTACTTTTACTTCAGTAACAAACTTGAGTACTTCTTCCACCACTGTATATGTGATATAAACTGGACGAAGACCTTATCAGAGAAAACGAAGCCCAAGACGCCGGCTGTGAGCTGGAGCAGGAAAATGATGGTCAGGCAAATGCAAAACTGAAAAAACAAAACAGAGAACCAACGTAAGCTCAGATACAGTAGTAATGCTGTGTCCTTAATTTGTGGTGACGTCAGGTTGGGGGTGATCTACATGTATGCTTAAGGCGGAATGTTCAGTGGTTACCATGGTGACACAGTGCACACATTGGCAAACAAGGCCAAATAAGTTTTCACTTGGTGTAAAAACCAGAGGTGAGGCCAAATCATTGTTTTGCAAGTCTCAAGTAAGTCTCAAGTCTTTGACCTCGAGTCCGAGTTGTAAGAGAATTTAAGTAATTTATCTTCCACATACATCTCAGTTTAACATTAACTCACAAAAGCTATATTTACACCATGATCTTTCCTTGGCAGAACATTATCTAAATTGTGGCATATTGCTGTCGGTGTCTGCAGGCCTTCATAGTCTCACCACACTTGCTTTAAACCTCCTTCTTTGGAAGCAGAGTAAAGGGGCAATTTTGCAATTCATATGAATTTTAAGATAAATTGTACTTAAAAAGTCATAGTATATTTTATATATGAGTATTTACAGAGTATATAAGAGTTGTACAAATTAATTTAGTTATTTTTTCCTTTTTAAATGTCCTGACAAGATCTTAGTGTGAATCATTACTGTCAGAATAGAAGGAATTCAGATTTAAAAGTGCTTCAAGTCTTCTCAAGTCACAGGCCTCAAGTCCGAGTCAAGTCCAAGTTGAGTTCCAAGTCTTAGTCCATTTTATCAAGTCAAGTCTCACGTCCTAAACATAGTGACTCAAGTCTGACTCGAGTCTAAATCACGACTTTCAAGTCCACACCTCACAAAAACTAAAACTCACAAAATAATCCAAAATGGATTTAAACAGCACATTTTTGTATTTGCTCGTACCTTGATCATTACGAGTGTTCGTGGTCCTGTTTAGGGGTTGAATTTTATCCTAAACTTGAAAAACTGTTGGCTGATGCTGCCTAGTGTGTGACTGTAATGCTTTTTGGGAGAGACTTGGTTAACAGCACAAATCAGCTCCTGTTGTATTTCCAGCAAAACTCAGATTAGTCTAACAGCCTCAGACAGAGCAGTGCCTACAGTTAGCATCACACTCCCTGGGCAAAGTTTCAATGAACCACTGAACATAGACAGTAGAATATACTATTCAATGTAAAATATGACATGACTGAAGCAGTTATTGACTGTTTATGGAGGTTACAAGAGATTTATATAAAAATATGTCTCTTTATTTTGTCATTTCCAAGTGAAAAATCAAAAGGTCATTTTCAAAGTTTTTTCTTCTGCTCCCTGGACGACTGAGCGATTACACAGACTTAACTGACTGACCTTTTTAAACAAATATAACAGAGGTGTTTGAAGAGTGTATATTATAGAGGAAGTACACTGGTGCATTTTATATTGGTGTAAGATTAAAGGCACAGACCGTTTGCAGGAGGCAGATGTTCTCTCTGAGGGACCCCACACATCCACAGAACGTGATGAAGAACATGAGGACCCCGACCACCATCAACATCACTGCAGGGTCCACAGCCAGACACGCCAACGCTGCCTCTACACGGCGAACACGGTGTACGAGTAATTAAACTTTTCAATAGTTAAAGACTGTAGTTTTTCTAAAAGTGGGTCCTTCTCATCCTCATGGAGATGTTTTTACTTCATGTATCTTGCATTTCACAAGTTATGCTTTAAAATGCATAATCTCAAATTATAATAATTATTCAAATAAATCTGTGAATCATGTTTTTTACTATTTAAATCTATTTTGATTCTGTGTTGGTGTGTTTTTGTATCTCACCTGCGTGTTTCATCATCCGGGCGTACACTCCGATCGCCACCATCACCAGAGAGATGATCTAAAACAACAGGGAATATTTACTCAAATAATTAGGTTAATTAAATGCAATTATGTAAAATATAGTGTAGAAAGTCCTTCATAACCAAACAGAAATGTATGTAGTCCAATGAGGTTCATTTGGTCTTCCAATATTTTATGTTATTAGGTTCTTTTTTCAGACCAAAAGTTTGTTTTCATACCTGACAGTTTCGACTGCTCCCTGTGGTCTTCCTCAAAGTGGTCACGTGATGTTTCTGTGTTGTGTTCGGTCAGCTGATTTATACAGGTTTTGTCTTAGGTTCTGCCTAAGATAAATCAGCTGACCGGACACGTCAGCGCAACATCATGTGACCAGTTTGAGGAAGACCACAGTGAACAATCGAAACTGTCAGGTATGAAAACAAACTCTTGGTCTGAAAAAAGAACCCAATAACAGAAATGTATATAAAGTATATAATTAATAAAATATATAAGAAAATGTATAGCACAGTGCCTGGAGATATAAAGATGTATGTAAAACTGGTTCTTAAACTTTTTACCATCAAGTATCACCTTAAAGATATAAAAGTCTTTCACGAACCATCGGGACAAAATTGTAATTAAAGGTTCTGTATTGCATAAAATTCACTCTTGTGAGCTTTAAGTCTTGTTATAATGTTGTTACCTCATCAAAAACAAACCTGGAGTGGTGTTTTGTTTCATTCACACGTTTGAGCAATATTGTTTATTACTCTGTTTACATCTACAAAGCTCAAAATGCTCTGTTCCAGCTTACAACAACAGCTACTTTTTATCTTTTTCTTCAATAGAAATTGGCAATTCCAGAGCAGAAATGATCCAAATGATTCTAGTGAAGATGTATGGAGCAGCACTTCCTCAGTGTGTTATTTAAGAGAAGAATTCAGCTCAAGTATGCGGGATTTGTGTGTTAAACAGGCGTGAATGAAACAAAAACAATTCCAGGTATTTTAGTGATGACGAAACAACATTATAACACCGATCAGAAAATATAAATAGCGTAGTATGAGCTTTTTAAATCCAAACCCATAAATCAAGTTTTAAAAAAGCATTGTCAGAGGATCAGGTCATGATTTAATGTTTTTTTGTTTTTTTTTCCACCACCCAGCCCTCCTCATACATCACATACCACCACTTTGAGCTCCTGTCAGTTTTCACATGTAAGACAGATGTATTTAAATATACAGGTTTGGTCACACAGACTCCTCGATGACTCACGCCGAAGTACTGAGCTTTGTATCACTGCAAGTACAGAGCTTTACACAGCCTCGGGGGAATACTGCACTTCCCACACCCATTCAAACAGATCACGTATCACTCACAGAGAAAGCACCTTTTTCCCCCGCAAAAGTCCCACAAGTCCCACAAGGCAATTCAAGTCAGTACAGAATACAACTGACGTGTAAAATGAAAGAGAAAAAGTAGGACTGAAAGACTCACAGTGATCAGAATGAATGGTTCTAAATCACAAAGGCTCCAGTCATTTTGAAGGAAGACATGTTACGCTTTTGTCTGACATATATTTAATAACAGACTGTGGATCATTATTTAATACAGTGATCTCTGCCAACAGCTGTGTCTGTGTGACCTCTAACATTTCTAAGATGCATGAGATTCTTGTAGCGTAATAGAGTAAAACAAAATATGTGTCCAAACTATGGCCCTCACACCGTTTTTATTGGTGCCTAGGAATCCTGCTGATCATAGGCGGTATTTTTTACTTCAAATTATCTCTATCAGTGCCACCTCAATAATATTATTAATATACGGTATTTTTCAGACTATTTTTCATGGTTTGGGTGTTTCCTGCGACTTATACTCCGGTGCGACTTATGTATTAAAATGTTCACACTGAAGCCATGAGAGGCTCTAGTCTTGAGTGTCAGTATCTGCTGCTCCTGTTCCTCCTGTACCACTGTCACTTCACTCTACTGCGCATGTCTCCTGCAGAAAGAGCCTCTGTCCTGCTGCAAGTAGTGAAATATGCAGTCGAAAACAGTAATCGAGCAGCAGAAAGAAAGTTTGAGCGAGAAACTTGTGAGGCACTAGCGGAAAGAGGGGATAGAAAACACAGTTGTACCTATACCACTGTCACTTGGCTCTACTGTGCATGTCTCCTGCAAAAAGAGCCTCTATTCTGTCTGTATCATCTCAGTTGATCGCACCATTACTTCTGTACCACTGAAAATGTAAAACTTAAACTTATAAAGAGAACTGAGAAGACTGAACACAAATGCCCCCCAAAAGAAAATCATATTTTGCAGATTACAAGCTCCAAGTAGCGAAATGTGAAGCTGAAAATGATAATCGCACAGCAGAAAGAAAGTTTGGAGTGAGCGAGAAACTTGATGAGTCATAAAACTTTCCTGGAAGTCATTGGATGGATAAAGTCCGGAATAATTCTAACTGGAACTGATGCTGTCTGTTGTTCTCTGTTCTATTGTTATTGCTTTAACTTGTCTTTAAAGATGAAATGTCAGTTCCTGGTCTCTGATTTTGTAAAATAAATTTCCCCCCAAAAAGTGCAACTTATATATGTTTTTTTTTTTTTCTTCATTACACATTTTTTGGCTGGTGTGACTTGTACCCCAGAGCGACTTATAGTCCAAAAAAATACGGTAGACCTAAAATTGTGTTCTAAGACTTTTTAAAGGTGTTGTATCTCTTTCAAACTTCATCAATCTGAAATGTCCTGCATGACCTATAGACCAACTGTCTCTCTGGCCCTTCACTAGGAATATGTTTCTTTATGTGGCTCTTGGTGAAAATAGTTTGGATGCCCCCGGTGTAGAATTTCATATGTCAGTCTCTGTAAATGTTAAAGGTGCTTTTGAGGATCCTCATGGAGATATTGTTGTTTTGTTTTGTCAGAAATGCTGCACAATAGGCATTAAAGTTATCTCTATAAGCAAAACAGGTCACACCAGTCTCATCTGTAGAAAAACAACCTCACATACAGTATGTTTTTCATGGTATTTTTCAGTCATAAATTTAATAATAAATTAAATAAATGCTAAATAGTTTAGTTTAATGCCATACTGTGGAACATCTCAGGCAAACCCATATCAAAATTCTCTATAGACACAAACGAAAATACCCAACTCCAAGAAAGTTATGCAATTTTAATTTAAAATGTTAACCAGCAACCACAATACAATACTTGTCAGATAATTTGATATTTCTTATATTTTCCAACCAAAATATGTCAGCTCTATGACACATGATATTTACTGAAGTTTGGAGTTTCCTGACTGAGAGAATGCACCCTGAAGGCATCACAATTGAACACAGTGCATTCCTGCGAGTGGAGTTTCATGTTTAGACACAGCCGGGCGTCCTGCTCACTGTGCTCCTCTGTGCGGCTGTCAAAAGCCAAAAATCATGAAAAACAGACACTAATCAATACTAAAACTAATATATAAACTAGATACTCATTTGAGCAGGTATCGATATTAAAAAAGTCACATTCAGAGGACAGAAATGAGCCTTTCCTGAAGCTTTAGAATGATCTTGAGCTGTATCAGACCAAGTATAAGACGAGTAAACGCCCATGGACCACTGAGAGATAACACAGATATAAGAAAACATGGGAATAGAAAAGAAACTAGCCTATTTTTCTGACTTTTTTTTATGGTTTGGGTGTTTCCTGCGACTCCGGTGCAACTTATATGTTAAAATTTTCACACTGACAGCCGTGAGAGGCTCTAGTCTTGTGTGTCAGTATCTGCTGCTCCTGTTATTCCTGTATCACTGTCACTTCACTTTACTGCACATGTCTCCTGCAGAAGAAAGAGCCACTGTCCTGGTTGTATCATGCCAGTCGATCTCACCATTACTTCTGTAATGCTGACAAATAAAAATTTAAATAAAGATAAAGAGAACTGAAACCATCCTGTCAGCATTCAGAAAGGCCGGAATAATTTTATCTGGAACTGATGCTGAGTCTGACGACAGCTACACAGAAGAGGAAGCAGCGCTCTGTTTACCTCCGGAGGTCGCTGAATTGCTCAGAAGTGACAGAGGATGAAGAATTGAATGGATTTAGTGATTTGGAGTGAGATGGAGAGTTTGGTAAACTTGTTCTGTTCTGTTGTTTATGTTATATTTATCTGAAGAACTGTTCATATGTGACGTTAACAGTCTCTTGTTCTCTCTTATATTGTTTTTAATAGAACTTGCCTTTCAAGATGTCGGTTCCTGGTCTCTGATTTTATAATATAAATTTCCCCCAAAAAGTGCGACTTATAGTCCGAAAAATACGGTACTACAATTTAATGTTGAAAATCACATGCTATTGTTTAAATAAAGAGTGTTTTTTATTATAACTGTATTGGAATCAGTATTGAGTATTGAGTCTATTTCTTAGTATTGAAATAGGCTCTATTCATGCTTACAAGAAGACAATTGGAAACATGCAGTAGCATGTATGACAACTTCTGGTGTAGTTACCGACACTGGACGTGATAAAACCATGGATTCAGCAGCAGCATTTTTCACAACCTGCCAAAGCTTTACATCCATGGGGTCGGGACTCTAATTGTGTCTTCAGACAAATGTGTTCCTTGTGCGTAAATTGTCTGGAATTTTCTGTGCTGATGACATACATAGATCTGTTTTAGAAATCACGGCTACTGCCTTTATCTTTGTACTTCTCTTTTCCACTTAACTGATGTAAAACTTTGGTAAATATTCACCGAAGGTACCAAGTAATGATGAGAATAAACCTGAAAAACACTAGAACTGAAAACCATAAATGAGCTTAGAGTCCCAGAGCAGCTGACTCACAAATCCTGGGCTGAACTTTGAGTCGGTAGCAGTTAATCTGAGTAATACTTGCAGCAAGACTTGAACAGGAGTCTGGAAAAAATATCAAATTTTTGTGTTTACTGACAAGCAAGTTATTGATGTCAAAAACTGAAATGATTAAAGGGCCCGTACTATGCTATTTTCTGATCCATGTTATAATGTTTTCTCAGCACAAACAGACCTAGAGTTGTGTTT